TAACTTGTTATTTATCAAGGAATTTGTAATTTATCAAAAAATCTTTAAAAACAAATTTTGTAATATATTGAGTACGAAACCTAGTAATGTTCCAAGAAATCGTATTATTGATCTAGAAATCTTGGTATGGTTTTAAAAAATTGATCCTATGTTCTGAGAAGTACTTGCCGTTGTCTGTGCACTAATAATTATGTTTGTTGTAAATGTATACTATTCAGTATTCACACATCAAATAATACTCTTTTATCAATAAAAAAAGTGTTCTAAGACCTAAATGTTGAGATTATTGTATAACCTGTTCAACCTTCGAGTTGTGTAAAAAATTGAGTTTAGTTAATATTTACATAACTTTTTATTGCCAATTATGTCGATTAATCGATTGAGTAAATTTTCCGGTTCAATCCTGTCAAAAGCCGCGCCGCACCGGATTATATTATTTATTATACAAGGCTTTTAATTGAAAATTGAAATAATTTTCTTTTAAAATTTATTAGAGCATTTTCAAAGAAATTCCAACTATACTAGAAATTTTTTTCTTCCCTTTTTATGTTCCATAAACCTTCCCTGTGGTTATGTGAGGTCCCACACAAAATTTGGGCTCGATCGGTTTAGCTGTTTTGACGTTTATTGGATACGAACGTACAGACACAAACAAACAGACCATCAAATATTTAACTTTCTTATTTCAGGCAACCATCATGGGTCCATCAGATTCTCCATACCAGGGCGGGGTTTTCTTCCTCACTATTCACTTTCCTACGGACTACCCCTTCAAGCCACCAAAGGTAGAATTTATTTGTTTGAAACTGAAATACTTCGGTTTAAAATACGGGTGTAGTTTGCAGGTATGTATTAAAATCTTTTTGATTAAATAGCTTGAGTACCCGGCGTTGCAAAGTTTAAATACATCTTATGAATAAAAACCTTAAAGTACCCCTGGGGTTCCCTTAAAAAAGTCAGCTAATTGGTCCAACTGTTTGGCCAGCTGTAAAAAATATATAATATATGTATAAATAAAACATCAACTCTTTAATCTGTATATCCTAGGTTGCGTTCACTACTAGGATATATCATCCTAACATCAACTCTTTAATCTGTATATCCTAGGTTGCGTTCACTACTAGGATATATCATCCTAACATCAACTCTTTAATCTGTATATCCTAGGTTGCGTTCACTACTAGGATATATCATCCTAACATCAACTCGAATGGTTCCATTTGTTTGGACATTCTGAGAACTCAGTGGTCCCCTGCACTAACCATCAGCAAGGTAACAATAGGACATTGTTTATTTCTCCCCCCCCCTCTCACCTACCGATAACTATGTTGTACAACTAATATGTTCATATTTCTCTTCAATCTATAAATGCACTAAATACAGGTTTTGCTGTCTGTGTGCTCCCTGCTCTGTGATCCTAACCCTGATGATCCTCTGGTCCCAGAGATTGCGAGAATTTTCAAAACTGACAGGTTGGATTTCTTTTCTTTAATCTTGAGTCTTGTCTTGTTCTTAAAATATGCTACTATCAAATTGAAATGCATAGGGAAGGTGTGAAGATTTGATAATTCCATCAATTCTTTGAAAGAAAAAACACTTGCAAGAAGATTTTATTTTGCAAAGTTTAAAGATAGACACCGGAAACTAGAATTCAGGAATATATACCTAATTAAAAACATTTTCAGCCGCCCCCTTGATTTTTGAAACTTCGGTTAAATTCTTAAAAGGCTTTAGAAAAATAAGAAATGGTTCTTTGGACAAAATAACAAGACAAAATTCAGGTTAAATCAGCCCTAAAAAAAATTTATTTCGATAAGATTTAGTAAAGAAGTTGTTATTACTCGTTTTGGGAATATTAGACAGTTTGTTTCTCTTTAGAAGTTTTTCCGTAAACCTGATTTTTATTTATGGGACTATTGACGTTAGAACTTGTAAAAGAATTTCATGACCGATTCAGAAGGGTTCACAAAAGCCATTAAATGAAGACAATATCATTCGTTTTCTGTCTGAGCAAGATAAAATAAATTCACCTTATTTTCTTCCTTTCCCTATAACTACATTACTTTTTCTCATGCATTTGTTTAAAGGTTATAGTCATGAATCGGACATGCCTGTTGAGTCGCTAAGAATTACGTGTTTAGTCCCTTTAATTAAACAATAAACATCTTATTTCAGGGACAAGTACAACCAGCTGGCCAAGGAGTGGACCAAGAAGTACGCTATGTAGAGGACATGCTCCCACCTGCATTCAGTTCATCATTTTTATTCAAGCATTGTGATTATATATATCCCGATAACATTACGTTTCAGTGTTTACAGATCTTTCTTTTCCAATGAAATACTATTTTAGTTTGAGCCGACAATATGCATTTCTAGCTCAGCTTGGGAGTCAATTCTGCTTTTAATTTCACGTTTGTCACATTCCCTATTTAATTTCAGAAGAATGAAACTACTCTCGATAGTCATCGTGAATAAAGGAGAAACCTCGGCTAGCATACTTAAGGTATTAAAAAATACCATCAAGGGTTTCAATAAACTTTATTCCAATTCCCCCCCCCCCCACACACACACAAAATATAACTTTCGACTCACTTTTTTTTGTTGGTTTTTATACAAACAAAATGTTCGTAATATTTGTTGATAAATTAATTAAATACTGGTTTTAGGCTGGATATGATTTATCCTCAATCAGCTTCTTCCAACGGAGTACAGCCCAGGAGTTCATCACCTTCACATCCAGAATACTCACGGAGAGAACACCTCTAGGAGGCAGACAGTCCGTGAAGGAGGCGGAGTACTATTGTCATGTATTCGCCCGGGCGGATGGTTTGACCGGCGTATGTTTCTCTGACCACGAATATCCTCCGAGAGTAGCGCACACTGTGCTGGCTAGAATATTGGATGATTTTGCAGGTGATAAATAATAATTTAATTATTGTTGATAAAATCAAGTATTAGCATTTAGCATAGCTAATAAACAGTTCAAAGGCATTGAAAAATTTGATGCTGTTTGGATGAAGATTGTAGAATGCAGATGATTATTTAAATATTAAACACACTGGTTAGTGTGCACTATCTCAAGCATTTGTAGGGTTTCTTAAACATGATTGAATAATAATTATTTCTCGTAATAATTTATCTTTTTTAATTCTTTCTTATTCTTGAAAACCCTGTTGCCGATAAAACCATCATTTTGACCTTAAATCCAAATATAACCCATTATTGGTATTGGTTACCCTCTGATACAATCTAAGATGTTTTTTTTTCCGGTCTGAAAATGTAATAGAACTTAAGTTAGGTTATCATTTGCTTGTGGAGTTGAAAAATTAGGAGTCGATCTAGATCCTTAAATTTTCCTAACCGTAGGACAGAGGTCTCCTCATCCCACATTTCATGCTGTAGTACGTTGACAAAGATTTTACTATCATTACAATTAAGAGTGCATTCCATTTCAATTTTAGAGGTTTACCAAGCATTCAAAGAGCACGGATGCACAGAAACATGGAAACAAAGAGAAGCCATCAATTAAAAGTTTCTCTTCGTTTTCTTGTAAAATTATAATTGGAAAAAAGCTTGTTAGAAATCAAAACTTTAATAGAAAAGTCTTCCTTATTGTATTGATATAAACTCCTACCGCTGCAGTGCACTGTATTGATTTGATTAAATTTATAACCTTGAGTCTGATATTTGTAACTGTGATAAATAAATGTAAATATTTCAGGTCAGGTTCCAAGACCTGAGTGGACGAGTGGAAACGAAGTAACCAAGTTCCAGGGACAAATAGAATCCTATCTTGCCAAATTCCAGGATCCTGCCGCCTCGGACTCGATGTCAAGACTGCAGTCGGATCTAGACGAAACTAAAATAATATTGGTAAGTATCTGGGGAAGAAAAATTAGAAAATAAGTCTCCTAAAAGAAATTATACCTCATTTATTTTACCATACTTATTATCCACCGGTTTATATTTTCTTAAAATACTTTTTCATCCCACTTGAAAATTGTTAAATATATTGGTTAAAGTTCTCAAATCGTCCCAACTTGAGGCATTATTCTCCCGGATAAACTTTTTTTACCTTGATCCTTGTAATCTCATTTTTCAGCACAATACTATAGAAGCAGTTCTACAGCGTGGCGAGAAGCTTGATGATTTAGTGGATAAAAGTGAAGCTCTTTCTTTACAATCGAAAGCTTTCTATAAAACTGCACGGAAAACTAATTCTTGTTGTGGAACCAGTTGGGGTTAAACTTAGAACCCTTTCTCTGGGAGTACGGAATCAGCTGGGTTATACTGAGAACTTTACTGCGGGAGTACGGAACCAGCTGGGTTAAAACTTGTAGCCAGTTCTCCGGGAGATTGCAACTTTTCAGAGTTAATTCTGTTCTTGGGGCCACTTGGACACTTTATTTTTAAGTAAAAATATGAATCTAGTTATTGAAAGGGTTTTTTATAAATTGCAACTCAGAGAATTTTCCATTCTTAATTTGGGTTTCAAATTGTGATCACACCAGGAATGGGATACAAAATAAGTTATTTTCCCCTTCACCAAATTATTGTTCGGCCATTAAGATATCTATACCTAGCAAAAAGTTGAGGTTTTGTTTATAAAAAAGTAATGCTCCCCACCNAAAATGTATTTTATTAATTTATTAACTACAACTACAAGTATACTACTCTTTATAATAAAAATGTATTTTATTAATTTATTAACTACAACTACAAGTATACTACTCTTTATAATAAAAATGTATTTTATTAATTTATTAACTACAACTACAAGTATACTACTCTTTATAATAAAAATGTATTTTATTAATTTATTAACTACAACTACAAGTATACTACTCTTTATAATAAAAATGTATTTTATTAATTTATTAACTACAACTACAAGTATACTACTCTTTATAATAAAAATGTATTTTGCTAATAGACTAGGGATAGAATCGCCTAATAAATTTTTTGAAAGATTTTTTCTGAAGTTTTTTAATATATGATATTTATCCAGTTTTCTTGAACCCATATTGGTGTTTTGGAGCATCTAAATGTGTATGTACCAGATAATTTGCATTAATATAATTTGCGTACTGTGTGTAAAATGTATTTGAAGTAATAATAAGTAGCTAATTATAAATTGTAATCTGTACGCAGTTTTAGGAAGTCAGTTTGATACGTATTTCGGGTGTAAAGGTTTGTTGTTAATATTATCTATGTTACGCAGTAAATAATTGAACGCATTTCTGTTCCCAATGGATAATGGTAATACAAAATATCCAGTTTTGTCTTATAAAAAAAGTTGTATATTTAATTATTTATTGTGACCGTAATATTTATTTAAAAGATTCTATCAGTTATCATGTATATTGTTGTAATATTTGTTTTTATGATGTATTTAATATTTAGTTTTCTAATAAATTGTAGAAAGTTTTGGTTTTTTGGCCAACATATTCGAACTAAGGAATTTTTTCCTTTTTGTGAACTTAACTGAGTTGATATATGTTGAGTTTTTCTGAAGGTTGTAACATTTTGCTATAAGAAATGGAAAAAAAAAATATTTCATTGGTTTACCTTTTATCTGATTTTTCTACTTTATGGAAACGTATACAATTTAGCGCTTTGTTTTACATTTTACTGAGAGTTTCCAGAAATCGCAATTAAGATAGTTTTATGTACAATCAGAACTGGAAACTTAAGAATGGTGAATATCCAGATTAATGCTTTATCTCCTCTTTTTTAATCTCCAGATTAAATAATGCGTGTTATCTTCTTGTTATTAATCTCCAGATTAATTAACCTATCAGGATTAAAGACATACCATTCTAAAGTTTTCAGCTCAGTGATTTAATTTCTAATTTCCGATTAGAATAATAAGTTATTAATTTGAGTTTTAGTTAATCTATCTTTATATAATTAAACGAGACATTCGTAAATAAATATGCGGCACGACTGGACCGATTGGGCTGATTTTTTTTGTGGACACTCATGGGTGGCTGGGGGATGTTATAGGCTGAAAAAATCCAACATTTCTGTTTAAAATTTTTTTCCCACGGGCAACGTCAGTTGTATCTCCCTTCTATTTCATACCCCTTGCTTAAAGCTTAAAAAACCAGATGCTTTCTCTGTCATAATTTCGTACATATTCATTTCTGTAAATTCTTGGATTAGTCTTATAACCTTACAAATACGACCTGTCCGCCTAATGTAAGCGTCACTACCTGCCTCATCCCCCCCCCCCCTATCTGATAGATGTACCTAGCTGGACTATGGAGACGGAGTAGACAGTGTACACTCGGCGAGCAAATATAAACTCGGACTTGCAGAAAAGCATTATTTAACCTTTCAAGCCTATTAAAACATTAAGTTCTTCGGGATTGCTTTTAAGATGGATTTTGAACTAGTTTAGTTTATTATAGTGCGTTGAAAATATAATTTTTACATTTTCAGAAATCCTAAGAATGGTTCCCAGCTAACACTATGGAGGATAACCTTACTTTAACGATAAATGAGCTTCAAATTGTTGCTGAGCTTGACTCTCGTCTCTTCGGATTCCTGAAGCTTAATGACGAGGTTAACGCAGTGAAGAAGGCGGCAGCTAATAAGGCGATCCTATACTTGGAGAGGGTTCTAGTCCAGGCTAATATACAGGTACCCTACCGAACGGAAAACCTATAAATACGTATGATATTCGTATATATACGTATGTTTAGGTTTGGGATACGTGTTTTCGTAACCATTTCCTTTGTAAAAATGCGTTATTTATATCCGTAAAAATGCGTATGTAAAAAAATGCCAATGAATTAGAAATTTTTAGATTTTTCCTTTACGTAGATTTCGATTTGAATAAATCCTAACTTTCTTAATTTTTGGACTTTCTAGGTTCTACCTCTACGTAAAAATATGTATTTTTAAGACAAATTCAAGGGCTAAAACCAAAATTTTAAGAAGATGACTATGATTTTGCAGGCTTAGTGTTCCTTGATACAACTAATTCCACAAATTCGAGAATTTATTTATTTTCAATCCATTCCAATCAAATATTCTTCGACACAAATTTACACCATTATAATTCCTTCATCTGTATCCATCTAAATCAACATTCATATATTCATTTTGTCTGTATCTTCAACAATTACGTATTCAATATCTGTTATAAAAAAATTGAGAATGATATTGATTCTAATGAAAACATCAATTTACCCCAAAATGATAGAAATTTTGAACCATTTTATTTACCAAAACGTTTGCATTAAACTTTATTTAATAATTCTCTACAAAAATCATAAAATATTTTTGAATTCTAACTTAAAAACGCATTTTTGTGCAGTTGAGGTTTCATGAATTTATTGATCTATTTTGGACTCCTATGTAAAAGCCAAAAATCTCGGAACTTTTAATTAGTTAAATTTGGTCCCGGCTAATTTAAAGTATTAATATAATTTTTATAACTTATTTCTTATATAATTATAGTCATATCAATTCTTCTAAGTGTCCACTTAGAAGAATGGGTTGGCATTAAACTTTTCATAAAATACAATTTTTTAAGTAAAGAAAAATAAGAAAATTACGTAAAATTACTTGGCAAAAAGTCTAAAAATTACTTTAATATAAAATCATTTGGTATGAAATTTACGAAAATATACGTATTTTTAGGTTTGCATTAAACTTATAAAACTAAAAAATGCAAGTTGAGAAAAAATGGGGAATTACGTAAAATTACTTGGCAAAAAGTATATGCAATTGTTTGTAAAATTACAACGTTTCTTTAAACCATAAGAACTTTTAAAAATATGATAAATACGTGAAAATATGTAAATATACCCAAGTTCTTTACCAAAAAGTTGATCTTACGAATTTTTTCGTAAAGATACCTAAAAATACTTATACCTATCGTTTAATAATTAAATTTGTTATCGATTATTATTTTTTGTTCCAATTCTTGATTTAATTTTATATAAAAATGGGAATCCAAATCGTAAATAGAAATACAATGATCAAAGTGTCATTTTAACCACAGCATTCCTTTGATTTTATTAAAGAAAAGTCTGTGTGATTAGTTACATATCTTGTGTTAAAAAAATAGGTATGGCCATCTTTTCAATAAGATTAAATTTCTCTTTGATTTTCTAATTCTTTTTGTTTAGGAGAGGAAGAAGAAGAGACCAAATGATGGAAACAACAATGAAAAGAGTAGAAGTGGGTTCAACGTCGAACCTAAAACCTTTGTTAAACTGGGTCATCTTCACCTTCTCCTAGGCAACTATACCAAAGCTCTGTCTGCATATCAGAAATATTTTAGAATATCTAAACATCATTGGAGGGATTCAGCCTTTATGTACGGACTAGGTTTGGTTTATTATCATTTTAACGCTTTCCAATGGGCTACCAAAGCATTTCTTCAAGCACTGTATATAGATCCAGGGTTCTCTAGAGCTAATGAAATCCATCTTAGACTCGGTATTATCGCCAAGATGAAAAATGATTTTGATACTAGCTTAAAACATTTTCATATGGCGCGCCATGACAGTTCTGTCTGCACATTTACACCTTTCGAGATTCAGTTCCACATCGCTCATTTATACGAGGCTTGTGGACGGCATATGGAGGCTAAGGCGAAGTATGATGTTATGTTGGCGGATCATAGTCTTCCGCTTCAGCTGAGGGCGGATATTCTCCGCCAAATTGGTTGGATGTTTCACTCTGTGGAGGAGTTCGGAGAAAAGAGTCAGAGAGTAGAGCAAGCTGTATTTCATCTTCAGAAATCTATAGAAGCTGATCCTAAATCTGGGCAGTCATTATACCTACTAGGACGGTGCTACGCTAGCATTGGCAAAGTTCACGACGCATTTATTGCGTACAGAAACAGCGTCGACAAATCTGAATCCAATGCAGATACTTGGTGTTCTATAGGAGTTCTATATCAGCAACAAAACCAACCAATGGACGCATTACAAGCATATATCTGCGCTGTACAACTTGACAAGGACCATTCTGCTGCCTGGACTAACCTAGGTATTCTCTATGAGTCCCAATCCCAACCCCATGATGCTCTAGCCTGTTATACTAATGCAACTAGGAACAAGGCTAGTATTCCCACCTTGAGTCAACGGATTAAATATCTGAAAACCCAGATGGCTAGTGCTCCTCCTCCAGTTACTACCAATAAACCCCGGCAACTCCCATCTGTAGAGGAAGCATGGAACCTCCCAATCTCAAATGAGATGACAAACCGGCAAAATCAGCCTCGTCAGACTGGAGGAATCCGAGCAGCTCAACCTGTTAAGAAAGAGGAAGTTGGACCGAGTGCTCCTCCAACCCAGCAGCGACCACACTTCTATTTAACCCAGCAGCAGCTCCAGACCCTGCAGTATCTGCAGAACCAACCTGCACTCACTGCTCAACAGCAGAATGTACTGCAACAGCTTCAACATCAGTTCAGGTTGATGCAACAGCATCAGCAGCAGATGAGGTTGCAGGTGATGAGACTTCAAGGTTTACCAGCTCCGGTTCAACCTCAGGGACAGTTCCCATCCCAGCCATCAACATCTCATGCTGGAGGAACACCAAGTTCATCCTCTTCCAACACAGAGATAGATGGGTTAAATGTTTCAGACAAGGAACTGGAGTCTTTAATCTCACAACAGGATATCGGATCTTTCGCAGAGAGTTTACTCAAACAGTTCCAGGAACAGATCGGAGACTCTGTTGATGAGAAACAGGATTCGGATGGAATTAAACCTGAGAGTATGGATACTAAACCTGATGCATCAGATCTGTTGTCAGCTATGGGTAAATCTGATGGTAAGGATCTACTAGAGGAGAGTATGAAAAATGAATTGATGGATCTGGATCATCTAGATATACCAACTACAGTTGACAAGGTGGTTCATGAAACATACAATCCTCCTGAGCTTCATATCAAGCTTACAGCTGAGGAGGTTGTAGACGCTTGTAATAAATGTTTAACCAAGTCTGGTCGGATATCTGGTAGTGTACTTGAAGAGGATGCCCCACCCCCCTCTCCGCCAGAACGCCCTTCAGCTCGTCTTAGTAAGGAGCAACTTCTCCCTCCCACTCCTAGCGTGTACCTGGAGAATAAGAAAGACGCCTGTTCTCCACAGCTCCAGGAATTCTGTCTTCAGCATCCTATCACAGTAGTGCGAGGAATCGCTGCTGCGCTTAAGCTTGATCTAGGATTGTTCTCCACAAAGCAATTGTTAGAAACCCAACCTGAGCATCCGGTTCATATTAAAACACAGTTTAAGCAGGAGAGCGACGAGAACTGGGATGTTTCAGGACAACAGCAGGTCTGGAACTGTTTTAGTAAACCTAGTATTACAACCATATCCGCGTACGCACAGTATCAGGTTGCAACCTTCCAAGAATCATTTCAGCTTGAGCAAGAGAAAACCTCGTCTCACCGCAATGAAGACGAGGTTCAAGGACGGAGAAAGAAGAAACCTATGTTGACCCTGAAACACGGACACTATATTGATCTATCCTATGAGCACAGGTTCCGCCAGCAGCTCCAGGAGATGGCTAAACTTCCACACTGGACCCGTGTTGTCTCCGCTGGGAATATGCTCTCCCATCTTGGATATCAGATGTTGGGGATTAACACAGTCAAAATGTCTATGAAGGTTCCTGGAGCTAGAACCACGGCGCACCAGGAGAAAAATAATTTTTGCACAATTAATATTAATATTGGACCCGGAGACTGTGAATGGTTTGGAGTTCCTGAAGAATACTGGGGCGCACTGCATGAGCTTTGTGATAAGAATGGAGTAAATTATCTAGACGGATCCTGGTGGCCGAATATGAAAGATCTGATGGACGCTGAGATACCAGTGTACAGGTTCCTACAGAGACCCGGAGATCTTGTATGGGTCAACTCTGGATGCATTCATTGGATGCAGGCGGCAGGATGGTCCAACAATATTGAATGGAACGTGGGACCCCTAACCTTCAAACAGTATTCCTTAGCTTTGGAACGATACGAATGGAACAAGCTGCAGGGAACCAAGTCTGCTGTAGCTATGGTTTATTTATCATGGAACCTTGCGAAGAACGTAAGAGTCTCCGAACCTAAACTATTTGAAGCTATAAAGCATACTCTACTCCGAACCCTACGGCAGGTTGTGCTTATCCTGGACTATTTAAAGTACAAGGGTCTAGAGGTCAAGTTTCACGGAAGGAATCGAAGTGAACCGGCACATTACTGTATTCAATGTGAAATAGAGGTCTTTGGAGTCCTCTTCGTCAGAGAACAGGTAAATAACATTTTTTATCCATTTGATTCGATTTGATTTAAGTTGAGTTGAGTTGGTTTGATTCGATTCGATTTGAGTTGAGTTGGTTTGGTTTGGTTTAATCCTCTGTTGAACATGACGTTTTTTTCATGAAATGTTCATTGACGCCACAAAAGTAGTATTTTCTCAAAATGCAACTAATTTTCTCATTTATTGTTTTCATATCTTTAAAAGTAGTCTGGTTTCTATGTTTATTAAATTGTTATATTTACAGGACAAGAAGTATGTAGTTTATTGTCTGGACTGTGCTCGACGACACAACCATGAGCTCCGTGGGTTCGTTATCCTCGAGGAGTATCATCTCAAGGAGCTCAAGGATGTTTACAACAACTTCAAGCTCTCCAGTCAGAACCCGCTCTCTAATCTAAACTCTGCCCAGCGCAGCTACCAGGGAACCCACGCGCAAGCAACGTTGACTCCCATCTGCCGGCCCCAACCTACAATAACAAACAATTCGATGATCACAAATAGGTACAGATCATTTTGACTGTTTGCGTTTCTATTTTAAAACCAGAAATACACAATAAAAAATGTTTGCGACTCCTCCAATATTCTGTATTTTTTTGGGAGGGGCGGGGGGGCTAAAAGGTTTATAAATGAATTAATGATCAAACCCTTAAGATGTAAAAAAGGTCAACATTTTAACCTTCTCCAATGATAATCTAACTAGTGTACTGTTTAGGCACTCCAACAGCAAGCAATGATGAACCCCTGATACTGGGGACGGTACTAGAGTATAAATAATAGTCTAGTACTGTCCTAATCAGAACCTTAACCCTTCAACCCTGCAAATTCAGGGGTCCACCCCCTGCAGATAGATAGATACCTGTCTATCAGTAGTTAGTACAAAAATAAGTAGACTAGAACAAATAATATGGTTAATTCAATAATTATGTAATATGAGAAATACTGATTAAGATAATCAGTTTTATATTTCAGATAATAGGGTAAAACAACAAATTATTTTAATTTTTCATTTTATTAAGGTTTTATAGACCTAATTTAAAGTGACCATTTAGTTTTAGAGTGACATATCCGATTCACGACAAACCTTTTATTCTCTTATAGATCAAGCAAGACGTAGATATCCTTTACTTTAATAGGTAAAAATAAAGTGCTGAAGAGTGTTTCGGCACTCCATCCATTCCGTGTAAATCAGGATATTTACATCATCCTTCCTTGATTAGACATTGGTTTAAAGGGGTTTGAATAGGGTAACTTGACATTAGGTCTTTAGTTCCTTTACGCTTACTTCTTAGTCTACTTATGCAGTACATTTTTGGTTGTGTTAGGTTCTTATTTGTTCAGTTCTTACACTCATTACTTGTCCTTTATTCGGGTACCCTCGGCCCGGTACATATATACTTCTTGTATGTCAAATCAAATTTTACATACAAGTCAGCATGCCTATGCTTTAAACAGCTTTATAGCTTGGAGCAAAAAAAAAATGTTACTTTCATATAAGACGAGTTTCAAGCCCCCACCCCCCTTATTAATTTATTTTTATAATTGTTTATTAAAACATACTGCGGAATTTTTTCTAATTGGAACCCGTAAGCAAAATATTGTATATCTTCCTGAAATGTACATTGTTATGTACACCGTATATACTGCATATTGTACTGTGCTCTGCATTGCATTGGTAAACATTATTTTATCATTATCATTTCTTTGAAACTGTAAACTTAGTCTTGTATTAAATGTAAAATGTTTATGATCTATATAATGTTGTTCACTAAGGGAGAGTGATTTTTTTGAATCGCCCTTTACCTCTAATAGGAGACAAAAAGCAACGTTGACACAGTTTTGATAGAAGCAAAAATTGCACTGCGATACCAACTTTGTTTAAAGTAAGAATTGCTGGTAAAATAGAAAAAGTTCAGATTGACAAAATATTTTACGACTGTGGTGCGGAAATTGAAATTTGATAAGATGTATAAATTGACCTCCCTTAATGCATAATTTGCAATGTACTGTCTGAGTGTTATTTATAACGATTGCATTATTTTATGTGTAAATAAATTTTATAAAAAATTCAAGTACTCGACAAAAAAACTGTTGTCATATTAGATTGGAACGGTTCTTAGAAATTGGAATTGGAAGTTTAGAATTAGGATATGAAGGGTAGAACTAGTAGGATATGAAGGGTAGAACTAGTAGGATTGGAAGGTTAGAACTAGTAGGATTGGAAGGGTAGAACTAGTAGGATTGGAAGAATATAACTAGTAGGATTGGAAGGGTAGAACTAGTAGGTTTGGAAGAGTAGAACTAGCATGAACTAGTAGGATTGGAAGGGTAGAACTAGTAGGATTGGAAGGGTAGAACTAGTAGGTTTGGAAGGGTAGAACTAAAAGGATTGGAAGGGTAGAACTAGCATAATTGGAAGGGTAGAACCAGTAGGATTGGAAGAATATAACTAGTAGGATTGGAAGAATATAACTAGTAGGATCGGAAGAATAAAACTAGTAGGATTGGAAGGGTAGAACTAGTTGGATTGGAAGGGTAGAACTAGTAGGATTGGAAGGGTAGAACTAGTAGGATTGGAAGGGTAGAACTTGTAGGAAGGGTAGAACTAGTAGGATTGGAAGAGTAGAACTCGTAGGATTGGAAGGGTAGAACTTGTAGGATTGGAAGGGTAGAACTAGTAGGATTGGAAGGGTAGAACTAGTAGGATTGGAAGAGTAGAACTAGTAGGTTTGGAAGGGTAGAACTAGTAGGTTTGGAAGAGTAGAACTAGCATGAGTTGAAGTAGTGGAAGGGTAGAATTTTATTGAAAAACCTAAATATAATTGTGTTGTATTGAAAGTTTTGCTGCTGAATACACAATCTTTTTTTAAATAGCTGAAGAAATGCAGAGGGGGAAGAGAGGAAGTCCATGACATAGGTTTGTTTGCATATAAGAATATTTATTGTCTTTATATTTACATTTTGCTTGTCTGTTTAGGTTTTTCCGTCTGTTTGCGTCCAATAGATGTCAGAACGGTTGAATTTATCGAGTTACAATTTTGTGTTTCAACTCATATTGACCCCCAAAGAAAGGCTTATGGACTTTCAAATTTGAAAATTTAGGCTTAAAAATATCTCTATTTTTTTATTCCATCAACTTTAACAGATAATCCACGAAAATGTTTTTCGCATCCTAAAATGAAAAATGGCGACCTAAAAATTTAACTTAACAAAAAAGTTGTTACTATAAAAGGGGCGCGAAGCGTCCTAAAAGCCTAGTTTACAGTACAGATACTCTTAAGATTAAACGAAAAAAAATCTTTCTTTTCTCTCGACTTATTGTGAAACTAATTCCTATTTCTTAGTTTAATAGTTTTATAAAAATATTAGTTAGATAAAGATTGAATTCTTTAGTTCTGTCTGTGTGTTCAGTTCGACTGGTGGGTGTAGAGTCAATGCCCTCGAGTTTTTGCAGAGTTTCTTACAATTCCTCAATCTAGCTTCTTAACCGACTATTCACCCTCCTGCCTTCATACCTGCCCTTACACTCTACTACACTCACTACTATACACTTGAACACAATATTATACAAGATAACCAAGAATTTAGCTTGAAATAATGGTAAGAAATGACGTAATTTAATTAGTAATGTTACATCGTCTATCCGCAACATTCCTTCTACTGAACTTCTGACCTAATAACTTTCCGACCTATGACCGCTGTTTATTTAGCATTATTTGGTAATCGGGCTAGATTTAGACAATTTCTGGACCCAGCGCTGCTGCCACATAACCACGTCCTCGTAGGTCAAAGCTTAATATAGCGGATGTGCGTAGGTCGACTGATATACTACCGATCTAGTTAAAATAAAAGATAATCATTTTAATTTTTGAGCGTTGTAGACCGTTGTAGTTTGAAAATTTCCATCTAGGATGGTTTTCAAATAAATTATCAACACTTTTTTTACTTTTCAGCATTATCTATCTAAATTGACCTTATTATCAGATGAAATCTAGAATGTGGGACCTAGAGGACCTATTTATATTTACTAAGTAGTTTCCAAGTCTCTTATACAACTTTAATTAACGTCCAACAACCTCGTTTTATCATTACAAGCTAGTTAAATTAATATATTTAGGTTTATCTAGATAACACAATCTTTTATTTCTACATATTTTTACTCGTGACAAGATGATAAGGATCAAAAGTTAAATTGTAAAAAATCTGAAAATTCTGATGAAAACGATATTTATTAATAATTTATTATTTTTCCTACAAATTATTACTTCACTATGATATACAGTAAAAAGACCTAAATTTTTGAGATCGAACTTAACTGTTTTTTCTTGATTTACAGTGGACTACCGTGGAACAATTAGGAACGGAGAGGCAGTGTAAAAAGTTAAATGTTGTTTAAATTAAGCAAAAATATCAGTCTTTTATTTTGACTCATTGCGTCGTTTCTTTGATTAAATATGATAGGAAATGTGCCTCTACAATCACACTAGTTATTCAACTATTTTTGTTTTATCAAAATATGTTTAAATCAGCTGGCTGAAGTAATTTGGACCCAGAAACCCGAAAAAAATTTCGAACATTGAAATTCATTAAAAAAAATGATTAAAAATGGTTTGAAGGGTGATTAATGATTACAAATGAGAACTCTGTTTGATAATTAAAACATAAATGAAATCTGAAACTATACAATATACATATAATACACACCTAGGGAAGAAAAGTCTATTCTTCCTGCATATCTGAACATATGTACGGGTTCACATTTAACATGCAAGACCGTACGGGTTGAACAAGAAGGTTTATACAAAAGTTGATAAATTCAACGGTATAAAAGTCCACAACAGCTGAACATAAATGGCAGTGAACTATTAGCTGAGGAGATTAAATTTAGTTAGAGTACAACTAGTCTGGCTTGCAGGAGTATACTCAGCAGAACTAGGTACTAGAGGTAGGTACTTGTACAAGTAGTATACTTGTACCCTTGGTTGTACAGTATACCTCTGTACATGGCAGTGTTAGACAGTAATTATCTACATAGTGTTACAAGAGAAATTCAGAGAACATAAACTTGTGATTTCAAAGCTCCAGGATATATTTCCGCCAAGATCCTTACAGTTGGTAGACGTCAGGTACACTTTCATACTGTCAGCTTCAAGCAGCTGGGAACTCCGCGGTCCAATTCCAACAGCTGGGAATTATGCTGATAAGTTTCAACAGCTGTATAATAGGCGATAAGATTCTAATTGCGGCAATCTTAGTTTCAATTTCAATTAGTTTCAATTGCAGCAGTTTTCGATGTCAGCTTAAAACAGTTGCAGTCTTTGTTGTCAATCGTTAAATTTTGGTTTAAAAAGACGTAATCCCTGTTTTCCTTACAGTATTTCTATGAAGACGGAAGCTAGGAACTGAATTACTCCTGAATAACAGATCCAGAGCTGTACTGATAGAAGTTACAGCTGTCTAACTGTATTAACTAGACCGATCTGATATTTAAATGTACTGGTGCAAATGACGCTATACAGCTGCGTGTGTCCATGTTCTGACAAGAAACTAAGTCTGTGTACTTAGTCCAACAGCAAACTGGCTTTGCGGATCCGTACTCACAACAATTAAGCTATGTGCACTTGTTTTGACAGCAAACTTGCTGTGTGCACTTAGTTTCACATCAAACTTGCTGCTTTAACTTGGTCTGACAGCAATCTATCTGTATGTACTGTGTACCCGGATTAGCAGGTTGAATTATTGTTGACTAATGAGAGACTAAGAGGATTATCTCCGGTAGGAACAGTCCTATCTGCTAGAACAAAATTGTCGTAAACAGTCTTCAACTCTTCCAGTGTGTACTCCTCTGAAAAATTAGAAATATCAGACATTTGGTTTTATCTTTATAATTTTTTTTTAAATACACATTTTACAGAATATTTCATGTAATATTCCGGTGTAAGAATGAAAGATACAAAATAAAATATAGTAAGTTTGGATTCAACCCTTAATACCAATTACTTTATTTCTTATTGGATTACTTATTTAGGGTTTAAAAACTATTGGTTACCTAGACATATCCAGGAAGTTAAATCCTTGCTAACTTGTCTAGCACATCGTAGGCAGTGTACAACATGCTTCCTCTCATTCCCTTTCACGAAGAAGATGTTGAAAACCTAAATAAACAAACTTTATTACATTTTCTGGGATTGAGTCTCACGTAGTTAGATTTAGTTATTTGACTGAATTCTTGACACCCTATATTTATTCATGAATTACCTCCTCCTCGCAGATCATACAGTAGTTGACCGGCTCATTAGGTTTATGTCCATGGAACCGGATAGGCACTCCTTGCTCTATAGCGAACTGACGCATTAGCACGGTCTGGCGCAACGAGCGCATCATGGTGCGCTTCATGGAATGAAAGAGTTCAAAATCTGTAACTCGAATGTTTTGCGCCATTGTCCATGTGAGAAATACCTGAAATAATAAGTATATGAAGAAATATCAACAAATATATTGAAATATTTATTGTATCGTATATATAAGTTGTAGTTGTTAAATTCCGTGTTAGATATACAATATACAATTATACAATGAAATAAAATTTGATATAAAAAATCATGAACTCACCATTGCTACAATAGATTGATACCGTTGGCTCTTATTCCACTCGTATCTCTCTATAGCAGCTGTATACTGCCTGTATGTGAGTGGTCCTGTATTCCAGGCAACGTTGTTGCACCACCCTGAGGCTTGAACCCAATGAACACAACCCGTGTTGACCCAAACTACTTCTCCAGGTCGTTGCATAAACCGGTAGCAAGGTATACCAGCCTCCTGCAATTAAAATTATTATTAAAATTAATATCAAATTAACACAAAACTGAAATTCAAACAATCGGACAGAGCTCAGTTAAGGTTTAATTTTATTACACAACTTGCAATAATAAAATATGCAATGCTGGAAACTGCAAACTAAATCGTTTTTTAATTCTCAGCTTGTAAAACTAGAACAAAGTGGGAATCCCCCCTCCCCCTCTTTTTACTGCGTAAAAGCTACGCAAGATGTGAATTGTCAACTTCCCCCACCCCCTCTATCCCCAATTGCACAGCAAAATAAGAATGAAGATCTCACCTTTAAATCTTCCATTTTCGGCCACCAGCTACCGTGGAGATAGTCCACGTCACTCTTTTCACAGAGCTCCTGTATAGCTCCCCAGTAGGAGTCAGGAACTCCAAACCACTCTGAGTCTCCAGGTCCAATATTGATATTGACGGCAGCGAAGTTATTATTCTCCTGATGTCCAGGGGTTCGAGATCTTGGAACCTTAAAATACAAAATAAATAAATAAAAATATTTAAAGGGTTTGAAATAAAAAAGGAAATTTCTTAAATTTTTCTAGGGAAGCGGGGAAAATTTTAGTTAGCACATACCTTCATATATAGTTGTATGGTATTCATCCCTAATATCTGATGACCTATATGTGAGAGCATATTTCCGGCTGATACTACCCTTAACCAGCAGGGTAACTTCATCAGCTCCTAGAAGAAACATACTTTAACGGAGTTCGATCAAATTGTTTAGAGGAGTTTTGAGTCGATTTCTCCCTACGCTATTCAACGCGATTGGGAGAGGAGAAGAAGGGGGAAGGGGGGTGGGCCCGGGGGTACGAAACCGATCACTTTTCTCACTTCACAGTTTTATGTTTTAACTCAAAAATGTGACCTAGCTTGTCAATGATATGAAAATTTGTACGACAGCCTTGAACAAAAACAAAAAATAAAAAGATGGAACTTTTAAAAAGAATTAATTATAACTTTAGATGTCACAGAGTAACTAAAGAAAGAGCTTGTAAGGGTTCTAAGCGTATTTAAAAATAAGATGTTAGATGAGGAAATTATCCCAACCTGGATTTGAGGTTTCCATTTCTTCTCGTCAGATAGATCACAGTTGGTTCCAAACTTTATAGTTCTACGGATAGGAGTCCCATTCTCATCTGATTTCAGTTCAAGCTGGAACAAAATTATAACAATTAGCAAAAATTCGTACCCTTTGATACGACCCAAAGGTAAAAGACCAGAGAGGTTTCAGACCTTAGAAAATTGTATTAAATCTTTAGTTAGGATCAGTCATGTTAAGACATGTTCGAAGAATTGGGTTTAAATTAGCAGACGATTCTGACCCGTAAATTGAGCGGCGAGTTTGAATTTGACTGATATTTTTAATAAGACTTTCAAATAAGTAGTTCGGATACCCTTTAGGTTAGTTTCAAATATCTTCATTTATTAAAGGTTAAAAACTAAAATTATTATAATTCATATTTTCTACCTTGGGATTAAAGCTGAAGTCCTTCCCGAGCTTTTCTTTGGTTTCTTTGAATGAGGTAGTGAGGTATTCAGCATATTTAGCTATAGTTGTATGTGATCTACTAGAGGTACAGTACCAAACCTGAATAAAGATGAGGTTAAGGATCTGTAAATAAAACATCTCGGAGAGAGCAGACCCGTCAACGGAATATATGCATAATATATATGATATGTGTTAATATATTATTTATATATTATTAATATAGTTGTGTGTTGATCTAGTAGAGGTACAGTACCAAACCTGAATATATATAAATAAAAGGAAAAAGATAAGAATTTAATTTAACAATGAATAATTGAGAAAACACTGAGACATGATGTTCAGTTATACAAACAGTTTTAAACTCTAGACCAGTCTAGGTTTAATATTATAAAACAAGGAAACTCCTGAATCATAAACTGATCAAGTGAACCAAGAATCCAGGTTTAGATATAGCACATAAAGTAGAAGCAAGGATCAGGGTTTTAGGATTAGGACACAGGATATACAGAATATACAGGATATACAGAATATACAGAGCTGAAAACTTTAGAATGGTGGATATCAGAATTAATGCTTAATCCACTCTTTTTCTTAATCTCCAGATTAAATATTGCTTATAATCCTCATGAACTTAATCTCCAGATTAATTAACAGATCGGGATTAAGGATATCACATTCTAAAGTTTTCAGCTCAGGATATACAGGATATACAGGATATACAGGATATACAGAATATACAGAATATACAGGATATACAGAATATACAGGATATACAGGATATACAGGATATACAGGATATACAGGATATACAGAATATACAGGATATACAGAATATACAGGATATACAGGATATACAGGATATACAGGATATACAGGATATACAGGATATACAGAATATACAGGATTTACAGGATTTACAGGATATACAGGATATACAGAATATACAGGATATACAGGATATACAGGATATACAGAATATACAGGATATACAGGATAAACAGGATATACAGGATATACAGGATATACAGAATATACAGGATTTACAGGATATACAGGATATACAGGATATACAGAATACTCAAGGATCCAGGTTCAAGAAACACAAGAGAAACAATAACCAGGTTCAGGATATACAGGATATACAGGATATACAGAATACTCAAGGATCAGGGTTCAAGAAATACAAGAGAAACAATAACCCGGTTCAGATATTGAGGATACTCAAGGAACTGGGTCCAGGATACAGGTAAAATAAAAGGATCAGGGTTCATGTTAGGAATATACGAGAATAAATAATCCAGAATATACAAAATTAAAAAGAAATATAACTCAGGTTTCAGAACATTGAAAGAAGTAAGAACCAAGAATAGGTTCAGGTTTTAGACAAGGAATAAACAGCAAAACCAAGAACATTTCAATGCTAAAAATAATACTGGAGACTGTGACCACAATTAAGAAGTAGAAATATGCTTTCAAAACACATGGTATTGTATTGCAAAGGAAAATAAAATCTAAGTTTTATTTTTCTCTAAACATCAAATATTTTGGTACATTATTTTTGTTTTATCTATGTTCCCAAGATCTAAATATTTTAATAAAAAAAAACTTTAAATTATAAATATCCCAAAAGAAATCTTTTCTTTTAAAATAGTAGACTGAAAGAACTTTTCTCTTCAAGAATGATAAAGTTTTAATAAAGAATAAAGAAGGATTGGGATCAACGTCCTCCAGAGAAGTAGAGGCAGTCAGGACTCAGCTTTCTCAAATACGATTATATCAGGTTATTCTCACATTATACACACACAACTACTAGTCAGAAAGTTTATTTTTAAGGGAAAAGATAGAATAGATAAAACTAGGAATAATTATAGTTTATTGATAAATGCAGGCTATGAAGGGGAATATAAACTAGATAAAGGAATAAAGGAATGGTTGATCAATCAAACCAAGGTTTGGACTGAAAACTGACTTTAAGGACAAAGGAAAGATTGAGAAATTAAGGTTAAGAAATGAGAATAATAAAACTGAGGATGAAGAAACAGGCTGAGGTATGAAGACTCAGATGAGAAAAAAGGTGGGTTGAGAAAAAAGGTGGGTTGAGAAAAAAGGATGGGTTGAGAAATAAGGATAGGTTAAGAAAAAAGAATGGGTTAAGAAAAAAGAATGGGTTAAGAAAAAAGAATGGCTTGAAAAATAAAGATGGGTTGAGAAATAAGAATGGGTTAAGAAAAAAGATGGGTTGAGAAATAAGGAGAGGTTAAGAAAAAAGAATGGGTTAAGAAAACAGAATGGATTGAGAAATAAGGATGGGTTGAGAAATAAGGATGTGTTGAGAAATAAGGATGGGTCGAGAAATAAGAGTGGGTTGAGAAACAAGGGCTACGTTGAGGAATGAAGCCTTGGTAAAGGAATGAAGGGTATGTTGAGGAACGAAGCCAAGGTTGAGGAATAAAGGAAAGGTTGAGGAATGAAGACTAGGTTGAGGAAGGAAGGCTAGGTTAAGAAATAAAGAATAGGTTGAGAAATAAACACTAGTTTGAGAAATGAAGGCTAGGTTGAGGAATAAAGTCAAGGTTAAGTAATAAAGGCTAGGTTGAGAAATAAAGACTAGGTTGAGGAATGAAGGCTAGGTTGAGGAATAAAGGCTAGGTTAAGTACTAAAGGCTAGGTTGAGGAATAAAGACTAAGTTAAGGAATGAAGGCTAGGTTGAGGAATGAAAGCTAGGTTGAGGAATGAAAGCTAGGTAGAGGAATGAAGGCTAGGTTGAGGAATAAAGGCTAGGTTGAGGAACGAAGGCTATGTTGAGGAATGAAGCCTTGGTTGAGGAATGATGGCTAGGTAGAGGAATGAAGGCTAGGTTGAGGAATAAATGCAAGGTTGAGGAACGAAGGCTAGGTTAAGGAATGAAGCCTTGGTTGAGGAATGAAGGCTAGGTTGAGGAATAAAGGGTATGTTGAGGAACGAAGGCTAGGTTGAGGAAGGAAGGCTAGCTTGAGAAATAAACAATAGTTTATGAAATGAAGGCTAGGTTGAGGAAGGAAGGCTAGGTTGAGAAAAAAAACAATAGTTTCAGATATGAAGGCTAGGTTGAGGAGAAAAGACTAGGCTGAGGAAGGAACTAGGTGGAGAAATTAACACTAGTTTGAGAAATGAAGGCTAGGTTGAGGAATAAAGGCTCAGTTGAGGAATGAAGACTAGGTTGAGAAATGAAGGCTAGGTTGAGGAATGAAGGCTAGGTTGAGGAATGAAAGTTAGGTTGAGGAATGAAGGTTAGGTTGAGGAATGAAGGCTTGGTTGAGGAATGAAGGCTAGGTTGAGGAATGAAGGCTAGGCTGAGGAATGAAGACTTGGTTGAGGAATGAAGGCTAGGTTGAGGAATGAAGGCTTGGTTGAGGAATGAAGACTAGGTTGAGGAATGAAGGCAAGGTGAGGAATGAAGGCTTGGTTGAGGAATGAAGGCTAGGTTGAGGAATGAAGGCTAGGTTGTGAAATGAAGGCTAGGTTAGGTAATAAAGGCTAGGTTGAGGAATGAAGGCTTGGTTGAGTAATAAAGGCTAGGTTGAGAAATAAAGGTTGAAGAATGAATACTAAGTTGAGGAATGAAGGCTAGGTTGAGGAATGAAGGCTAGGTTGAGTTATAAACGCTAGGTTAAGGAATGAAGGGTAGGTTGAGGAATAAAGGCTAGGTTGAGGAATGAAAGCTAGGTTGAGGAATGAAGGCTAGGTTGAGGAATGAAGGCTAGATTGAGGAATGAAAGCTAGGTTGAGGAATGAAGGCTAGGTTGAGGAATGAAGGCTAGGTTGAGAAATGAAGGCTAGGTTAAGGAATGAAGGTTAGGTTGAGGAATGAAGGTTAGGTTGAGGAATGAAGGCTAGGTTGAGGACTGAAGACTAGGTTGAGGAATGAAGGCTAGGTTGAGGAATGAAGGCTAGGTTGAGGAATGAAGGCTAGGTTGAGGAATGAAGGCTAGATTGAGGAATAAAGGCTAAGTTGAGGAATGAAGGCTAGGTTGAGTTATAACGCTAGGTTAAGGAATGAAGGGTAGGTTGAGGAATTAAGGCTAGGTTGAGTAAAAAACGCTAGGTTGAGGATTGAAAGCTATGTTGAGGAATGAAGGCTAGGTTGAGGAATTAAGGCTAGGTTGAGGAATGAAGGTTAGGTTGAGGAATAAAGGTTAGGTTGAGGAATGAAGGTTAGGTTGAGGAATAAAGGTTAGATTGAGGAATAAAGGTTAGGTTGAGGAATAAAGGCTAGGTTGAGGAATGAAGGCTAGGTACAATTCAGAACTATGATGTGATAAGAAGTAAGGAAACGTGAGTAGTGTAAGAACTGGCCTGAATATAACGGAACAAAAACTAGCGCAAAAACATTAGTAAAAAGTGGCGGGGGGAATAAACTCTAAATAACAAGGTTCAGTAACATAAATGTAGGCCTAACATACCAGTATTTTTAAGGTTAAGCAAAAGCGTACTGAAGTGGGAAGAAAAAGAAATAAAGAATGTTATGCGTCATATCGAGTATAAAGAAACGTGCAGTACGCGATGAAAAAATTTGTCCAAATGAAATTGTATCTTTTGTGACGCATACAGTTGGAAGCAATTTAAACAGAACCCAGGAAAACTGGGTACTTCCTTTTAAATTCATATTACCAATATTGCAGACGTCAATTGAAAAGGTACATTAGAGCTAACAACTACTCAGAAACCATATTAAAAGCTAGTTAATGGGCTAGAATATTGTAGATAAAAAATGCGAGTTTCATCTTCCACAGGATGGTACGCACAATACAATGGATTTTTAGAGTAAATGGAATTACAGGACAGTCCTAATTATAATGTTTTTGTTTTTTTGTAAATGTTACCTCTTTCGTAAGAGATGGGTCCCAATTCTCATCACTGCTTTGCTCCATTTGTGTACGGATTTCTACCGGATGGTTTGGATGACACTCCACCAAGGATTTAGTTGTATACAGAGAAAGGTCCATGTCACACGCCTGAGGTAAACCTCGAATGACGGTTATGGGTCTCTGAAGACACCATTCCAGGAGCTGGGGGGAGAACGCCTCCTGTTTGTTCTTCACGTGAACACACGGCGTGTTCGGCAGAAGTTGTTCGGAACTCAACTTTGGAAGTTGATGTCGTCGTTTTGGTTGAGGACAGGGTTCTCCTTCGTCCAATACTGATGTAGATATTTCACCTGTCCCTGGTCCTACACGTTCACATTCACTAACTATTTCACTACCGGTCATTTTTATATTTAAAATGGGAGTTGGGTGGGGTTTCACATCATCTTCACTGTTTTCCACCTTCACTGAGCTGAGATTATTGAGCTTTACTTCACACATTTTGAGCTCAGGTTTGACCGGACTTGGGTCCAGAGAACCAGCTCTGCGAGAAAGACGAGGGGATCCTGAACCTGGTCGAGGAGGTCGAGGGTGCGAAAACTCCTCCAGGGGTAAGGTTTTATGTTGAGCTCGGCCGGGAGCGGTTCCGTACCGGGAAATGCGAATCTTGAGACTTGTTTCATCCTTGGATACTAGAACAGGAGCAGGGGGGGCAGGAGGAGCTAGAGAGGAAGACTTAAACCGTTTAAGGCTTGATTCATCCTGAACAAAAAGCTTTATAAAATTTTCTTATTTAGTACCGAAATCTTTAGTGATTGCAAAACTACGTGATGAGAAACAAAATAGATTTTTTTATTACTTTTAGAATCCGTACATTAATGTATGGTGCACACATGTTTAGTTTATTTTTTCGTATCTCATTCTCCATTTGTTGCAATTCTATTATTTCATTATACCTATAATAAACAGTTAAACTATAAAAAACGGATTAAGTTTGGATACACAACACATATCTTCTATGTGAATCAAGTGTCAAACATGATTGTCATAGAAGAAGTTTTAGTAATAATTGCAGAATTGTGTAACGAAAACATATTTATAAAAACATTTCCGTGGCAAAGATAAATATTTATTATTACGAAACAAAAAATAAGGTAAACAGGTTGTTTTCGTAAAACTCAGTTGCCTTTCATTTAAGGAGTGTCATAAACGATAAATAGTAACGGTCCTTTAAACCAATGGTATGCAAACTGCTAGTCTGTCAAAAAAATCCACGAGGTGCTTCCAAACAAACCCGCGGCCAAAGGTTATCATTACACGTTGACAGTTACTTTAAATATATTTAAAAAATAATCGGTCAAACTTGTCACCTGGTCAGCTGGGTGTGTTCTCCTGTCCCTACCAGATATATCTGTCTGAACACTCATTTTAATCTTGTAATTTCTCTCCCTACCAGTACTCAATCCAGCAGACATCTGAAATATTTAGTAAATTGGTGTTTTTTACCAAAACATTTGGATTTTGTAAATGGTCTTCAGTCTAATATAAGATAAAAGGTGACAGATATAACCCCCCCCCCCCCATTCAGGATCTATAATAAGGAATAATAGTATTGTTTAATAACTATTGCGATAAAACTTTTATGGAAAACTTAAAAGAAAACCCTTCATGTCATTAGAAAGTTGTCCCTTTTTTATCTTGATGAGAAATTTTTTGGAATAATCGTAGCAAAACACAAATATAAATAAATATAAAATAGATAGAATAGTTTGTACTTGATCCAAAGTTTGAACAAGTTTATTGAAACAAATATCCCGCATTCCGTGGTAAAACTTCCCGGATTTTATTACAAAACCGCAAAAGTACAAGATTCTGAACGATTCAACCTTTATGATTTAATTTTTTAATTTTTTAATTTTTTTATCAAAATATTTGTTTCTTATTGTTTCTGATTTCGGAGCAAAACGTCAGAACATTAAAGTGTAAAAAATGAAGATCCCTCTTTCTTTTGTTTTGATTTGTAAACATGATCAAGAGCTTGAATTCATGATCGATAAGTGATTACTTTTACAACCGTATCAGGGCTTAAAGCTCACATTTTTACGACCGGGGTTGTTAAAATTAATTTATATGCATATTTGCATTAGAATTAAGATTAAAATCTCTTTCATTTCTCTTAATCTTCCCCAACAGTTCCCTCATATATTTCGTTTAGGAAGATAAAATACGAAATCGATTGAATATTTCTCTAAAAATACTGATCCACGGAGTGAAAAAAGGGGGGGGGGTCCTGGCTGTGTCAACCAAAAATATATTCAAAAATAAAACCAATAATAATCCGGACTATGGTTTAGAACAGATAACTTGTGTTTCAGGTTTTCAGGTTTCAGATGAAGACTGAGGTTTAGAGAGATTATAATGTATTGAAATCTCCAAATTTAAGGAGTACAATCTAACCCTTGTATTGTCCAAGAGTTCACTCTGTAGTGTGTATTTATATATATATATATAAATATATATAGCACAGGGGATTAATTTCACCCTTGGAAAGGTTTAAACAACCCTGTGGAAATAGGACGCTATGTTAGCGTGTTCCCCCTCCCCCCCCCCGCTTCCGCGTGCTTATCCCGACCTTAAACCTAGTATAGAAATGTGTAGCGGGGTTGGAATTTCGTAGCTTAATATCAACTCAAGAATTTGCACCACAGCGAACACACTAGCTCAAGGTTTAAGAGAAAGAAGAAACATCCCATCTCTTGCTCTTAGCCTTCCAATACTCACACGCTGAGCGAGTTTGTTACGCATTTATTCTGTCCAAAACAAATATACGCAACTTGATCAAATATAATTATTTTTATGAAACTTTAGTGTACTTTATCATTATTACTCACTTCATCGTGAATTTCATAATGAACGTGCTAACCATCGTGCTATAATGTTATATTAGCTGTACATTATAGCACTTGTGCTATCAAATTTGATTTTCTCTAAAAACAATAGGATATTTCCAAAATATTTTTTTCAATTGAAATGAAAAAAAATTGAAATCACCTTTATTTTGACTTCGGCTTTGTTTCAAATCTTATTTGATCTAGAAACAGCCATTGAAATAACACTACGACGTACTATATAGTTTTGACAGAAATTATATAACACTGCGAACTAAAATAACAGTGTTATAAATAGTTATTATTTCAGAGCTTTCTAATATAAAATTTCTTAAATATTTTTTAGAACGAATTTTTAAGGTAATAATTAAAGATCGTTAATAGTTGATTTAAAAAAACTTTAAGGTATTACAAAAAAAAACATTAAATATTTTTAATTTCAGTGAGTAATTGACAGTGAAAACATTATTTGTAAATAATGAAAAAACTAAGAAATAAACAGATTCAGATTTTAAACATATTGCATTCCTTTTAAAATAAACATTCAAAGCTTTGCAACATTAAATTCTATTTTAAAATGTGTTAAGCAAAAATTTGATGTAATTAAAAATTATCAGTAAACTTGAGCATGGATAAAGTAGAGTAAAACATGCACTGTACAAATATTTTTTAGATAAAACATTTATTTTTAAGCTTCCTCTTTAATTTCCTCCAAAATTTTATAGATTTTCCTCAAAAGCTCAGTGATTTCCTCAAATTAAAGTGTATATATATCATGATTTTTGTAAGAGAGGCAAAATTAAATATTTTAGGAAATTATTAACCCCTGTTTATACTATAGAACAAATCATCAAGGACATTGTTTAGTCATTGTATAAAACTTTAATGCATATGTGTGTGTGACACAAATTCTGCAATTCTGAAAATGGAAATTTCAAACTAACATCTGAGTGAAAATTTTTGGCAATAGCCCTGAAAATTTTGTAGAATTCCATTAAATCAGAATTTTAGGAGAAATATTCATGAAAAACGGTTTGAATGAATAAATTGATGGATTAGCACTATCAATAAAATGTTCTAAGGTTCGTGAGTTTATAAAGATAACGAGAATTTCGTAATTATTTAAATTTTCTTTAACAATGGTGAACTTTTTATGGCAATTGAAACTAAAATAGCTGTTTACGAAATATCATGATCGGACTAATAAACAAATCTACAGGGACGTTATAACGTTTCTTTGAAAGCTTAAAAGTGCAATTTTGTGTTCTCGGAACGTTTTAATTCAAATTTGCATAAATTTCAAGAATTCCAAGCTGTAAGGTAAACTTTTATGACAATATTCTAGGGAACAGGAACAGTTTCAGAACTGAACTATCACAAAAATTTGGGCTCAGATGCGTATACAGGAGGAGCTATAGGAGCTCAGCCCCCCTAAATATAAAATAGANCTTCATGTCCATGATTCATTAAGAGGAATAATATTAACAAATTTTATAAAGCTCTTCCGAGAGGAGGTGGGGATAAAAAGTTTAAAGATCAAGATTATTAAGAATTAAATTTTAGAAAGCAAGAAATTTGTTCCCCCCATACACACAGCCCTTCTAAAAGTAATCTTTAAAGGAAGCGTAACAATGTCTATTAAAGATACGGCTTGTCTAGAAAACAATTATTTTTATGTAAATTTAATATATATCTAGAGGGGTGGGGGAATATTAGAGAGGGAACGGGAGGGGGTGGGGGAATTAATACTTTCGACAGTAATTATCAAACTAAAGTTCCTCCCTGAATACTATTACAGTATATTATGCAAGTTGAATTCTCCAGGGTTTAGTAAGTTATGATAAGATGAGCAGGTGATGTGGTCGAGGGGGGGGGGTTGTCTCACCTGGTTCGGAGGGTTCAGCTTTAATCTGATACATTTAACCTTCTCCAACGATAGTTCCAGTAATCACTAGATATCCTTCCTTCTTCTCTGATAGGAAATTCAAGCTGGAAGAAACCAGTGGTTTCGTATCTGTATTCTGTTTTCACGCAACTAGCACTGTGAACGGTTAGTACAGGATATCCAACCCAGATATGTATATTTTGTATCTCTCACTAGTTTTGTATCACTGGATAAACAAACTGTAACCACACTTCACAAAATTATTGTAAATTAAAAAATTTAAAAGAAATAACTGAAACTGAATAATTGTTCAAATTAAAGTTTAGGGGGCAGTGACATTGTTTTGTTTTTACGGCAGTGTGAGCGTCTATGTGCTTAGCTGAAAGGAGCCCGGCCTACACTGTGTGACTGTTGTAACTTGTGCGTGCTGTGTAGAGCAGACCGGGACGGGTCTTTACGGACTGGACCGCTCTGCCCAGGTGGCCTGGGGACAGGGAAACTAGAAACAACCTCCCCCTCCCTTCTCTATCTTTATCCAACCCTCCACCTCCCCTTGCCTTCCTCTTCCTTTATTTTTCTTCTTAAAAATATTTTTTATTATAATTTTACCCTAATATTAATATTTAATTAAAGTTAACAATTTTTTATTGTTTATTTTCAATAATTTGAGTAGAGTATATTGACAGGGCGGGTCGGGTCGGATTCTCGTAAGCTACAACTTCTCCCGTAGCCTCGTTCTAACCTAAACTCTCTCTCTTTCTCTCTTTCTATCTTTTCCTTCCTTGTAAAGCACCAAAATTTTACAGAGTTCTATCAGTTGAATATATTTTATATGATCGTATTGGGAGTTAGAATTAATGATTGATAATTGCGGGGAGACTGTATTTCATTTCTATTTCTTATAGTTTCGAACCTATAACATGAACTTCAAACACAACGCTCTCAAACTGACCTACCTAGATCTAGTCCTAAACCTAATCTAATGAATCCTAAATTATAGACTACTCTTGGCTCTCTCATAGATTTGGTTCAGATATTCCATGCAACAGCTGCTGTACGATCGCTGCATATATTTTACAATTACATTATAAAAACGTAATAATTTTATATTTATTTTTTCTCCTTAATAATTTAAATACTCTTTTAATATACTTAAATATTTTATCAGTAAAAATCAATTGGGATGAGGTAGATTCATATTCTATTTATTCTGTTAGAATCTTTACAAAGGAACTGAGTTTTTGTCACAAACTCAAAGTGTCTAATCCCTATATCTTTACAATCTTATGATGTAAACCTAGTGATATTTCAATCTTAGATTATTTGGTCTAACAGAATTCGTATTTTGATTTTTGAAATATCAAAGTGCTACGACATTGGGTAGCAAAGATATAGAGATTAGAAAAGTAGAGTTTGTGACAAAAACTCAGTTCCTTTGCTTTAGTTTTATGGCACGCATATAATCAATGGATCTAATTGGTATAGTTTCAAAGATCCGGCAAAATCATGAATGAGAACACCAAACATAACAATCAGAGGCGTATACAGGGGGGGCTCCCCCTAGATCAGTAAAATCTATGGTTTTCGGGGAGTTTTCAGGCCCTAATTGGTGCAGACCCCCCCCCCCGCTCGAAAGAAAAAAATAGCCCCCCTCCCTAGAACACACTCCTGGGTACGCAAAGCTGCTAAAAATATATTGTGGATTTAGGAGAATAAATAGTTACAGTATTGTATCCTCTCTCTGAGGGGATGCCATTTTTATAATTAGGTCAAACTTATACGCTTGGCTTAAATACGCTCTAAGAGCTCAGTGCTTAACTTAAATTATTCATTATTAGATTACTGACCTCTTGCACAATTTTCACTATGTTTGAGCTTTTTTCCCCTCTCCCTCTATCTTGTATTTTTATTTATGTTTATATTTACTACAATTTTCGTTTATAACAAATTCGTCCAAATATGTCCCTAGCGGTTTTTACGAATAATTTTTCCGTTAGGCCTGAGTTGTCATTCGTTCTTTCTATCTATCTAGCCGTTCCTGCCGTCAGAGGCGTATACAGGGGGGCTACGGGGGCTCAGCCCCCTGTACAAATTCCTGTATAAGCCCGACTGTCTTATATATTTCTATTTACCCTCTACTCTATATCGTGTCTCTCGTTATACTGATATTTTTTTTTATAAAATTCTAAAATTCTGGATATCCTTCTTTATCTGTTCTACTTATCTTCTTCTCTTCTTTGCTTCCCTTGTATCTTTCTATCCTTAAATCCTTCTATCCTTTTATACGTTATCCTGTACACATCAATCCTATTCTTCTAAATCTTATCCTTCTATCTGCATTTTTTTATTTATACCGGTTGCGTATGATAGGGGGGGTTATTGGGGTTAAGTAACCCCCCCCCCCTAGAATCCTGAGGGTAATTACCCCCCCCCCTCTAAAACCTTGGGGGTAATTACCCCCCCCCCCCTAGAAACTTGATCTCCATTCTTCATGTCCATGATTCATTAAGAGGAATAATATTAACAAATTTTATAAAGCTCTTCCGAGAGGAGGTGGGGATAAAAAGTTTAAAGATCAAGATTATTAAGAATTAAATTTTAGAAAGCAAGAAATTTGTTCAATAAATCCAGTTTTTTTAAAGAATAAATGTAGTCAATGTAATTAGTGAATATATCATAAAGGTGTACACTATAGATTGAGTTGACACTTTAGAAAAAACGCTCTTACTCACTCAGTTTTGAATTTACGCTGGTTGATTTGATTTTCACTTAGGACAAATATCATGAGAAACACAAGATCCAAAAGCAGTCTCTGTGCATGTATCCAAATATTTTTCCTGTAATGCCCTTAACTTTCAGGGGAAAATATGAATTACAATTGGCATGGTAGTTTTTAATGTAAAACCTACCAAAAAGCATTTTCATCCACTCCTCTTGATCATGTTCTGAATCTTCTTTATGGTGAATATTCTTCAAAACACTACAACTAATATGTTCGCAGGGCACAGGTGGCTGATCTGCGGATTTTTCATATTGGTGGATTTGCTATTTTATAAGCTGTTTAAAAAGTCCCAATTTATTGTGGACACAACATTTAGGGTATATAGGTTAAGAAAGGTGAAAGCTGAAAGGTGGTGAAGGAAGTCTATTATTTGATTTGAGTTTATTAATCCCAGAAATGATTGGGAAATTGAAATCAAACCCATCTAAAACCCATAATTTGATATACATTATGAATGGGATTGTATAATGTACATGGTCTAGGGGGGGGGGGGAATTTCTATGGGGTTAAAAAAAGTCGACGTGCTACGCGTGCAAAACGTTAATATTACCCAAAGCCCTCCCCCCCTAGAAAATCCTTATATACGCCCTGATCTGTGCCTTCTCATTATATCCTTAAATAATTTATGTCTATATATTTTGTACCCTTTTCTATCCATCAATTCTATCTTTCTATCCTATTCTACACTTCTACTCTTCAGTCTCTTTTCAAGGGAAAATATGATGTACATTGACTAATACTTCCAATCTATTATATTCTTCTTTTATTTAAAATTTTATACTTATATTAAATCCCTTTAATCATGATAAATTGAAAAAACTCCAATAATTATTTAGATTCGACCCTCATAAAAAGAAATCATCCTCTGCAGTTAGTTAGTAGCTGAGAATAGATTGAATCAAAGATTAACTTTTGTTTTGGAATATTCTAGACTTTCATGTTGTATCTTGTCAAACATTCTTAGCTCCTACTAAGGAATATAAAATTTGTGCCGAACAACGGTAGATCTGAGTTTGTAGTTTGCAAAATGCAGATCCGTGCAAACCTGTTGCATCAATTGCAGGGAACCTGCAGTAAAATGCTGGACTAAACGGTAAGATCGGCGAACTGTATCACGTTTCATGAATATAGTTGATGTGCACTGCAGCACTGTACACTTAAATGCAAACTACACTGTACAGTGTTCAGTGTACAATATTATTTATGTGTAGCGTTTGCTTGATTTTATTGAATTAACTGAATTTTAAAGACATTTTTTCTTTAAATCTAATTTTTAGTGGAAGACAAGACTGTACCTGAAACATCCATTATTAGATGGTTTAAAAGTAATCCTGCAATGTTATTAAAGGGACTGTAAAGGAAAAATGAAAAGGGGTATTGCATGAAACCTGAGAATCTCAGGCGTTGAACGATACATATAAGACATCTATCTGATGTTCCCGTCTCGAGAAATTGATATGAAACTGTGTCAAAATTATACAAAAATTTATTTATATACAATTTTGTATAAAGTAGTAGGTTTAAACAGATCATATTCAGCAAATACGCAACCATTATAAAAACGATTATATCTCAAAGAAGCCTGAGAATCTCAGGTTTGCCCCTATTATAACTTAAAATTTTTATTTTGCATTTTAATAGATATAATTCATAATATTATTACAAATAGTCTGTATAGCCCGTATAATGTCACCAGAACTTCAGCCAATGGCAGTGCAGTGTACTGGTCGCGTGGTGATACAGATGGAAATCATGTGACCTATACCCCTTTCATTTTTCCTTTACAGTCCCTTTAAACCAAAACATTGATATAAGCTTCAAATATGAACCTTACATATTTACAGAATGAGTTTCATTACAGTGGAATTTCCAGCCCAGCTATATTTGGATTTTAAAACGTCCATTTAACTTAAAATTAATGGATTTCTTTCCACATATTTATCGAAGACTACAGAACATACAAATTGGTTGTTTACATGCGATGTATGTACACTGTACAATACACAATACAAAATAAGCCAATTAAAGACTATATTAGAGGCAGGAGACTTAATTTAACTAGGGGATTTTCGTATTACATGAGCTTTAGATCGTCTTTACAGTCTCATCATTTGTGGGTAACCCTGTAGGATTCAATCTGCTCTTGAAAGAAAGCATATTTTTTGTGTTAATGTAAACAGTACAGCATAATTATCGTTTAAATTTTTGTACTTTATACGTACAACATATTTGTTTTTAAGCAGTTTATATTCAGCATGTTTATTTTGGTTGGTTTATATAACATTTTTTTACTTATACAAACTATCCAAAATTGTTCTGATTATTGTAAAAACAAAAAAGGTAACACGCTACAAATAGCTTTTACCCGAGGTTGTTGAACTGGTTTGAACTATGAACTTCTGTTTTACTAGAAACTTGATTTTTTGTTTCTTTCTTTTTTAGATTAAACGCATTCATCTATGAAACGTTTCCTTGTTAAGGATTTACGGCTGATTAGTTACTTTTCTCAAAGACAAAATACCCGAAGGTTGGAAATAAGATATTTTTAAAAACTGCGTTAAAAAATACATTTTTGCAGCTCTAAGATATGGAGATATAACCTTGGTCTATTCTCATTCGGCACCTTTACAATGCATAACAAGATTTAAATCGTTGCGTAACCCTTGTCCAGGGGACTCAGGGAGAAACTACTAAATAGAAACTACCAGGAAATTTCTGTGTGACTATCAGGAAACCACTTGGAAACTACAAAGAAACTAACAGGATAACCTAAAAATTTTAAAAAACTAAGAAATCCCCAGGAATTTTTAAAAAACTATCGGGAGCCTACCATAAAACTACCAGAAACTGCCATTAGAAACTACCAAAAAATGCAGGGAAACTACAAAAAAACTAGAAGAAACTAAAAAAAAACGGAAATTAAAAGAAAACTCCGTAGCAACTACAAGGAAACTACATGGAAACTATTAAAAACTACAAGAAAACTACCAGAAATTAAAGAGAAGGAAGCTACAAAGAAATTACATGGAAACTACAATGAAACTGCTAGAAACTACAATGAAACTACCAAAACTACAGTGAAACTACAGTGAAACTGCAGTGAAACTACAGTGAAACTACAGTGAAACTGCAGTGAAACTACAGTGAAACTACAGTGAAACTGCACTGAAACTACAGAGAATTTATAGTAAAACTATAGTGAAACTATAGTGAAACTACATTGAAACTACAGTGAAACTACAGTGAAACTACAGAGAAACTTCAGTGAAACAACAGTAAAACAACAGTGAAACTACAGTGAAACTACAGTGAAACTACAGTGAAACTACAGTGAAACTAAGTGAAACTAAAGTAAAACTACAGTGAAACTACAGTGAAACTACAGTGAAACTACAGTGAAACTACAGAGAAACTACAGTGAAACAACAGTGATGAAACAACAGTGAAACTACAGTGAAACTACAGTGAAACTACAGTAAAACTACAGTAAAACTATAGTGAAACGTCAGTGAAAATACAGTGAAACTACAGTGAAACTACAAGGAATCAGAAACTATCAGAAAACTACAAGAAACATACAAGAAACTATATACCAGATAAACACCAGAAACTAAAAGGTAATACTAAAAAACTACTAGAAACTAGTTAATACCAAAAAAACTACCAGAAACTACAAAAAAAAACACCAAAAATTACAAGGAAACTACAAGGAACTTATCAATGACTACCGAAAACTACCAGAAACTACACAAGGAAACTACAAAGAAACTACTAGAAAATTACAAGGAAACTGCAAGGAAATTACAAGGAAATTATCAGTGACTACCGAAAACTACCAGAAACTACACAAGGAAACTACAAAGAAACCACCAGACAACTAAACTAGAATCTGTAAGGAAACTGCCAGAAAACTACCACAAACTTCAAGGAAACTTCCAGAAACTACAAGGAAACTACAAGGAAACAGTAAACACCAGAAACTACAAGGAAACTTCTAGAAGCTACCAGGAAACTACAAGGAAACTACAAGGAAACTACCAGAAACTACTAGAAACTACTAGCAACTACCAGAAACTACAAGGAAACTACTAGAAACTATCAGATATTATTAGAAACTACTAGAAACTACCAGAAACTACCAGAAACTACTAGAAAATACCGGAAACTACCAGAAACTACAAGGAAACTACAAGAAACTACCAGAAACTACTAGAAATACCAGAAGCTACAATGAAACTTCTAGAAACCACCTTAAAATTACTAGAAACTACTAGAAACTACCATAATCTAAAAGGAATCTACTAAAAACTATCAGAAACTACTAGAAACTACTAGAAACCATCAAAAACTACCAGAAACTACAAGAAAACTACTAGAAACTACCAGAACTACAAAGAATTACCAGAAACTCACCAGAAACTACAAGTTAAATACCAGAAAACTACCAAAACCTACAATAAAGCTACCAGGAATGAAAAGGGAACAGTAAGGAAACAACCAAGAAACTACCATAGAATATCGATAACTAACAGAAAACTACACAAGAAAACTAAAAAGAAACTACCAGAAAACTAAACTAGAAAATGTAAGGAAACTGTCAGAAAACTACCAGAAACTAACAGAAACTACCAGAAAGTAAAAGGAAAATATAAGGAAACTACAAGGAAACTAGAAGGAAACTACAAAGAAACTACCAGGAAACTAAAAGGAAACTACAAGGAAACGACAAGGAAACTAAAAGGAAACTACAAGGAAACTACATAGAAACTACCAGAAAACTTCACAAGGAAATGGCCACAAACCATCAGAAACTACAAGGAAACTGCCAGAATCTTTCAGGAAACTAGTAGGAATTATAGTAAACTATTAGAAACTACTAGGGATCTACAAGAAACTGCGAGGAAGCTATAAGAAAACTATAAGAAAACTATAAGAAAACTATAAGAATACTATAAGGAAACTATAAGGAAACTAAGGAAACAAGGAAAATAGCATAATCCCACCAGGACACAGGGAAACTATTATAATACTATCAGGAAACTATGAAGAAACGATTAGGAAACTCTCCGCTAGGAAACTATGGGAATACAGCAAATATGTTTACTGCTGTAGAGACTACCAGGAAACTAAGGAAACTCTCCGTAGACCGCTAGGAAACTATGGGAATACAGCAAATAAGTTTACTGCTGTAGAGACTACCAGGAAACTAAGGAAACTCTTAAAAACTGAAGAAGAAATAACACTCGGAAATATTAGAAACAACCTGAAAATACCTTGACAATTGACACCAACAGGCAGGAAGGAAACTATACCAGGAAACTAACGATGAATCTAAGTTTACTGAGAAGCTTAGATATGTAATCCAATCCTAGTCATCAACCCTTATTCATTCATTTCTGTAAAGTGTAGAGTCAAGTCATGTTAAATATCTATTGTTGAATCACCTGAACGCTGAACCCTAAGAAGTTAAGAATTGCGGGGGGGGGGTGCAGGGGAGGGTTGCGCGGCTCTTGTCTCAGTTCCCGCCAAAGATCTGCTTGGCTTCAAAACTGGATCATAAAGATGGAAAAAAAAATGGAGGGAAGCTGAGAGAACTGTCCTGAACCCTCTCTAGGTGTACGCAGATACACACACAAAATACCGGGGACAAGGTTGGGAACAAAGAAAAGCAGTTTAAATATTTGGAACCAGGATTTAAGTATGGCAGGTTGTATAGTTCATGTGGGGTCTTATAATGCAGAATAATAAAACAATTCACTTTTTACGTAAAAGGTACAAAGATAATTTTAACTAAATGATTACCGTTAAGGAATAAAAACAATTTCGTTGATCTTCAAAATGAGACAATATTTGAAAGGATAAAACGAGACAATATTTTATATTTAAAGGATAAGACGAGATAATATTTAAAGGATAAAACGAGACAATATTTAAAGGATAAAACGAGACAATATTTAAAGGATAAAACAGACAATATTTAAGGGATAAAACGAGACAATATTTAAAGGATACCTATTACCCAAAATTCGAAATGGGAGCCAGGAATATTAAACAGAAGTATCACACAAGACTATTCAATATCAGAAAAAAGAGAAAAATTCAAAATTCAGTTGGAGTTTTAAAGTATATGGAACTATAAAGACAACAAGTGAGATGAGATAATTTGGATGAATGAGTTTGAGATGTTCAACTTTTCTCCGAGTCCAGTTCGTCAATGCAGCTTTATTTTACCATATTTCAGAATTCAACATCTGCGTGGCGTACTGGAAGGCCTAGGTTTGGCCTGAGGCATGTTTCACGCATCCCCTCCCCCACTCCTTAATCACTTATCCCCCCCTCTCCGCCCTTCTAACCACACAACCCCAACTCCCGCATATCTGTTACTCCATCCCTCGAACACGTTCCTCTGGTTTAATATTCAGCTTAAACTCAAGGTAAAATCATATTTGCTGCAGATATCTAGGTTACAAGACACAACCATCTGTAAAAAAGATCTTACTACCATTTTTAGAAGAAATGCTACGCAGAAGATTTCGTTTTTTTTAGTTATACAAAACTGTGAAATTTTTAGTTTTGGAAGGATCAAGAATTGGAGTTTGGAGGACTGAGAGGGTTAGTAAGCGGATCAATAAAAAATGATTAATTATAAATAAAAAACAGAGCAGGATATGACGATTATTGATGATAAAAAAGAATAAAATGAAAATTGAACAAAAAAAGAATATAAGGAATTAGGAATGGGAAACCTTCGGAGGATAAGAGGATATAAAGATAGTACTAGAAAGGAGAATAGGATATAAGGATGCAACTAGAAAGGAGAAAATGATATAAGGATGCAACTAGAAAGGAGAAAATGATATAAGGATTCAACTAGGAAGGTGAATAGGAAATAAGGATGCAACTAGGTTGGAGAATAGGATATAAGGATGCAACTAGGAAGGAGAATAGGATATAAAGATGTAACTAGGAAGGAGAATAAGATATAAGGATACAACTAGGAAGGAGAATGGGATATATGGATGCAACTAGGAAGGATAATAGGATATATGGATGCAACTAGGAAGGAGAATAGGATATATGGATGCAATTAGGAAGGAGAATAGGATATAAGGATGGAGCTAGAGATGATAAAATGATAGGAGGATGGAACTAGAGAGGAGGATAAGAAATATGAGGGTTGAACTAGAAAAAATAAGAGGTTATGTGAATGGAACTATTGGGAGGATAAGAGGTTATGAGATTGGAAAAAGAGAGGATAAGAGGATAAGAGGATGGAACTATAGGGAGGATAAGAGGTTATTAGGATTAAAGCAGCCAGGATAATTAGCTAAGAGAATGAAACTAGGAAGGATATTTGGCTATTAAGATTAAATGAGGCTGGAACTAGGATCAATATGATGACATGAGGATGGAACTAGGGAGTTTATGAGGATATAACTAGGAATAATAAGAGGATATGATGACATGAGGATGGAACTAGAGGAAGAATAAGAGGATGTGAGGATTGAACTAGGAAGTTTATGAGGATATAACTAGGAATAATAAAAGGATATGAGGGTGGAACTAGGAAGGATAAGATTATATTAGGATGGAAATATGGAGGATATGATTATACTAGGATGGATCTATGGAGGATAAGAGAATAAGAGGATATTAGGATGTAACTAGAGAGGATGGAGGTTGGAACAAGAGAATATGTTTATTCCTTCAACATGTTAACTATATACCAATACTGTGGAGTATTAATGTTTGTAAATATGTGATATATGTAATACATAGTTTGTCCTTTAAAAGCTGATGAATCAACACAATATTGATTGAATAAGAATCGATACTACCGCTTTATGAAGGGGGATATTGATAAGTAGGATTCCTATGATAACAAAGCATTGCTCCAGCTTATGTAAACTTCTACTTACAATTTCTAAATACAGATACCATCCAAATTCTTACTTTTTCATCTCTACACACACATGATCCCTATATCTTTGCAACCTGAACCTGCAAGCTTTGACTATTAGATCCAACTCATAGTTTGAAATATATAAGATCTACGACATTGGGTTTCAAAGATACAAGGATTAGAAATTCTGAGTTTAGGTTTCATTGAAAATTACACGAAAACATTTTTGTGAATGGAAAATATAGCAGATTTCAAAACAAATCGGATAAATAGCCGTTTTTGAGAAAATGGAGTTTGAAATATTTATAAACAGGTAACCTATTAGGTTTACAGCAAAATGAAGAAAATATATCCTACTTAATTTTATATTCGAAACTGAGTTATTTTATATTCGAAACTGAGTTATTTCTCGAACATTAATTTCTTTAGATCAGTTTTCAGTAATATGTAAAATATCAGTATTAGAATTTTAAAAATGTATTTGGTTCAAAATAAATGTTGTTCTTTGGTCACCAACCCTAAACCAGCTATACACATATGATAAAAAATGAAAAAAATTATCACATTTATTTAAATCAAAATTAATTTTCAAGTTTGCAGTTTTTAAGCTATGAAGGACTTCGAAACTTTCTTGCTTCTCACACCGTGTTTTAATCTTAGACAAGGGTCAATATAATTTCAAATGCGATCCCAATATTCTTTTTTGAGCGCTTACTAATAATTTAATAAATCCCTTATTACTTTAAAATTCGGTGATGGTGATGGACCAAACCTCTGTAGAGTAAAAAAGAAGATGTTATTTCCACATTTATTGAAAATGGGTTGACCCGCGTCAGTTCTAACGATATAATAACTATCAAAATCGATAAAATAAAATATAAAAAAATGTTTGTTAAAAAGAAAATAAACAAACAAAAAAGATTATTCAAAATAAAAATTTGGGCTGTCAATAGGCAAACGAACTCAGATTTGTATTACTTGTTTATTGAATTTTTACAATGATAACCAAAAAACTCTGAAATAGGACTTTTCAACTCAAGTTTGGACTTAAACGAGGTCAATGAACATTAGACATAGCATTTGCAAATTGTACAGTGCAATTTCGTATCAAACATTAGAAATTTTAGTGGATTGAACGCCTTTAGTTTAAACATTCAAAGTCTGTCATCAAAATTTGAAGAATTGAAAATATTTCTTGATAGAATTGAAAATTCGGGAGGTAATGTATCAGTTCTAGTAGAAATATGGGATGTCTCTATACTTAACTTATTCTTTATCAAAGATTTCGAACTATTTACTAATACACGAGAAACATCAAAAGGGGGAGGTGTTGCAATATATTGTAAAAGAGACTTTAATCCAAAATTGATACCTGGCTTAGTTAGACAAAAAACTTTCCCTTTTGAGTCGATTGCAATAGAAATATCACTTGAAAACGTCTCAGTTTTTATTGGATCTTATTACAGATCTAACAAATATTTCAGTATCAATAAGTCATCAAATCAATTTGAACCATTTTTTAACGAGTTATTATCTTTTTTAGAAATTTGCAATAACAGCAATTGCAAATCCTATATTTTCAAAGACATTAACATAGATCATCTTAAGGAAATCAATGATGTTATCAGTGAGTATACTATGCATATATTGTTTCCAGGCTTTTCCCCTTTAAATTTCGCGACCTGAACTAACTTCTTGACCATATTATAACTAATGATAACCTAAAAGATACCAAAATATCCAATCGATTTTAGACCATAATACAATATTTCTCCCAATTATTCTTGATTTAAAACACAACGAAAATTCATTTCAAAATCTCACAAGGAACATGAAATCTTTCAAAAATGTGATTGAAAAAGAAAAAAGGAATAATGTATTTTTATCTCAAACTGCAGATATGGCGGTAATAGAATTTAATCAAACATTTTTCATCAAAGAAAAATTAGTCCATTTAAACACTTTTTTGGACATATGTTCATTTTGCACTAACGTATCAATTGCACTATGTTTACAGAAAAAAATTAGTCCGTTTGAGCAAATTTTTTGTTGAACATGTTCTTTTACACTATAGTGCAATTAGTGCAATTTAACGTTATAACGTTAAATTGCACTAATATTTACAGAAAAAAATTAATGCGCTTAAACGAATGTTTTTAGTATTCCAGATATCAATTGCACTGATCATTTGCACTATAAAATATTCCTGGCGGGAAAATAAAATTTTAGTCCAATTGAACACAGAAAACCCGATTTATGTTCATTTGCACTAATGTTCGATCGTACTAAAAACCGGTTACTGATCAGCTGATTTAAGTGCAAAAGTACGTTAGTGCAAACGATATAGCATCGATTTCTGATCAAACAAACCAAAATTGTCTTTATTGTTCCAGATTTATACTGCGAGGTTTCGTGGTTTTCGGAAAGGTGTGTTTTCCAAACCAAATAATTTGTACAGAAAGCAGTAAACCGTGAATCAAATGCAATGCATGTATTTGTTATTTCTCTTCCTTTGTTTGATAACAGTTATTTAAATACTTTAAACTAAGGTTAGAACTGCATTCTGGTGACGACAATTATTGATTTTGTATTTTTTAACTTCCCCGTATGTTGAAGGTGAAGAGGATAGAAGAAGGGGTCCGTCCTAGTGTACGGGTTTTGGATCCTTCTCCCCCCTCTTTCAATTTTGTACATGACCACTTAGTTTTCAGTAAAATTATTATTATTTATTGTTTTATTAATTTAGGGTTAGGTTAGGTTAAGACAATTTCTGGGCCGTACGCTGTGGCTAGTACAGGCTGGGGGGCTGGGAGCTTTAAAGTAATGGTTATGTTCAAAATTGATAGGAGAGGGGGGGTGTCCAATAATCATATTTTAGGAAATTACTGGGGTCTGTTCTAAAGAACGAATTTTGACCCCCCCTTTCCTATCAATTTTGTACATGACCATTAATAAGTTTTTTTTTCCATTATTTTAGGATTATGTTAGGTTAAGACAACTTCTTGGCCGAGCGCTGTGGCTAGGACAGGTTAGGGGGCCGAGCGCTGCGGCTAGGACAGGTAAGGAGGCCGAGCGCTGCCTCTAGGGGTCGAGCGCCGGGGCTAGGACAGACTAGGGGGGCGGGCGCTGCGGCCATATGATCAATTATATCCATGTGATACATATGAGATCCATTTACATAATTGATAGGAGGGGGGGGGGGGGCCTTACAATCGTTCTCTAGGAGTTTACCGGAAGTAGAAGTTAAAGGAAGTAGAAGGTGAAGGAAGTGGAAGTAGAAGGTGAAGGGGGTGGAAGATGAAAAAGTGAGGTTGAAGTGGGTGGAAGATGAAGGGAGTTAAGGTTGAAGGATGTTGAAGGATGGTGAAGGATGACAAGGGACACCTCATTAGATCACTTAAAATGAATATACTGTAGAGCCTCAATACTGAAAATGCTTATTTGGTAATTAACTCAATAAATGAAAAGATTTAATTTTAGAATTTGTTTTAACCAATACAAATTATTTTGATCTCACTTTCACCTCATAAACATATAGAATTATGCAGTGAGACCAACCTATATAATAAAACAAGCATAATAATAATAATAACTATAAAGCAATAATCAGAACAGCTTCTCAGTTTTCATATTTATTATATTTATTATTTCATATTATTTATATATATATATATATATAAATATATGTTGCGCATAGCCGGCCAAACGGCTGGACCAATTGGGCTGAATTTTTTTGTGGACACTCATGGGTGGCTGGGGGATGTTATAGGCTAAAAAAAATAATAATTTTTTTTCCACTGGCAACGTGGGGCCCTTAAGCTATTAATAATAAAGACTGTTGTTGGAGGAAAACGACTGTAAAATAATGAATTCAATGTGTAATTGATCTCACCTTATAATTATATAAATAGTTAAACTTCTCAGCTTTAGAAAAAGAATTACTATTTTTTTTATTCATTTTCGAACTAATCTCCTTCATTGTCTCAATAATTTAAATTTTAATTTGCATTTACAAAATGAGGCAGAAGGGATACAAATTTCATTACTTAATTTTTTGTTGTAAATCTTATTTTTTTTTTTATTAATTTCAACTATATATTCATCCATTCTTCTCTGCTGCTTCAAACTTGTTTAAATAATTTTTGTAAAAAGTATTAAAAATATATTTCTTATGTACAAATTGTTAAAATGTTTAAACTTAAAATTAGCATGCCCTAAAATCACAACTATATACTTGTTATATTTACATTAATTAGAATATTGTACATAAATGTTGAACGACGATAACTGGTGTACAGTTTAAGACTAGTGATATATGAATGATTCGGCCAAGTTTTTTTTTAAAGTCAAATATTTTAATCTTTACGACAAGATTTAGTAAACTTAAACAAGAACAGATTACTAGTTTTTTGATCGAATAGATTTCTCTGCATTTTTCTGAACCGATAATTTGATAGCCGCTTTTTGAACAGATTATTGTATGGTTTTCTGAATAGATTACCGAACAGATATACGAACAGTTCACACTATTTATATTACGGAACAAAATACTAAACAAAAAATGGAACAGATTGCTGAACAGAATGCTGAATAGGTTACTGAACAGATACCTGAACAGAATGCTGAATAGGTTACTGAACAGATACCTGAACATTTACCTGAACATATAAGTGAACATATTAGTGAACAGAACTGAACAGATAACTGAACAGAACTGAAAAGATAACTAGACAGATAACTGAACAGATAACTGAACGGATAACTGAACAGATAACTGAACAGAACTGAAAAGATATCTAGACAGATAACTGAAGAGATAACTGAACAGATATCTGAACAGATAGCTGAACAGATAGCTGAACAGATAGCTGAAAAGATAGCTGAACAGATAGCTGAACAGATAGCTGAACAGATAGCTGAACAGAGAACTGAACAGATAACTGAACAGATAACTGAACAGATAACTGAACAGATAACTGAACAGATAACTGAACAGATAACTGAACAGATAACTGAACAGATAACTGAACAGATAACTGAGCAGATAACTGAACCAGATAACTGAACCAGATAACTGAACCAGATAACTGAACCAGATAACTGAACCAGATAACTGAACAGATAACTGAACTTGATAACTGAGCAGATAACTGAACCAGATAACTGAGCAGATAACTGAACAGATAACTGAACAGATAACTGAACCAGATAACTGAACCAGATAACTGAACAGATAACTGAACAGATGAATGAACAGGTTAATGAACGGGTTACTGAACAAACTACGGAACAGATTACTGAAGTATAATTAGTATGATAAGAGGAAGGATGATGATTATAGAAGGATAGAATTGATTAGCTCCACTAGCCAGTAGTTGTGCCTGGGTATTATCCACTGCATTACTGAATATATCATCAAAAGACCGGATATCCGTTGATGGAAACCAGGGTTTCCGGCGCTCATCCTCCTGAACAAACAGAAACAATGATTTTTTAAATTCAATATTATATTAATTATTGGTAGCATAATATGGTTCTAATTAAGCTCCTTACCTGCTGTTGTGGAATGAAAGGTTCAACTAACGGACTGATGGTTGTTTCCCAGCTAGAGGGAGCTAGGTAGGTTTGGGTTTCAGTTTTCTCCGTTCTATCCATGATGGAGTTATCTGGCTCCAAACCTCCATTGTTGTTTCCATTCATATTCGTCCAGTCGTCCTCTCTCCTTTCGTCCCGTCCGGCCATTCCACTAGGGAAGTATGAACCTTCATCATACCTTGAAATAAATATAGTTCGGACAAATCTTGATCAAAAAATGTATTAAATCTTGAATTCTACCTGTTCCCATCGTTCTGGTTGTTCTCGTCCAACCTGGGTTCTTTATCCTGTTTTCTCTTGTAGATTGGACAATCTCGTTCAGCAGGCCTTCAGAGATTAATTAAAAGTTAGATAACGTTGATTTCCTGAGGAACTAAATATTGACAATAAAATTATTAAATATTTTGGTATTTCTTTCTCTTCTAAACTTACACATATGATTGACACTGTTTGAGTAGGAACCCTAGGGCCTTGTCTAGCATTGCTCTGGCAAACCCTGTAGCTTCCATTCCTTGTCTACATTTGTCTCCTAAACACGAATATTTGATCAAAAAAAATAACATTCATTGCAATTTAAATAATGTTGAAACGAAATCATAAGATTAATATCTTAAACAAGCTTTCAGTATTTTGTAAAATAATTAAAACTTATCAGAAGGAGAAAATTTTTTCTTCACAATTTTAGGATTTAAGATTTTTTAGACATATGTAAAAAAAAGTTCACCTGTGCAAGGGCAGGCCTCTGTCTCCGCAATAACGCACTCCTTGTACGAACTGTGCGCACTAAAATATTAAAATTATTAATTTATTTAATTTTAGAGAAGAATGAGTAAGGCTGAGTATCTTGTTGTCGATTCTGGAGGTTTCATCAAGAATGCTCCGCTCCGGGAGCTAGGAACCAACCTTGTTACTCTGTATGATGTGATAGATGAGATCAGAGATAAACCAACAAGACAGAGACTCCAGGTATACTTGACATATAAAGACAAATTTTGAATTCAATAAAAAGATTTTTTACGGCTAAATGCGCCTTTTTAGAACAGTGTATTGGTTTTATACATATTTATATTTTTAGACAATTCCTCTGGATTTGCAGTACAGGCAACCAACATCTCAGGGGCTTAAAGTCGTGACGGAGTTTGCTAAGAAGACCGGAGACTATGCTAGCCTCTCTGCAACAGATCTCAGGGTCCTCGCTGTAACATACGACCTTGAGTCTGAGAAATGTGGAGTAGCACACCTGAACTCGGAGCCGGTGACCAAGAAAACTGTTGAGTTTTATAAACCCGCCAAAGGTATTCCCGCCGGTGACAAGAATATCGCGGGTTTTTATATTCCAGAAAGGGGGGATGGCTCCGGCAAGGTTCGAACTGAAGAAAATTTCTCCGCCTTTCAGTTCTGGAGAGAACCTCTACCTGATATTCCTTTGGATTTTGAATTGGAGAATCCTAAACCAGGAAACCAGGAAGAAGAATCCTCTGCCTTCTCCTGGTCTGAGCTAGAAAGCCTGGATCTATTCTTGAAAGAACGAAGTTTTATTTCATCCTTTGAAATTTCCCCGGTAGATTTCTTTCTAGTTCGTCTCCTAGATTCCGTTGATGTGAAGGATTTGTGTAATTTAAAACGTTGGATTCATCATGTCCAATCCTATCCAGCTCAACAACAGGAGCAGCCAACTCCAAACCTGTCACTTGAACTTATCAAAAGAAAAATATCTCAGGGTTCGGATTTCGGAGTTGAAGAGGTGAGTGAGGAGACATCGGAGCAGGAGTGGAACCAAGAGAACGAATCCTCAGACGAAGGAGTTATCATGGAGGACGACTCCGACAAAGAAAACGATGATGAGGATGATGATGATGAAGGTTGGATTACTCCGAGTAATCTCAAGGAGAAAAAAGCATTACTTGTTGGAAATAAGATCGAAGAGAGTCGAGTAGAGGTTGCTTGTATTACAACAGATTTTGCAATGCAGAATGTTCTTAAGCAGATTGGACTCAATATAATCGGTGCTAATGGGTTGATCATTAAGGTATGAACTATTGCATTGTTATACGTTTATCATTTTTTAAAACATTCTGTTTTTAGGAGACCAAGACATGGATTCTGAGATGTTACTCCTGCACTAGAACAACACCGCTCCTGGAGAAAAAGTTCTGCCCCAAGTGCGGAAACAAAACCTTGAAAAGAGTAAGTGTAACTCTGAATGCGGACGGAACCCAGCAGATTCATATTTCTACCCGGAGACCACTCTCAACCAAAGGAAAGAAGTTCTCTCTGCCTGCTCCCAAGGGCGGAAAGCATTCCTTTAATCCTAAACTTACCGAGGACCAAAGGGATGCGCAGCAAAGGTTGAGCAAGAAAGCAATTCAGAAGAATAATCCAATGGACCCGGATTATATTGCCGGGAATTCTCCTTTCCTGACGAAGGACGTCACGAGTAAATCTGCTGTTCTGGGTCTCAAGGGAGCTGAGATGGGTCAAGCAAAACCAACCGGAGTTTACTGGACGAAAAAGAATCCCAATGCAGGATCTAAGAACACCGGTAACAAGAGGAAGAAATAAAAATCACGAATAAAACAGAACAAACTTATTTTTAAATTTTGTTAGCTTAGCACGCTTGCATTTGCTTCTCATGCCTTCAGATTATAAATAAATTTTTTTCAGATACAATGTTCGCGGCGGGTAAAGAGATATTTAACGTTGAGGATGAATTCGATGAGGACATGTGGGACGATTCGGCGCTCATAAGAAACTATGAGAGAGCTTATGAAGCTAGCAGGTCTGATACATGTAAAATCAAAATCAACACTTGCCCTGAAATCTTATAGGAATGGGTTTTGGAACTTAAAGGGATAATTTTGGAACTTAAAGGGATAATTTAGGAACTTAAAGGGATAATTCTGGAACTTAAAGGGATAATTTAGGAACTTAAAGGGATAATTTTCGAACTTAAAGGGAAAATTTTGGAACTTAAAGGGATAATTTTGGAACTTAAAGGGATAATTTTGGAACTTAAAGGGATAATTTTGGAACTTAAAGGGATAATTTTGGAACTTAAAGGGATAATTTTGGAACTTAAAGGGATAATTTTGGCTTCGCAACAAACTCTGATTTTCTAATTCCTATGTATTTTCAACCTATTGTCGTAGACCTTAGATATTTCAAACTTTAAGATATGTTAGAAAAAATTATCTAAGTTTACACCACCAGGTTGTAAAATTTAGTTTGTTGCAAAGACCCTATTCCTTTTTTGTCTGTTTGGAAGTTTATCCCGTTGGCGGTCTTAGTCTCCCAAACTTCAAGATAAAACTCCATTATTTTGTTCACGTGTACAAAAATTGGGTTTCCCAAAAATCCAAATTTGATGATTTTAAGAATACTTTTATCAGAAAAAAATCAAAATTTTACTTTTTCAAACTACTGATGTATTTACAGGGGTGTATATTTTTTGGAATTTCAACGGGGGGGGGGCGTTTTTTTGATGCTTTAATTCAAAAAGTAAACATCAAAACCAACTTTTTATATTCTTTTTGATACTTTTTATCCAAAAATTCAATATTTTTCCATAAAAATCATTTTCTTCCAATTCAGCGAACTAAACTCTAAAAAATACGTGTATAACTTTTTTGGGGAAAAAGGATTTTCTAAAGGGAGGGGGGGAGGGGAATGATTTTTCGAGAAAATGTACATGCACCCTGGTTTTTATTTGTTTATGATAATTGTTTAAGAAGAGAGCTGATGATGAGACGTAAAGAAGGTTCTAGAAAGAAGATGAACTGGAATATTGGAGATGCCTGTAGATATCTAGATGTATCCGACGGTATGGAATACGAAGGAAGCATTGTCCAGATCACAGCTAGGTAGGATAATTCTTTGAACGATTTAAACTTGTTCAAAGCACACTCAGTTATTTTTGAATTGTCGTCTCCCTGTTTACGGTATCTGTATTTCAAGTGCATTTCCAATTTTAGAGTGGCATATCCGACACTCAACAGTATTCTTTAAAGGATTACGTAAATGTTACACTGAAACCTCAAGTCTCTCGGAACTAAGTTTTCTCCAACAAGAATGAGGATATATCTTAATAACATATACTCTTGTTCCAGGACTGCAGTTGTACGTGTACACGGATACAAGCATGAAGAGGAGTTAAGTTTACAAGATCTTGAACCTAGTTTAGGACAATACGAGATACAACATCAGATACAACAAGCAGAACTTATTAAGGTAATGGAAAACAGGAGAATACTTCACTTCCCTCGGGCTTCTGTAGGCAGATTTTTTTTTGAGGGGGGGAGAGGGGGTAGAGAGAAATGGAACCTTTATCAATCCTTTAACAACTTTCATTGATCCTTTAAAGTAAAAAATTTTCTTAAAATGATTTTTGTTCCCCGGAAGTATAAAAGTAATGGATAAGAAAAAATTTGTAAAAAGATGGGGGGGGGGGGCGTTAAAACTCGAAGTAAACCAAGTTAGATTAAATGGGTTACTTGGGGTTTTAGTATTTTAAACCTGAAGAATAAAAGCTTTTATGAACTTTACCAAAAAAAAAATCGCCAAATAAGAGGACGGATGAAATAATTGGTTGATTCTGGACTTTATTTAGGCTTCTGGGATAGAGGAGGAACCGTTTACAGGAGATATCAAGGTCGGGGAATATTGTAGAGCAAGGTAATATTATAATCCAATAATATTCTTCATCTTTTTATTTAGAAATTATTTATTTAGAACTTTTTAGAGACTTATTACTTCTAATTCTTGATTTAGGTGGTCCCTGGATGAATGTGTATATGAGGGAATTATAGAGTCTGTAAACCTAAAGAAGAACAGAATTAAAGTCAAGTTTATCGGATACGATAACGAGGATACTGTAGGGTTGGATCAGCTGTACTCGTCCCGTGGAGAGGACTGGAGAGACCAGCAGATTGAGGACGCTGCCTATGATCTCTCCGAGGACATAACTAAACTTATAGAAGATAGTTCCGAGGTTTTCTCTCAGATTTCAGATATCCAGAGCTTTGATAAGCTTGCAATTACTGAGAACAAAGAAAACAAACAACCAGCAGAGAAAAAAGAGAAAAAGAAAAAATCTGAACAAGAGAAAAGTAAAAAGAATAAAAAAGAGAAGGAGAAGCGGAAGGATAAGATTCAACCTGAAGATACTCCTAATATCCCGTTCTCCGAACCTCTAGAATATCCGTTTGATCTCAACTCAGAACATCCTTTCCCTGATCTATCTCAGTTTAACTCAGATTTGGGGGATGGATTTCCGTCTATGCCACATCTACCCGGAGCATTTCCTTCCCAACCTAACTTAGAGAGAGAGTATCAAAAACCTCCTGCAAATTCTCAGACAGTATTTCCTTCTCTTCTTATTCCTCCGCCTCCTCCTCCTAATCCGTTCCTAGCTCAGGGTTCCGACTCAGCCCAACATGATGAGGTGATTCATAATTCAGAATAATCCGTCATTATCTTCTTTTACAACCAATTATTTTTATTTAGCTTTTATATCTTTAAAAATTGTTCAGGTTTTACAGTCAATGCTTGTATCCTGGTATATGGCTGGATATCATACAGGGTTCTACCAAGCTTCAAATCAGAAAAAGCAGAAGAGAAAAAAACAGTCCGACTAGTTGTCAATTGTTTTAAATATATTTTTATAATTTACAAATCTTTCGATATTGCTAGAGAAAAAGAAGAATAAAGTAACAATAAAGGACAGAAGAGGAAACTGCAAGATTTGGATCTAAAGAAGTAAAAACTAAAACATTTTTTACCGAATATTTGGATGGAAGTAAATATTAAACAGGAAAATATTTGAAGTAAACCTATTTTTTAATTCTGAGATTATTTATGACGTAATTTCCACAGTTGTTTTTACAGTCTGAAGGAGAACAAGTATTTGTAATTCATTATAAAACCTGTTCTGCTCAAAAACTAAAACGAACCCATTCTTTGAAGAACTGGCTGGCATATTTGGATTTTCTGTAATTAAGTGACCTTCCATGCAAAGATGATAATGCCCGATTCACAACGGTATCCTTAAAGCTTTAATTGATCAAGTATAAACTTCTAGTATATATCAATGTTTATCATTTTGGGAACAAATTTTTTTCAATAGTGGTTTTTCCACAAAAGTGACTTGCGCATTTCTACTGCAGGAAAACATATAGGAATGTTAAAATTAAACCCTTAAACCTAAAAATGATAATATCTTTTACATTATTGATCAGCATCAGCATTGCCATCTTTGTATGGAGGGTCACTTGAAGTGAAGAAATTTGAAAAAAGTTATTTTGAGAATTAAAAAATTACTGAGTGTATTTACGTCTACGAAACTACGAAACTATGAAACCTTACCAGCATATCTCTGTTTGGGAAACTATAGGAGCATCTCCCCTCACTAGACCCAGGAGCCTGGAGTAGTAGGTTCCACAGTACTCTGGGTTCGTAGATTTCTCCTTGATACAGTCAGCATGCCGGAGATAGTCTACAACAATTAATAATTAAAACAAATTCTTAAATTTTCTTGCTTTTGAATAAGAAAGAAAGTATCTCAAAGTCCAAGATAAGGATTAAAAGGAAGGAGGGTTTCGGTCAAGTCTCGGTGCCCTGCATATCACTACGTTGAAACAAGCCAATAAAAAATGTATTATATTAATTTTTATTATATTGTTTAAAGGAAATGAGTTTTTGTCACAAACTCAGATTTGTTAAACCCAATATCTCGGCAACTGGATAGTGTAAAACATTGATATTTCAAACTCAAATTATTTGATCCACCAAAATTTATAGTTTGAAATATCTAAGGTCTACGACATTGGGTTGCAAAGTTATAACAATAGGAAAATTTTAGTTTGTGGCAAAGACTCAATTCCTTTGTTCGGGATCTTTCAATTTTAACATTTGAGCTTCATAAAAAATTTAACTTTTATGTTCTGCATCTTTAATGCACAAGTAGTAAAGGGTTTCCAATGTCTAATAAAATTTTATCTAGTTTTAAAATTTCTATTAAGTCTTGTGTGTCATTATCATGAATTATAAAATATCTAGGATTGTTAATCTTTTTTGTTTGTTTTTTATATTTTAAAACTGTTTCTGTTAAAGTTATGCGATGTTTTTATCCTAAGAGAAGATTTGAAGGAAAAACGATGGTTTTTGGTTCTTTCTGCATATTTTTTGCATATATTTTTATATATATTTTTTTCTCAGGCTCAAAATTTTGCATGGTGTAAGAAAAGCAAATGTATAGAACACACAATTTTGAAAATTTTAAAATTTCTCAGATTTTTGTGGAACTTTTAAAAAGTCCAAAAACCCACAAAAACGATTTAACATCCTTATCTACAGGGTGTCCCTATAAACATTGGAATTGAGGGATTAATATACGATTCTATTATTTAAATAGTAATAAATAGATATATTAAAATGCATGCTGCTTACGAAAAGATTTGTTGTCATTTTTAAACATGATTGAAGGCAACATTTACTCCCCAATGCTATAATTGTTGAGAATATTTAGAAGTTGATTTGAGAAACAATTGGTAGTTAAACCAGCAACGTTATGTCGGTTTAAAGGATGGAAGTTCAAGCAAAATAGAGCCAAGGTCTCTGGTTTGTGGTTTGTTGGGTTTAGAACTGTAAACATTGATGATTTAAATAAAAACATCACGGACAAATACAGTCCTAGATTTATAGACAGGACAAATACAATCTTAGATATATACACAGGACAAATACAGCCCTAGATATATAGACAGGACAAATAAAGTCCTAGATATATAGACAGGAGAATACAGTCCTAGATATGTAGACAGGACAAATACAGTCCTAGATACATAGACAGGACAAATACAGTCCTAGATATATAGACAGGACAAATACTGTCCTAGATATATAGACAGGACAAATACAGTCCTAGATAAATAGACAGGACAAATACAGTCCTAGATATATAGACAGGACAAATACAGTCCTAGATACATAGACAGGACAAATACAGCCCTAGATATATAGACAGGACAAATGCAATCCTAGATATAGACAATATAGACAGGACAAGTACAGTCCTAGATATATAGACAGGACAAATACAGTCCTAGATGTATAGACAGGACAAGTACAGTCCTAGATTTATAGACAGGACAAATACAGTCCTAGATATAGACAGGAAAATTATGTACAATCCTAGATATAGACAGGACAAATACAGTCCTAGATATAGACGGGACAAATACAGTTCTAGATATAGACAGGACATGTACAGTACTAGATATAGACAGGACAAGTACAATCTTAGATATAGACAGGACAAGTACAATCTTAGATATAGACAGGACAAATACAGTCCCATATTTATAGACAGGACAAGTACAGTCCTAGATTTATAGACAGGACAAATACAGTCCTAGATTTATAGACAGGACAAATACAATTCTAGATATAGACAGGACAAGTACAGTCCTAGATATATAGACAGGACAAATACAGTCCTAGAAGTATAGACAGGACTAGTACAGTCCTAGATATATAGACAGGACAAATACAGTCCTAGATATAGACAGGACAAGTACAGTCCTAGATACATAGACAGGACAAAAACAGTCCTAGATATAGACGGGACAAATACAGTCCTAGATATAGACAGGACACATACAGTCCTAGATATAGACAGGACAAATACAGTCCTATATTTATAGACAGGACAATACAGTCCTAGATATATAGACAGGACAAGTACAGTCCTAGATATATAGACAGGACAAATACAGTCCTAGATATAGACAGGACAATTATGTACAATCCTAGATATAGACAGGACAAATACAGTCCTAGATATAGACGGGACAAATACAGTCCTAGATATAGACAGGACATGTACAGTACTAGATATAGACAGGACAAGTACAATCTTAGATATAGACAGGACAAGTACAGTCCTAGATTTATAGACAGGACAAATACAGTCCTAGATTTATAGACAGGACAAATACAATTTTAGATATAGACAGGACAAGTACAGTCCTAGTTATATAGACAGGACAAATACAGTCCTAGAAGTATAGACAGGACTAGTACAGTCCTAGATATAGACAGGACAAATACAGTCCTAGATTTATACACAGGACAAATACAGTCCTAGATATAGACAGGACAAATACATTCCTATATTTATAGACAGGACAATACAGTCCAAGATATATAGACAGGATAAGTACAGTCCTAGATATATAGACAGGACAAGTACAGTCCTAGATATAGACAGGACAATTAAATGTACAATCCTAGATATAGACAGGACAAATACAGTCCTAGATATAGACAGGACAAATACAGTCCTAGATTTATAGACAGGACAAATACAATCCTAGATTTATAGACAGGCCAAATACAGTCCTAGATTTATAGACAGGAAAAATACTGTCCTAGATATAGACAGGACAAGTACAGTCCCAGATATATAGACAGGACAAGTACAATCCTAGATATATAGACACGACAAGTACAATCCTAGATTTATAGACAGGACAAATACAGTCCTAGATATATAGACACGGCAAGTACAATCCTAGATATATAGACAGGACAAATACAGTCCTAGATTTATAGAAAGGACAAATACTGTCCTAGATATAGAAAGGACAAATACTGTCCTAGATATATAGACAGGACAAATACAGTCCTATATGTATAGACAGGACAAGTACAGTCCTAGATGTATAGACAGGACAAATACTGTCCTAGATATTGACAGGACAAATACTGTCCTAGATATATAGACAGGACAAATACAGACCTAGATACATTTTAAAAGAACTCCAGGTCTCTATTTTGATGAAATTCTAAACCTGTTCTACTGGAACATATTATGTTTTCAGTGGCTGAACATTGGAGGAAAAACATGTTGACGAGATGTTTTTGATTTAAGATTAAATTTGAATAGATGATTCAAAAATCAAAAAGGTTTACGAAGTTATGACATAAAGGGGGGTTGGGGTAAAGAAATGTTTTTGCTTTTGTAAAAAAGAACTGGTTTGAAAACAATTAAAATATTGTCTAGTTAGATAAACACATGGTCTAGAGAAATTATTCCTAAATCATGAGAAATTTGGTGAAGTCAGTTTAGAAATATTTTCTAGAAATCTGGTGAAGTCAGAAATTTGGTGAAGTCAGTTTAGAAATATTTTCTAGAAATCTGGTGAAGTCTGTTTAGAAATATTTTAGGTTCAAACTAATTTATGTATTTATGTAAATATAACATATTCAACCTTTTGGAATCATACAAACAAACAAACTGTATTATTTGCAGAATTAGAACAAACTGGAAACAAAAGTTATATTGTGATTTTGTCACTGATGTGCAGATCTGCAAAACTATCATAGACAAAATGTCTGAGATGCATGAGGGTTGATAGTCTGAAGCCCAAATTTTCCAGAAGAAATTCGGCGGCCGTACATTTTTCGAAATGCATAGCACATAGATTAATTAAAATATTGTTGTGAAGGAGTTTCATTGAAAAGACGACATCTAGTGTCCTATCTTTTATTTTTATAAATCTATGGTATAGCATAAACAAAAAAAAGAATTATCAGATTTTCCCGTAATATGTATCTCGTTTAGTCCACCACCTGGGACGGGTTTGCTCCGTATCCAGGTTTGTTACCAAGGTCAAAACCAACATATTTATTTCTCCGGCGTCAGATGGTTCCAACCTTATGCAATATGGTTGTAGAGCAACTCAGCAATCAGTGAGGGGAAGGGCACCACTTACCAACAATTGGTATCAAGGAGAAATAAAGGTGTTGTCGAACGTTTTAAAATGATTCAGAAAGGGTTACCATTGTTTACAGGCTACGAGAACTCTAGAGTATACAGGAAACCATAACTCTGTTATTTATACCAGAACTCTGGTGTGTACAGGACAACAGAACTCTGATAGATACAGGATACCAGAACTCTGGTGTATACAGGATACCAGAACTCTGGTGCTTATAGGATACCAGAACTCTGGTTTCTACAGGATACAAGAATTCTGGTGAATACAGGATGCCAGAACTCTAGTGTATACAGGATATAATAACTCTGGTGTATACAGGACACCAGAACTCTGGTGTGTATAGGACACCAGAACTCTGGTGTATATAGGACACCAGAACTCTGATATATACTTAATACCAGAAAGGGTTATCATTGTTTACAGGATACGAGAACTCTGGTGTTTACAGGATACCAGAACTATGGTTTATACAGAATACTAGAACTTCTGGTGTATACAGGATACCAGAACTCTAGTGTACACAGGGGGCCAGAACTTTGATATATACATGCTATCAGAACTCTGGTGTATACAGGATACCAGAAATCCACTGGTCAAATCAGTTTCCCCGTGCTGTGGATTTTAGTTGCGTGAAACCTTTACTTGAAGACGGACCAACGCAAGGATACCGGGTGGGGGAATTCTACACCATGTGAAACCAGGGGATTTCAAGTTCCCCCAGTGTACTGCAGTGAAAACAAGTTTAATAGTAAACAACAAAAGTTTATGAAAAGGTTTGTCAAGTCTGTTAAGTTTCCAAATAAAACAATACGCACCATTGAATAGAGTAGATCAACCCTTTAACACATGGAGTTTCAAAAAACATGGGACTATAGCTATTTAATTTATAACATTCTCTTTAATTCGGGATTTGCAAAGTATGAGTAGATTTTGAAAAATTAAGAATTTTCTTTCGAATTTAATTTTTTATATTAAACCAAAAAATATGACACAAAACTCTTTATAACTGAACACGATAAATAAATTAATAGGATAATAATTTCCATATTTATCGGGACTGCATGTACAGTACACTGTAACGTGTACAGTTTCTACGCATGTACATAGTACATTGTACAGTCCACTATGCACAATGCACATACATGTCCTCAAACTGGCGCTTCTCTTGAATTATATGTTTATGTTATATGTTAAACAGTAGATTGGAGCTCTTCCAAGGACAATTATAATCATATTGCTAGAACATTTGGATAAATTTTTATTAAAAATATAGAATAAACCTCTCTCCGTTAAAAAACATTGTAATCCTTAAAATTTTCATGGCAGGGAATTAAGTTTGACATGAGATAAAACTCTCATGGGATTTAAAACTGACATCGGATTAAAAAATTAATTCTAAAATGATATGTAATACAAACGCGGAAAATAAGAAATACATGGATTAAAAATTGACATGAATCAAAACTGACAAAGGACTCAAAACAGACATAATAGAGCCAAAACTGACATAATAGAGCCAAAACTGACATAATAGAGCCAAAACAGACATAATAGAGCCAAAACTGACATAGCCAAAACTGACATAATAGAGCCAAAACAGACATAATAGAGCCAAAACTGACATGATAGAGCCAAAACTGACATAATTGAGCCAAAATTGACATAATAGAGCCAAAACTGACATAATAGAGCCAAAACAGACATAATAGAGCCAAAACTGACATAATAGAGCCAAAACTGACATAACTTTAACACTGACGTGAAATCAAAACTGAAATGGTATTCAAAACTGACGTGAAATCAAAACTTATATGGTATTAAAAACTGACAAGAAATCAAAACTTATATGGTATTAAAAACTGACAAGAAATCAAAACTGAAATGGTATTAAAAACTGACAAGAAATCAAAACTGAAATGGTATTAAAAACTGACAAGAAATCAAAACTGACATAACTTCAAACCTGACATGAAATCAAAACTGACATGAATTTAAAAATTACATTTATCTATAATACTTCACATATTCAATAAAACTACTATTGAGCTAATATTGCATGGCATTGGAGACTGAAATAGAACTTAAGAATGAGACCAGATTAAAGACTGATTTGGGATTAAAAACTTGCAAGATATTTACAACTGACAAGATATTTACGACTGACGTGAAATAAAAACTGACATAAAAATTAAAAACTGACACGGGATTAAAAACTGACATGGGATTAAAAACTGACATGGGATTAGAAGCTGACATGCAGATTAAAAATTGACATGGGATGAAAAACGGACATGAGAATAAAAACTGACATGGGATAAAAACTGACATGCAGGATGAAAATTGACATGACACTGACATGGGATTAAAAACTGGAATGCAGAATAAACACTAACATGGGATTAAAAACTGGAATGCAGAATAAACACTGACATTGGATTACAAAACTGGAATGCAGAATAAACACTGACATGGGATTAAAAAACTGGAATGCAGAATAAACACTGACATGGGATTAGCGAATTATTATCATTTTAGGTTTATATGAAAGTCTGGTATGAGTAGATTGCGGATTATTCTGATACCAGGAACAGAAAATATTCTTAAACTATTCAACAAGAAAAATAATATTTTACACCCAGTGATGCTTATCTGTATGTAGAGTAAAGGAATTGAGTCTTTTTCACAAACTCTGATTTTCTAATCCCTATATCTTTGAAACCCAATGCCGTAGACATTATACATTTCAAACTATAAGTTTGAAATGTCAAAGATTTACAATTAGAGAAAATATTTAGACAATTTGAGTTTATGGCAAAGACTCAATTCCTTTGTCCACATTGGTGCCAGAAATTCGTTATATTTAACCCACTTTAATGATTAAGTAACCAAAAGAAAACACTTAGTTTTTAACTTTTTTTATGAACTTTGTCACCCCACCACCTGGCATAAGCTCTAGTTGTTCATTGTCCTATAAATATTTGTAAACTAGGTAATAAGTATCCTTTATTTAGAAGCTTTATGTAAAATATTAAAAAAAATTAATTTATCCTGAATTTGAACCAACAGTTGTCGTATGTAATGAGAACTTTAATTGATTATTGATCAAATCAAGACAAGAGTGGTGCACGGTGGGGGGGGGGGTAGGTCAAATAAAATCAATACGGGAAAGAATTGTAAGCCCTGTACAGAAGTCTTGTTAGGACAGACAAAGAAAATAATAAACAACAGTTCCTGGAAGGTCAATTTTCAATCTAAATGATCCAGCAGTTATGAAACTGTTTTCATGCATTTTTTCATTCTTTGCCGATTCACCAGCAGAAATCTATTTTTTTTTTATGCAAAATTAATATGAAATACATTAGGCATTTCAAAATATCGTAATTAAGGTTAAAACTATCATTTTAATTCTACAGCTCCTATGGTGCCCGGAGCTAGTTTAAGTTTACACCCTGAGCTTGGATACACAAAGTGAACCCTGAAACTCTGAAGAAACCTAATTATTATTAAATTTAAGTGCAGTTCTGTTTTAAAGATCTATTTTTGAATATTTTTATTTTCGTCGTTGAGCAGTGTTGGTGTCAGCTGGTCTTGTGAACTCAGATTTTCTTCATCATGGTCATAGAAATACAAGGTATATATATAGAAATACAAGGTATAAGAAATACAAGGTATAGATATAGAAATACAAGGTATATATATAGAAATACAAGGTATATATATAGAAATACAAGGTATATATATAGAAATACAAGGTATATATATAGAAATACAAGGTATATATATAGAAATACAAGGTATAGATATAGAAATACAAGGTATATATATAGAAATACAAGGTATAGATATAGAAATACAAAAAATATATATAGAACAACAAGGTATATAAGGTATAGATATAGAAATACAAGGTATAGATATAGAAATACAAGGTAATATAGAACAACAAGGTATAGATATAGAACAACAAGGTATAGATATATAAATATAAGGTATAGATATAGAACAACAAGGTATAGATATAGAACAACAAGATATAGATATAGAAATACAAGGTATATATATAGAAATACAAGGTATATATAAAAAAATAAAAGGTATATATATAGAAACACAAGGTATATATATATAGAAATGTAGAATTGAACATGGATATATACAAATATAGAAATGGAATAATAATAAAACAGATTCAAAACTTTGAAAACCTGAGAAGATTAATTAAATGAGAAAGAAATCAATGAAGAAGGAAAACGCTTAATCATGTTTATTTTTAAAAAAGAGGATTGAACTGTGCAGGATCGTAAATTGCATAAAAACTTGAAATCGTGAACAGAGATATGGGAGCCGGGCAAAACAGAGAACAGAGATAAAAGAGTTAAAAAAAGGGAGCCGGGCAAAACAGAGAACTGAGATAAAATCGTAAAAAAATATAAGGGAGCTGAAATAAAACAAAAGAACAAAGAAGCCTTAATCAACAAATTAAAAACAGAGGAATTCATAATACGGAACAAACGGAAAAAATTGAATCCATGAAAAATTATAAAAATTTTATCAGATTTTTTTAAGCACGATATTTAATCCAACCTAAATATTTAGGCAAACAGCATCATCGTCTTTTATAAATTGTTTTAACAGTACAGCTTGTACTAGAATAGGAAGCAATATGATAAGGTTAGTTTTTATCCTATTACAGGGTGTCCCAATAAAACAGGACTGTTGAGAGACATCTTAAAGATCGTCTTTGATTTCTGATAGCTATCTAATGACAAAATTTGTATCAAACTTTCCCTAATGTGGTGTGCCTCATGTAATGTTTCAAAATCCCGCAGCTTTTTTTTGATACACTGCACTTTCTTCTTAGATAGATATCCAAGACGACATCTCTCAACTGTCATATTTAGTGGTACATCCTGTATATGTAATATTCTGTATCAATCTTCACGTTTCTGCAGATTAAAAGGATAACGTATATTAGAATTATTTAAGAATTTTATAATATCTCCGGTTCTTGTTCAGATCACTGGTAACTCAGCTTCCGTTTGATCGTGGAGAGACTAGAAGTGTGCGTCAGGTTCTTTCATTTGATTTTATTTCATCAATATTTTTTGCGTAATTTTTAGCGGAAAAAGTTAAATAATTTATAAACGTTTATAAACCTCATGATTGGATTGTTTTTTTTTTTTAATTTTTTTAGAACATGGTTTTTAGATATCCTTGTAGGGATCCCTCATTTGTAGAGCGGCATTTCTGATTCACAACGATACCCTTTAAACCTTGATGGGGAAGAAATCGTCGTTTTTCTATCTGGAAAAGTGTTGAATTCATTTCCGTGCTTGTCTCTGCGCCTAACTGCGCAAGTTACTTTTATCCAAAAACCCACATTAAAAAAATCTAATTTTAGCTGCAGTGGTAGGCGATAATATCAATACAATGAAGACGACTTTTGTTATTTAAGTTTTAATTGTTAACAAGCTTTTTTCGAATTAAAAGTTTACAAGTAATCAAAGAGACGCTTTTTTAATTGACAGCTTCTCTTGACTTCGATGTTTTATGTGCATCCATGCTGTTTAACAGCTTGATATAAATCAAAATTGAAATAAAAAGTCGTCTTCATTGTATTCATATAATCGCCTACCACTGTAGAAAAATAAGGACACATTATAAACCCCTGATCAGACAGTTATTTTAAAGGGTAAAGTTCAGAATCCAACATGCCGCTTTATAATTCCGTCTACAGTCCCTTTAATGTTGGAATCCTGGACTTCCCCTTTAAACATTTATTTTCAGAGCTGTCAGTCAGCGTGTGAAAGTACTGAAGATTGCAGATACTTTACTTGGTAATTATATATCTTATTATTCTGTATCCTTGAATCTTTATCCATCACGACCAGAAAACTGTAGAATATGAAGACCACATTAAAACAATACCGAAGTGCATTATATGTTGTTAAAAAGCAAATAAATGGGTCTGTTTACACTGAATAAATGCAGTGCCTCATGTTCATTGGACTTTTTAAAGTATTGAGTTTAAAAGTCGACTTCTTATTCCAGAGTTTTCTGGTTATCACTGTAATAGAAATTATAATATATCCAAATTTTTAATATAATCTAAAAAAGTTGAGAATACACAAAGAAAATTATTTTTATGAATTTGTCTGTAATGTCAGGTATGAGAAGAACGGAGCATTTCCTTTCTCTTGTTTCCTTTACTTCTCATGTGAGAAGACCGAACCCTGCTCCGACTGTGTAACCGGGCCAGGTACAGTTTAAACATTTTATAGCTTATTTCTAATTTTTTGCATTCTTTTTATCAAATAGGATTTTATATAGTTTTCTTTCCATATTTGCCGAGGGTATGTTTATTGCTTCAAACTATGTTTAAAGGTTTTAACAGAATTGATTGTTTAGAGAAATGTCGGTCGGAGGAGGAATCCCAATGTTCTCCTGTTGGAGAAGATTACGGAGGAAGCTGGTACTGTTTTCCAGACGTTGATCTCAGCTCGCCTGTACCGCAAGGAACAAAGTACGTTTTATATTCCGCGAAAACATTCTAGAAGACGACATTTAATAACGCAGTGAAAGAGACGGAACTATTGTTTCTTATCTCAGGGTTAATTTTAAACACCAACCATTCATGGCCTGAAGAACAATTGTGAACTTACAACTTATTGATTTCAAAACAATAAATATAATTCATAAGTTAATATACCCATACTGCAGGTGTATCTGGCAGTGTCCTGGGCAGAGTTCCTATCATGAATGTCATAATGGAAAATGGAACAATGAACCTGGACAAGCTAGATGTATGTGTCACAAGATTGGAACCAAACATCAAGGACAGGTAGGGTATATTGGAGGACTGGTAGGATATATTGGAGGACAGGTAGGACACATTGGAGGATAGGTAGGATTAATAGAAGGACAGGTAGGATATATATTGGAGAACAGGTAGGCTATATTGGAGGACAGGAAGGATATATTGGAGAACAGGTAGGCTATACTGGAGGACAGGAAGGATATATATTGGAGAACAGGTAGGCTATACTGGAGGACAGGAAGGATATATTGGAGAACAGGTAGGCTATATTGGAGGACAGGAAGGATATATTGGAGAACAGGTAGGCTATATTGGAGGAAAGGAAGGATATATTGGAGAACAGGTAGGCTATTGGAGGATAGTGTTGATATCAGAAAAAGACAATAAGCATTCGAGTGAATTTAATAGAAGGATAGATAAGAAGGACGAAAAAGCTGAAGAGGACAGTTGCTAAATATCTATATATATATATATATATATATATAAGGCACTAAAGATTGTGAAAACAAGAAACATGAAGTAGGCAATAAATAGTAAAAAAAATATTAAATTGCTGTTTAATTAAGATATATTGGATTCTAAATATCTATATTAGGTTCTAAATATCTATATTAGGTTCTAAATATCTATATTAGGTTCTAAATATCTATATTAGGTTATAAATATCAATATTAGGTTCTAAATATATATATCAGGTTCTAAATATATATATTTGTTGACTTTAAAAGTCACTATAATAAAATAAAGAGATCTAAAATGGATATTTCTAACATTTATTTAAAAAACGAGTGTTTTGAAATATTTGCATTTAAGGCGGAGTTAAAATTGTTTGATTTAGAAATTAACAAAGGAATTAATGATGAATGTTGTGGGTACTTCATGGGAGTGATGTAGATCTTCATGTTGGTGAAGCAGATCAACAGGATCTTGAACAACAGGACTTATCCAACCTAGTAGGCAGAGATCGCGGCTTGTCATGCTGGCGATGAGCGATTATGTTGTCTCTGGAATGCATGATGAACTGGGAACCCTTCGGGTAAGAGCGTCTGCTGCTATCTGAGTATCTGCGTCATCATCATAAAGGAGTCAAGAGGCTCCCTGTGTTGGAGCTGTTACCGGCTCCACTCTCTAAACCTGACTGAATACCGGGAGGGAGCTGGGATGAGCGGAGATTCAACATGTGGGCACTACATGAGGAGGAAATGGATTTGAGTACACATACATCTAGAGAAAAGACTGGGGCATTTGAGTCGGAAAAATCGTCTTCCTTATATTTCGAATTAATTTTAACAATATTAGGTTCTAAATATTTATATTAGATTCTAATTATCTATATTAGGTTCTAAATATCTATATTAGGTTCTAAATATCTATATTAGGTTCTAAATATTTATATTAGATTCTAAATATCTATATTAGGTTCTAAATATTTATATTAGATTCTAAATATCTATATTAGGTTCTAAATATCTATATTAGGTTCTAAATATCTATATTAGTTTCTAAATATTATATTAGGTTCTAAATATTTATAGTAGGTTCTAAATATCTATATTAGGTTCTAAATATTTATATTAGATTCAAAAATTATCTATATTAGGTTCTGTGTTACCCCCAACATAGTATGGATGAAGCTGTATCAAGTGGAACTTACTGCCTTCACACATGCCATGGGCATCCTAAGGTGATGGCATTTAGAAAAAATCCTTCTTTGATTTTATTATTTAATTCTGATTGTATTCTAGACAGAGATGGTTTGTGATCATTCGTTATGGTCCAACTCCCCATTAGAGTTATCCTGTCAGGGAGGCAATTCGTCCCAACCTGGAGTAGAGGTAATCTCGTTTTATTAAGAGTTGATCATTTCTAAACTTGGGTGTAAAGCGTCTTTCAAGAGAATTTAAGTAACAGAAACAGATTACATTCATTCTCAGATTAAGCTGTACGTGCAGTGTGCCCGCCATATAAATTCCAATTTGTCAATAATGCCCTTTCTAAACTTAAAAAAGAATCCTTTATAGTTAAAATTTCTAAACTTAGAAATTTTCAAGAACCTTAATGCTTTATTTTCAGGGGTTGGATTTAAAGAATCTAGGTTCCCTGGCTAGTAGCAAACTACAGCAGATGAGAGCTAAGGAGAATATTGATAAACCTGTCATGAAAACAAAGGTACTTAAATTACAGGGAGGCCCATAAAATTGTGGAAAAAACGGCATTTAGGTAATTTTATAAGTATTTGATGCATGTGCTCTACCAGTTGCTTGTAAATTTACTTATTAAGTGAAATAGATCTTATTACACTGCACAGCTTCTGTGTTTTATTTTCATTAGACTATTTAAAATTACAACTTGAGTCAAACTGTCGTCTTCCTTTTTGTACAGTTGTATGGGTCCCACTGCTAATTTATTTCTTAAACATTATTTTCTTTTCCAACATTTTCTAGATTGACGGAGAAATATTTACAATGAAGAAGGTTATCAATCCAACCCGGTTCAAGCCTGATGAATTGATCCTTCGTCCTGAACCGACATCCAACAAAGACGACGATATTTTGGGAAATACAAACTTCTTTCAGAAACTTCAGTCTAGTCAGGAGATTCTTAGAGCTCAATCCTTCCTCCCTAGTCTTTCTAATACCGGAGTTCGTCCCACCTCGTCTCATGTTCTATTCAAGGACTTGGATCCGGAGTTTACATTTTCTCCGACCCAAACCTCAGATATAATTCAGCGAACCAATTCCATCAACAAACCAAAAATAATCCGACTTGAAATTCCAGATGAAAAGGAACCTGCAGTCTTTCCCCAGAGAGATATCATAACACTAACCACTCCGAAACCTTCTTTTAGTGATTTTGGATTTCATGAAATACCAGCTCCCGGAGCTGAGGAACTAAACCTATTCAAGGTTTCTAGTCAGCTCAGGGTTGGGAATAATGAAAATAACTCTCCTTCAGAAAGTACGAAGGAAGGGTTTACTCCGGGCACTGTTTTATCCGTACAGGTATAAAAATTTAATCATCTAATATTATTTTTTTATTTTATAACTTTGATTTGTTTAGACTGGAGTCAGCTCTGACGTTGAAACCTTAAATATTCAAAGACAGATGGAGAAACTTCATGAACTAGAACAGATTCTACAAAATACGGATAATATTTCTCCGATCACACTAGGTAATATATAATCTTTCAACTTTTTTAGGTTTCCGTGCATAACTACATCAGCAAAATTCTAATTAACTTTAATAGTTTTTGGAGTTGGTTTTCATTCAAAAATCATCTCATGAGGAATAAAATATTTTACAAAATTTTGATTTTAATTTATGTTGATTTTTGTTTTTAAAGAGATGATCGAAGATGCCTTGATCCATCTGAACCAGAAAAAGAGTATCCCAACCCGATCAGGGAAGGATGGTTCCCTGGGGTTTCAGGTTGAGAAAGTGAGACAAGTCGGAGAAAATACTCGGGAAATACTGACGTCTGGTGGCAAGATTACGACGAAGGGAGAATCTCCAATCCTACTCCCTCACCAAGGTTAACAGTGTTTTCTTTAGTATTCATTGAAAAATGATTCTTTGGAACTTATTATCGTTCTTCCTAGTCAATGTTGCTCATGGAGATTACAAGGTTTTACATTCAGGTGGGCACATGGTTCCTATGAGTGACAAAGCTATTCTAAAACAGACCCAGCTGAGACGACTCCGACTGGAAATGCTCAAGGTACATCAGTTTATACTGTATAAAGGGGAACCAGGAAACGTGTCTAATAATCCTGCAATATCATCTTCGATTTAATAATTGATCCACACTAGATCAGATTTAAATCTTCCTTGTTCCAGATGAAGGATAAACTCTCTGAACTGGAATCTCAGGGTATTACTCCAACTAGGGAACACGTCCTGGATAATCTGCAGTTAATTAAGGATATCTCTAAAGGTTTGTTTAATAAAGAATTTAACTTCGAAATGAGTTTTCCAAAAAAAAAAATTTTACGATTGTTATCTCATTTGTTTAGCTTTTCCTATAAGCATAAAACACTTTGAATACCTTGTATGATATTATCTGCATTTTGTGGTAAAGTAAAATATACATGTAAAGTTTGGAAATTAAAACTAAAAAGACTTTTTTTCCAGATGAACGTCCCTTTGGAAATGTTATCCGAGAAAACCGAGCTCCAGTAAAGTTTATTCAAATTCCCCTTGTAAAGGAGAAGGTTCCCTCTCCGACTTCTCCGGGATTAGTCCTACTAACAACAACCCGTCCTGTCATCCTACACAATTCAAACCAACTCCCCAGAGCTAATCCTGAGAGTTTTAGATCTCCGGAAGCTCCGATAAACACTGATTTTTCGAATGCAAATATTTCTCCGAGCTCACAGAAGATGACAGAGGAAGAAATGAATAAAGAGCTTTCTCTGGTTATAGAAGGTTAAACTTACAATATACAGTGATAACCAGAAAACAATGGAATAGGAAGACGAAATTATTAAATGACTAATTTAGATAAATAGGCCTGTTTACACTACACAATTTCTGTATCTCATGCTCATTGGACTTTTGAAAGTTAACTTGATTCTTAAAGTGGTCTTCATTTTCCAGATGATTATCAATATGACAAAAGATTCATTATTTAAAGTTTCCAATCTTTTCCGGATTAATTCCAGGACGGTTATGTCTCAATGAACCTTTTCTGGAGCTTTCCAGAATTCAAAACTATTTAAAAAACTAAGAACAAATTTTGCCCTAAAAGGCAAAAAAGATTTTCATGCATACAGCATAAAAAAAAATCAGAAAAAAATGTAGAAGGATGATTTATTCGTAATTTAGGACAGGGAAATTTCGCACTTAATGCCGAAAAGTTTATTGGAATTGCATTCTTATTAGCTTTAGGAAAGGTTTTGTGAGACACGGTGTCCTGCATGGAGAGGATACTTGCATGGGGCCGACTCGACAATGTTAGACATAAAAAGCAATGTTAAAACATTAAAAATTTTTTAGTTGACATATATTTAATACGAATTTAGTTTTAAAATGTATTTTAAAAGGGGTAAAGGCAAAAAAAGTTATTTTCTCTTGAATATCGTCTTTCAAATAATCAAACAATAAATATTTACTCGAGACATAGATAATTTTTAATATGTTTTCCAATCAAAATATATTAATAAATATCGGAAAATCTCATAACATTGTTTTTTTTTGTCTAACATTGTGTTGAAATGGCTAAAACTTTAGAGGGAGTCCATACTATGCATTATATCGGAACCAAATCAATCAGGAAAAATAAGAAACCCTAGTAACAGTTAATATAAGTTATCTACAATAAACAAAAATTTTCTTTCTTGTCCTTAATTATGATTTTACTGTTTTATTCTAATACAAGTGATCACGGGTTTAACTTTGATTATAAATTTACTTTCTAGGATTAACTGAGCTTTCGCAAAGATTTCCAGTTGACTTTACAGAGCTGGTGACAAGCTTTGAGGAGAGTGGGACGGATGAGGAGCATATCATTGATCTGACGCAGAATCCTCAGATTCATAACACGGTATAATACATTGGATTGATACAAACCTATGTTCCAAATAAGATATATTGATCCGGCAGAAATATGATTAATTGTATCCAGGTTAGAGAAGTAAACAATGGCTGTGTAAAGCCCGAAGACCCTGAGAACGGACGTATTCTCTGCAACACTCGGGACTTGGTGGAGGGGAGTAAGTGTATTATAGAATGTAATCTTGGGTTTCTACCGGCTCAGGGTGAGATATTAGAGTGCAGAAAAGGATCTTGGAGTATTTCGGAGTTAAGGTGCGAGCAAACCTTGTCCCTGCTTATTGGAGGATATAATGCTCAGGAGGTAAACACTAAACTTTAATCATCATGAATCATGATTATTCTTGGAAAACTTGATAAAATAAATGTAAAGAGTTTATAATGCAATAGAAAACTAAATTTCAAGTCAGGTTTGAGTCTTTTTCTGATTAAACACTGAGTTCTATTTGATAACTATCCTAATCTTATTCTTGTAAATTTCAAAATCCTTCTCTAAAACAGACTAAATACAGGGTGAACTAGCAGATGTGGAACTCTTTTCTCCTTCTGGGCAGTGTAATTCAAGGAGCATTGCACCTCTTCCATCTCCCAGGTATAATTAAACCTCTACCAAGTAAAAATAACCCTCTCCCAAGTAAAAATAACCCTCTCCCAAGTAAAAATAAACCTTTCCTAAGTAAACTTAAACCTCTCCCAAATAAAAATAACCCTCTCCCAAGTAAAAATAAACCTTTCCCAAGTAAAAGTAAACCAAGACCTTTTCCATGAAAACTTGAACCAATTCGAGGTAACCTTAAACCATTTCCATTAAACCTGAAATTCTTCTAGCTCCTTGGTAAAACTTAACCTCGAAGATCTCAGGGTAAACCTAAACCTCTCCCAGGAAAACCAAAAACTCACTGGTTAAAACTTAAAGGAATTGATTCTTTGCCACAAACTCTGATTTTCTAATCCCTATATCTTTGGAACCCAATGTCGTAAACCTTTGATATTTCAAACTTATATTATTTGATCTAACAGAAGTCATAGTTTGAAATGTCAAAGGTTAACGACGTTGGAATCCAAAGATATAGGTATTAGAAAATCAGAGTTCGTGGCAAAGACTCAATTCCTTTTTCTAGCTTCTTGATAAATCTCAACTACACCGGGATTTTACAATAGTACAAGATGAAACCTAAACCTCTCCAAAGTAAATCTGAAACTCTTCTAGCTCCTTGATAAACCTGAACCTTACAGAGTTCATAGTTAAACCTGAATCCATCTCCCATGGGTATTGGTTAAACCTTGTCCTATTCCATCTCATAGCTGAACCTTATCCTCTTCCAGTTTTATACATACAGGAATAACAAGAAAACTCTAAAATAGGAAGACGACTTTTAGAATCAAGTTAGATCGTTTAAAAGTCCAATAAGACACAGCATTTGTAAAGTGTAGACCCATTTTTCTAAATTAGTGATTAAATAAGTGTCTAGTAAAACTAGTTGCTTTGTAACAACATTAATACACTTAACTATTGCTATAATGTCGTCTTCCTATTCAATTGTTTTCTGATTATCACTGTAGTAACCTTGACTTGTCCGAGCTCCCAGTTAAACCTGAATTTCTCCCTGTTTTCTGATGAACCGTAACCTTACATATACTCCCGGTATTTCAATGCTTAATATATTTCAGGAAATGAAGGAAAATTAATTGTTTTCTCTAAGGTTTCTTATTTTCCACCCTTCAACCCTTGTATAAGTAAAACAGCTCAAATATAAATATTACAGGGTTACCCAAAAAGAATGAGACTTCAAAGACGACTGTCCGGAATTTTTGCTCTCTGTTTCTTCATGTTAATGTTTCCCTGCAGCTGTAAAATTGATTCTTTCTTTGTGAAATCATTAAATATCTATCATGCTAAATCGTGGACCGTAAAGAAAAAATGATATCCCTGCTTTAGGCGAGGCCTGGTGGCAGCATACATTGATGGATTTATTCTGGCTTGCGCAGGTTATAATTTGCTTTAATTGAAATATTTAAGACACCCCTTTTCCTTTCTTCTTCTTAATGTTTATTGGTAATTTTCTTCTCATATTAGAGAACAGATCCAACATAAACATATTCGTGGTGAATTCGTAAACATTCCATATTTTCATCCTGAAGGGCGAAAACCCCACCATGATAGGCCAGGTTAGGTCCGCACTTAATGCATTACAATTGCTTCCGCTGTCTTTACAAATGAAGAAAAAGATGTGTCTAATCCGCATTCTGTGACCATGATTTGTTTAATTCTATCAATAAGAAGATTATTTTGATTAGGAGTGAATAATACAGAATCTCTGAATGAATGCTGGAAATATCTTCCAGATTTGAACAGATGGGTCACAACTTCTCCGTTACACAGGTAAAATCTTTATCAGAGTAAAAAATCGATGTTTTTCCTATCAAATATTTTTTTTTATTTACACTTATAAATGTATGTTCCTGAGTATAGGGGACACACATCACCAAACCTCGAACCCCATCGATAAGACAAAATGGACTATATCTTGGAACTATGCACGGAATTATGTCTGGAATTATGTATGAAAAATTATGTATGGAATTATATATGGAACTATGCAATATGCATGGAACTGTGTATAAAACTAAATATGCATAGAACTATGGATGGAACTATGCAGGGAACTGTGTATGAAATTAAATATGCATGGAACAATGCATAGAACTATGTATGGAACTATGTATGGAACTATGCATGGAACTATGCATAGAACTATGTATGGAACTATGTATGGAACTATGCATGGAACGCATAGAACTATGTATGGAACTATGTATGGAACTATGCATGGAACTATGCATGGAACTATGCATGGAACTATGCATAGAACTATGTATGGAACTATGTATGGAACTATGCATGGAACTATGCATAGAACTATGTATGGAACTATGATGAAACTATGCATGGAATTATGTATAGAAATATGCAATATGCATGAAACTGTGTAAAAAGCTAAATATGCATAGAACTATGGATTGAACTATGCAGGGAACTGTGTATGAAATTAAATATCCATGGAACTATGCATAGAACTACGTATGGAACTATGCATGGAACTATTCAATATGCATGGAACTACACATGGAACTGTGCATTAAATTCATGCACAGAACTTGGATGTATGCACTAAACAATCCAGGGATCTAAGTCCGGAACTATGCATGAAACAATGCATCTAAAAGCATATAATGACCTTGGCTTCTGTTTAACCATACACCAGGCTATTTATTTAATTAAAACAATGAAAAATATGAATCATACACTTTGAATAGAAACTCCACATGAAGTTAATTATATTAATTATATTAACTCATCCACTTTACGTAATTTTAAATATTCAACTAAATTAATATTAATTTTGCTTTTATAAGTACTTTTTGCTTCAGCAAGGGATCTCATGATCAAATGTTAGAGGGCTTTAAGGAAAAGTCAAGAATTTTAAAAAAGAAACAAACAATTATATTTTCAAACATTTTTTTTTTTGCAGAGATGGATGTTACGATATCTAGTCGTCCCAAGGGACTGTTAAGTTTAACAATTGCTTGTTGAAACACGTAAAATCTTGATATTTCATTTTTTAGTGAACGCCATTTTGGTTCTGTAGTCGGAGCAAGCGGAACCCTGATCGTCCTGGGAGGACGGGACGGATCTGCTACTCCGATGGCTCTGGGAGGTATGGAGCAGTGGAGAGAAGGAAAATGGCACGAGGTCAACACAAAGATGAGTTTAGAAAGGTCTTATCAATGTGCTACACCTATTACAAGGTATTTCAAGATTATTTTATTCTTCCCCTGTTTTTTAAATCTTTCAACTGGTGGTTTGGATTTATATGTATCACGTTTCTTAGAAAATTTAAAAGGATTTTGATATAGAATTATAATTACATTGTAGCTAAATTATTTTCTAAGAGAATTTGATTAAAACCGTCATCCATTAAATTCCTTGAAAGACTGTTTTATCTTGATATCGTCAAAAAAAAATTTTAAATTTTAAAACTGAAATTTTGGGCTTTTTTTTCTGGAGAAAAACCGCAGTCATTTATTATTAATTTTCCGATAGAAAAACAAACAAACAGCGATATCTCCTTATTCCCTTGAAATCACACTGGTAATTAGTATATTACGGTGTAAAGACCTTTAATAAATTTGATAAAAAAACTAATTATGGATATGATGAAATTAAATGTCCCATATTAGATTGTCATAGCCAGATAGAGCCAGAATCTGCAAGGTTAAAGGTTTTAATAATTTCTCCCTACTATTAAGTATAGCGGTGAAAGTGGATCAAGCGTAAAATTATGATTTTATAATGAAGGGAAACTAAAAATTAGAAATAAATGATTCAAGCACTCCCCCCCCCTCATTTTTCTCTCCGCAGTAACAAATTCAACAATTTCCAAAGAAAAGAAACAATGGCGTTGTTGTTTCTGTGTATAGTTCTGCTTGAGTGTTATCATATGATCTTAACAGAGGCTAGTTTTTTCAGGGTTCAGGTTTTTCGACAGTGTTTGGGTTTTCTGAAAAGATTTTTTATTTTCCAAATAAAGCGGTTTTCTGAGTGGGTTTGTATTTTGGAAACAGTGTTTGGGTTTTATGAGCAGGGTTAGGGTTTTAGGAAAAGGTTTTGAGTTAGTATCGGTTGGGTTTAGAGAAGGGAGGTTTATCTAAAGGAACAAGGTTTGGGTAAAGGAGCATGGTTAATATTTAAGTAGAATTAAGAGTTATGAAAGCATCACGGAGTAAACTGTATAAAAAAAAGTTTTTGATGTTAGAAAATGGTTCAGATTTAGAGACGGTTCCATCTTTATTTTAGAGTGAGGACCAACTAGATCTGATATTTAGGAACAAGTTGATGGTAACCGGAGGGTACTCCTGGAACACTATCCTGGGGAGGGTGGAGACTCTACAAATGTCCCAGGAGAAGGAGTGGCAACTCCTCCCTCCTCTCCGTACTCCTAGATACCTGCACTCCTGCACCAACTACCCTAGTCCTTCAGGAGATACAGGAGTTCTTGTCTCCGGGGGGTACTCGGAGGATTATCTAAACTCAACGGAAATATTTGACTTCAGAACGAACACGTAAGTTTTTTTTGTTAGTCCAAGGTTTTTATTTTTATTAAAACATTCCATAACAATGTTTAAAACATGAGAATGTAGCTTGAATATTGTGTTGTAAAGACACAAAAAGTTGTGTCAGAAATATGTACGCTTGCCTAAAATATTTGAATAGAAATTATACCAAGAGAAATGAGCCAGTTAACATGTCAATTGAACTATTTAAGTCTTTGTCGTATTCCGCGTATTGTAAATGTGATTCAGACTAAACAAAAAATATAAAAATTACTCCTAATTTTTATGCTATATAAAACATTGATTATCTTAAACCCTATTCCGACTGACGTCTGAATTAGCCAAAATAGACTGGGGGGGGGGGGGTCCCCTTCTCTATTTCATTATTGTGATACAAATCTATAACATTTGTGTTTTAGGCTTTCCAAAGAGCTATAAAATGTTGAAATCCAATGACTGGAAGTAGGTCTAAATATAGATTAGTCTGGTATAGGTAAAATAAGGCATTTAGGCAGTATGCCTTAGGACTCAGGCAGTAGGTAAAAAAGCCCAGTTTTAAGCCGATGTGAGGGGCATGTATTAGCTAAGTCAAAAAATTTGAACAGCCTCAGACCAATGCTTTTTGAGTTATCGCAAAAAAACGACAGGGGGGGGCACGGTGACCCCCCCCCCGTCGGAATAGGGTTAAATATATTACAGGGAAAACAACATAAGTATCGTATAGAGGGGGAAGGGGAAGAGAATTGAAGGGTTGACAACCTTCCATTATCTTCATAAAGATAATTGATAAGTCGTGTTATATCCTACAATCAAGGGATAAAGCATAATTATCTTGTTGATTTGGAATTATCCTCCGAGAACACTAACCAGTTATCACGCAGAACATAGAAGTGTGACAAAAACACTAAAATTACTCCGATTACCTTGTCATTATTTTTGTTATTTTTCTCATTTTTCTAATTATTTTTAATGTCAGTGTTTCCTTATCCGATTGGTTACGGTTGTAAAGGTTCAGGTTAAGGTGAACTTTATAAGGATTAGATACATTGTAAAATTGATATTTTTTTCCTGGATCAATAATTATTATGTACCGTGGAATACATACAATTTTGTATGGCAACTCATATGATACTAGGGAACGTTCAGACTGATAGTGATAAATAAGGTTTGCCCGTAAAAAATGTTGACTTCAATTATTTTAGAAAATCCACCAATTTAAACAGAAAAATTCCCAAACTTTTTTGTGTTGGATAACGATAAAAAAGTATTATAAATCCTATGTATAAAACATTTAGGTTAACATGGATTCAGTTAGTTTGTTATTAATAATCGTCTCTATAATCTGAGTTGCTCGTTTTTAAATTAATTATTTGTCCTGATGTTGATTATTAATGCATGACCGTACCGGTTCCACAAATATCTTATTTATTATGTTTTAAAAATCTGTGATTAATTTAAGTTTACATGATTGTATGTAACAGAAAAGTGATATATATTTTTGTAACAGTTTGTATGTCTTTAAAAGTGTGTAAGTCCTTAAGTGTTAAGTGTTCATGTTCGTAATTACGTAAAGCTTTTATGTCCATAGAGTAAAGTGTTTATGTCCATAAGAGTAAAGTGTTCATGTACATAAGAGTAAAGTGTTCATGTCCATAAGAGTAAAGTGTTCATGTCCATAAGAGTAGTGTTCAAGTCCATAAGAGTAAAGCGTTTATGTCCATCAGAGTAAAGTGTTCTTGTCCATCAGAGTAAAGTGCTCATGTCAATAAGAGTAAAGTGTTACTGTCCATAAGAGTTAAGTGTTAATGTCCATAAGCGTAAAGCGTTCATGTCCATCATGTCCATAAGAGTACAGTGTTTATGTCCATAAGTATTCTTGTCCGTAAAAGTAAAGCGTTTATGCATGTAAAAGTAAAGCGTTTATGTCTGTAACAGTCTGAAACAGTGTGTATGACTTTAAAAGTGTGCATGTCTTAAACAGTGCGTATGTCTGTAACAGTGAGTATGTCTGTAACAGTGTGTATGTCTGTAACAGTGTGCATGTCTGTAACAGTGTGTATGTTTGTAACAGTGTGTATGTTTGTAAAACTGTGTTTATCCTTAACATTTAAGTGTTTTCTGACATGTCCGTATAGTTCAAGAATGTTTGCAATAATAAATTAACACAATAGACAAATGAGAAGACTTATGAGAATAATTGTATCCGGAGATTTGGCGCTAATAATACAACCCGGAGACACAAAAACGTTTAAAGAACCAGAATCCCTTTATTAATCCATCAAAATCAAGAATTCAGCTGTGAACCAAGAATCCTTGTTTGCTCAAGGATGAAGATATAACAAGTAGATTTGTCAGGCATACAATAAACATCTACGTTACGGTACAATACGCACAAAAACAATAAAACGACCATCCTTAAAAACACTAAAATAAAAATATATTTGAAAACCCATCCCAGAACCTAGTCACAGTAATTCTATGACTAAACATAAACCATGATAAAAGATTCCCAAGTTCTTTTATCTAGGTGGAGTTACAGCGGAGAGATGTCTGAACCACGCCAAGGATCAATAATACTCCTCGTGGACGGAAAACCAACCATATTCGGCGGGTTCAACAACTATGATAAATATCCAACCCTTGTCGAACAGTTTGATCCTGATCTAGGTAATAAAACAAAGAAAAAAGTTCAAAACCAAAAATCAAAACTTTGAATTCTTAGGAATGTGGTTTCCCCTCCGGGAAGAATTAAAGCAAGGAAGAAGATACTTTGCCGGAGTAAATGTTCCAGCTTCCATATTTCCTTGGTGTAAACCTTAATCATATAGTGACAATTTATCAACCTTGCTCAACCTTGGTTCAATGGGTCCTGGATTTTTTAGGTTCAAATGACATGGTTTCTCTGATTCATCGTTCCAAAACTCCAGAGATCCAAAAGCTTCCAAAATCCATGGTTCCAAAACTCCATGGTTTTCCGGAGATTGATGGTTTCAACGCTCCTGAGATCTATGGTATCAAAGTTCTTGAGATCCATAGTATCAAAGCTTTTGAGATCCATGGTTTCAAAGCTTCTAGGATACATGGTTCCAAAGCTCCAGATATCCTTGGTTCCAAAGCTCCATGCTACCTGGTTCCAAATCTTCATAGATCCATGGTTCCAAAGCTTATAAGTTCCATGGTTCCAAAGCTTCATAGATCCTTGCAGGCGCGCAACATTTCTCAATATAAGCTCAGATTCTTTTTATTTTTGCCCCCTTTCTTTAAAAATGCCCCCAAATTGGATTTTTAAATTATACTCGCACATTTTTATTCAAATTGACCCACCAAAATTAAATTTGTCCCCTTTTTTGAATGCCACCGAATATTTATAATTTGCACCTAAATAAAAATTTTTATTATCCCCAAATGTTTTATAAATTCACCCAACTTTAAGGTAACCCAACAAAAAACACTCTTTGATTAAAAAGCCCCTACATATACTTTGAAAATACCATTTAATAAAAAAATTTGCCATCCAAATAAACATTTAAGATTTCCCACACACAAATATGCCCAAAAAAAACTGAAAAAAGTCCCTTAAAACAAAGATTTAAGATTTCCAATGACTGAAAATTGCCAAAAATAAAATTTGCCCCTGAAATATAAATTTATAATTTTTCCCACAAAAATTTGCACCAAACTGAAAAGAATGCTTCCAAAAATAAAAATTACCCCGCGCGAACTATTTGCCTTTGCCCCTCCCCCTTGGTGAATGTCTAGTTGCGCGCCTGGATCCATGTTGTTCCAAAGCTTCTGAGATTCATGGTTCCAAAACTACAGAGATCCTTGGTTTTCGAATCTCTTGAGATCTAAGTTTAAAAAGCAGAGATTCATGGTTCTAAAACTTTTAAGATCCATAGTTCCAAGTCTCCTGAGAACCGTGGTTCCAAAACTCCAAAGATCCATGGTTCCGAAGCAGCAGAAATCCACGGTTTCAAAGCTTCTGAGATCCAAGGTTCATGCTTCCGAGAAACGTGGTTACAAAGCTCCTAATATTTATGTTTTCAATACTCCATAGTTTCAGAGCTCCAGAGATTCATGGTTCCAAAGCCTCAGAGACCCATGGTTCCAGAGCTCCAGAGATCTAAGGTTTCAAAGGTCCTGAGATCCTTGGTTCCAAAGCTCCAGAGATACATGGTTTCAAAGCTCCAGAGGTCCTTGGTTCCAAAGCTCCAGAGATCCATAGTTCCAGAGCTCCAGAGATCCATGGTTTCAAAGCTCCAGAAATTCATGGTTCCAGAGATCCATGGTTTCAAAGCTCCAGAAATCCATGGTTCCAGAGCTCCAGAGATTCTTGGTTTTAAAACTACAGACATCTATGGTTCCAGAGCTCCAGAGATCTATGGTTACAAAGCTCCAGGATCTAAGATTCCAAAGCTCCAGAGATTCATGGTTCCAAAGCTTCAGAGATCCAGTTCAGAGGTTCAGGGAGCTGCGTAATTCAAGATTAGAACCAAAATTACTCCCAAAGGAATTGAGTTTTTGCCACAAATCCCAATTTTTTAATACCTATATCTCAACAACCAGATGATGCATACCTTTCATATTTCAAACTTACATTGTTTGATCCACCAGAATTCATAGTTTGAAATATCTACGGTCTACGACATTTGGTTTAAAAAAAATTAGGTTTTAAAAATCAGAGTTTGTGGCAAAGACTCAATTCCTTTGTTGCGTTCCATAAAAAATATCTACAATTCAAATATCTCTGGTTAAATTGCTCAAGGAGTTTTGTAATCTTGGATATCCTGGTCTAGGTGCCAGGAAAATATTAAAGTTAGATCAAATTTTGGTATGAAACTATTTCTCCATATTTCCCACGTTTATTTACAGTTAAATATTTATATAAATACATCCCTGTTCGTCAAGATATTCAATAAACTCTATTCTATTTTTGCATATTTCAAACAAAGGTGAGAAGTTTTCAATTCGCATTCTGCAATCCTTGTTTTTTGTCTTCGTATTATTTTATGAATCTATCAAACTATCCGACTTACCCTAACTATGAAATCAATCACTATCAGACTAATCCTAACGATTTGAACAATCCTAACTATGAAATCGATTCACTATCAGACTAATCCTAACGATCTGAACAATCCTAACTCTGAAATCAATCACTATCAGACTAATCCTAACGATCTGAACAATCCTAACTATGAAATCCTTTCTAAAAGACCAATCCTTTCTAAAAGACCAATCCTTACTATCAGACTAATCCTTACTATCAGACCAAACCTAACTAAAGGACATCACTATCAGACTAATCCTAACGATCTGAACAATCCTAACTCTGAAATCAATCCTAACTTTAAGTCAAAACCTTACTATCAGACTAATATTAACTATAGGATCAATCCTTTCTAAAAGACCAATCCTTTCTAAAAGACCAATCCTTACTATCAGACTAATCCTTACTATCAGACCAAACCTAACTAAAGGACAAAACCTAGCTATTTGACCAATTCTAAATATTTGACCAATTCTAACTATCAGACAAAACCTGACTCTCTGACCAATACTAACTATCAGACTAATCTTAACTATCAACCCAACCCTTCTAATATACTAATCCTAACTATCAGACCAATCCAAACTATCAGACAATCCCAATATAAGACCAATCCTAACTATAAGACAAAACCTAAGTAACATGAACTATCAGACCAATCCCAACGGCAACTGACTATCAGACCATTCTTACTATACGCCCCTCTCCTAACTACCACTAACTATCTTCGCCTGAAGGTGTTGCAAGGAAAGATCTGCATGGTTCAGGTTCACAAAGAATTGTTGATTTGAAAGAAAAGTTCTAGAAATGAAATCATGAGAGCGGAACAAGCTAAACATAGCGAACCCTGGATACTGTTTCATCAAACTTAATCTTTATTTTTCACATAAAGAAACTTAACAGTTGCAACAAACTTTAATATTTCGAATTTTTATATCTTTGCAACCAGCTAATGTAAAACTAATTGATATATCAGAATTCATAGTTTGAATTATCAAAGATTTACGACATCAGGTTGCACAGATATAAGGATGAGAAAATTACTTTAATATACAGCATAAATGTGTCTCCTCAAGTATCCGATAATTATGCTTAAAGCTTAACATGAATAAAAAATAAATTTAAATGATTTTAGAAAAAAAACTTTCCAAATAGACATTTTGAATAGGTTGCCGACCCTATGGAGCACAATGGGTCGGATGACAGTGAGAAAACGAAACATTTATACAAATGAATTTTTGTTCATTGACTAATGAAAGGGCGGGGTTGCGTTGGTAAAAGACAACAAAAGAGGTTTTTATTTAATAATAGACCAGACCAACCACTGTTGCACATCTGAATAGAAACAACAGATATAAAAAAACGTTAAAATAGGCAACAATACAGGTCCGCGGGATTTATTATAATTACAAATTATAACAATATTTAAAACAAGACTTTTTCTCACACTTGACTTAACAGTTTAATTGAGAGATATATAATTTAAGTTCTTCGCAACACCTCCTTCTCAGGTTATTCAGTTTTATTGACTGTAAATATTTAAAAACTTATTTAAAACCATTAACAATTACAAATCTCATTGTTATAATCATTACTAAATATTTTATTCTGTAAAAAGGTGATTAGGTTTAGGTGTTAGCGGGTTCTTAATAATTTACTATGTTACATAAAATGAAAAGAAATATTACAATTCTTTTTTAAATGGGCTACCCTGTGAGCAGAAGGATAAAATATAGAACCGGTATCCACCTTTTCATTATTGATTGTATTTTGCTTAAATAAATAAGCAAAATTAAAGTGTTTTCTGTATTTTAAATGCCTATTGCATACATTATAAAGTAATAAATGATTTAAAAAAACATGATTGTAAATGAAAACGGAGAGAGAAAGTTGAGAAAGAAAAGAAAAAAATGAGAAAAATTAAAAGAGAATGTTAAAATATGTTAAAATATGTTAAATATGTTAAAATATGTTAAAATATGTTAAAATATGTTGAAATATGTTGAAATATGTTGAAATATGTTGAAATATGTTAAAATATGTTAAAATATGTTAAATATGTTAAAATATGTTAAAATATGTTAAAATATGTTGAAATATGTTGAAATATGTTGAAATATGTTGAAATATGTTAAAATATGTTAAAATATGTTAAAATATGTTAAAATAATTCATGACTTACCATTTTTGTAATCCTCGTTTGTGCACATTTTATGTACACTATTGATACTGTCTCCCACTGCTCTATTAAACTCTCCTCTCTTTAAAAAAGAAAATTACATTTCATTTTAGTTATTAGTTATGTCCATGGCTTACTACTGTTGTAAAAATATGAGAAATTAGAATATTTTAAGTAGTTAGACGTATGTAGTAAGTTTTATGTAATAGAAAGTGATAAACATGAGTAGTGTACACACTGTAATGTACTAAAATCCATCTGATCTTGCGATTAAAATGATATAATGTACTGTAGTGTACTATAGTATGCTGTAGTTTACTGTAGTGTACTGTAGTGTACTTTGATGTACTGTACTATACTTCAGTGTACTGTAGTGTACTGTGATGTATTAAAGGGTACTGCAGTGTACTGTAGTGTACTATAATAATCTAACTGATCTTGTAATAAACATGATGTAGTGTCTGTAGTGTACTATAATCTACCTGATCTTGTGATAAACATGATGTAGTGTACTGTAGAGTACTATAATCTACCTGATCTTGTGATAAACATGATTTAGTGTACTGTAGTGTACTGTAGTGTACTATAATCTACCTGATATTGTGATAAACATGATGTAGTGTACTGTAGTGTACTATAATCTACCTGATCATGTGATAAACATGATGTAGTGTACTGTAGAGTACTATAATCTACTTGATCTTGTGATAAACATGATGTAGTGTACTGTAGTGTACTGTAGTGTACTATAATCTACCTGATCTTGTGATAAACATGATGTAGTGTACTGTAGTGTACTGTAGTGTACTATAATCTACCTGATCTTGTGATAAACATGATGTAGTGTACTGTAGTGTACTATAATCTACCTGATCTTGTGATAAACATGATGTAGTGTACTGTTTGATGCAATCTACAAATTTTGACCAGGTTTGTGGGAAAAGAACACTGAAATAAAATTATGTAAATATTTAGATTAAATAATTAAGCTCTTTTTATAATAGAATTTAATATTTTAGAAAAGAAAAAAAGAAATGGTCACTGATATTTTCAGTGACAATTAGTTAGAAAGCTGGATTCTCAATTATCAGTAAAAATAAAAAAGTAAATGCTAAATCTTTTTGGAAATATATTAAGAAATTGAATCCAATATTGTTTCAAACAGTAGAATTATAATTTATGTCTATACTTAAATAAACAAATGATATTTCGGTAAAAAAGTGAAAAATGCATTTTTGCAACTTGGAATTATCATTTTAATATTATCAACCATGGTCTTAAATTGCACAGTACAATGAACACTAAACACTAAACAGAATACACCGAAAAACGCGCAATGACAGTGCTTTAAGAACTCTTGTTAACAATACTTACTTGCATACGTGATCAATATCCTTAGATGTTGAAGGGAAGACATGGTTTGCTTGGAGTAGAGGATCAGCAAGTCTTATACAAGCATTTAGATCATTAGATCTACAATCCAGTCTCTGGGAGATACAACATCTAGAACCTGAAACAAAACTAAACTTTATCTAAGAAAAAATCAAGGTTTAGGATAATTTGTTAGAGAATTCAAACAGTTTTCAACATAAAGGATGTAAATTAAGGTTTTAGGACGGAGGCTTCAAGATCTTCAAGATCTATGTAGAACTTGAAAAAAATCAACTTTTATAAAAAAATCAAAATAAATATAAAGAGGAGAGAATTTACAATTTATTCAATAAAAAGGATTTATGAATTCGAGGATTAAACACGGGGGTTTAACATGAAGGATTCAACATGGAAAGTTCATTATGGAAAATAAGGATTTAAGATGGATTCAAGATGGAGAATTAAAGATGGAGAATTCAAGATGGATGATTCAAGATGGATGATTCAAGATGGAGGATTTAAGATGGAGGATTAAAGATGGAGGATTCAAGATGGAGGATTCAAGATGGAGGATGCAAGATGTAGGATTCCAGGCGGAGGATTCAAGATATAGGATTCAAGATAGAGAGTTAAAAATGGAAGATTAAAGATGGAGGAGTCAAGATTTAGGTTAAAAATGAAAGATTAAAGATGGAGGATTCAAGATGGAGGATTCAAGATATAGGAATAAAGATAGAGAGTTAAAATGGAGTTAAGTTAAGTATGCGTGTTATAAAACAATAAAGGAATGCTAACACTTAACATCCGAATTCAAATGCAAAAGAAGGAAAACACATAAATCAATATCTAACTGCAAAGCATCTAATAGTCCCGGAAAAGCATTGTTCTTCTTTAATGATAATAATAAATTTTTACAGATTACATAATTACTGATTATTTATATCTTTCTACTTCACGCGCAAACTTGATTATAAATCATAAAATATATATTTTTACTGGAATTAGGTGCTATTATAATCTAAAATCTATAATAAAGAATTACAGAATGTATTAAGGAGAGAAATAAGGACTCTGAGTCCATATACAGAAGAGTCATAAGGAGTTAATATAGAGGAGAAATACATAGAGTCCATATAAGAGAGAAATACAAGGAGTAAATATAAAGGAAAAAAACATGGAGTCCATATATATAAAGGAAAAATACATAGAGTCAAAAAACAGGAGAAATAAATTGAGTCCAAAGAGAAGAGAAATACATGGAATCATATACGGAAAAATACATGGAGTCCATATACAGGAGAAATACATGGAATCATATACGGAAAAATACATGGAGTCCATATACAGGAGAAATACATGGAGTCCATATACAGCAGAAATACATGGAGTCTATATACAGGAGAAATACATGGAGTCCATATACAGGAGAAATACATGGAGTTCATATACAGCAGAAGAAATACAAGGAGTAGATGAAGAGGTAAAAGTCATTTTGTCCGTATACAAGAGAAATATATGGAGTTCAAACACAAGAGGAATTAATAGAGAAAAACATGGGGAGTGGAGACCATATATAGGAGAGATACAAGGAGAACAAAGAGGAGAAATAATTTGATTTCCTTTGAATGAAAAGTTGTGTGAGGGTTTGAATCTATAAATTCTAACAAAGTTATAAAATCTATACCAGAGAAAGAAAGTGTGTCCTTTAGGAGATTAAACATTAACTTCCGGTTATCAAGCTGCAATCTGTTTCCGGTTTTCTGTTTAATATTTCTAGGGGAGGGTCAGGGGATGGGAGGAAAACTATTAATTTGCTAATAATTTTAAAATCAGCTGTTTAAAGAGCTAACAGGTGAACTTCCGGTTAAACCTTATTTTGTTGCTACTTCCGGTAAAATCTAGATCTTCCATGATGTGTCTCATTCACATTAAATCTGATTGAAGGGTGACTCAAAGAAAGGTGGGATAAATGAAATATTCGAATAAAATATTTTGCATCTTAAGAAAAATTGCAAAAGAGACAAGTTTTTTTCATGTAAAACTCATGCTTTCAAAGAAAGAGCTTGTACTGCTGAATTTATGTTTCTTTTTAACACATCTTGGAGATATTTTTGCCTGATTTTGTTATAGAAATCCCAACTGTTGGAAATATTTGACAAAGGTTTAATTTGTAAATTCTTCTTGAACGATAGCTTTCTCTTTTTGAACCATTTGAATGCAGGTTTTTTAAAGGCTGTTCATCCCTTCTAGTTTAAGAGACGTCCTTTGTCATTTTAAAAAGATGAATGCTTTGGTATGGCTTTGCTTACCATGTAAAACCAAATACAAGAATGTATTCTTTCTTCAACCAACCCAAATGCAAGAATGTATTCTTTCTTAACCAAACCAAATACAAGAATGTATTCTCTTTTAGACCAAACCAAATACAAAACTGAATTCTTTCTTAAACCAAACCAAATGCAAGAATGTATTCTTTCTTCAACCAACTCAAATACAAGAATGTATTATCTCTTATTCCAACCCAAATACCAGTACTACTGTAAAAAAGCAGGTTTTTATTTTAAGTTGTGTATTCCTGTGTATTCCTAACTATGTTGTGTGCTCCTATGTATTCCTTACTATGTTGTGTGCTCCGTGTATTCCTAACTATATTGTGTGCTCCTGTGTATTCCTAACTATATTGTGTGGTCCTGTGTATTCCTAACTATATTGTGTGCTCCTGTGTATTCCTAACTATGTTGTGTGCTACTGTGTATTCCCAACTATATTGTGTGCTCCTGTGTATTCCCAACTATATTGTGTGCTCCTGTGTATTCCTAACTATGTTGTGAATTCCTGTATATTCCTAACTATGTTGTGTACTCCTATGTGTACTGCACTGTGTAAACATTACAATTTGAGCAAACCTTCAGTAAATAGAGGATTGCAAAATCATCGTAAGAAAAGTTTCTCACTAAATCAAATTTCACTTTCAAATTGAAAACTAATTCTGCGACAAAAGAAAACTAGTAAAATCACTGAGAGAGAAGAAAAGATGATTGAATCTTGTGAGTGAGTATCAGAAGTTTGCGAACCGTGAACCTTACTCCATGTTCGGGTTGGAACCAGGGTCAGGAGAACTGGTTTTCACAATTATTTACAAACATCTCAGAATTCCCTTTATGCAACCTGTAGTCAAAACGTTTGTGTGAATTAGTCCTAATCTACAAAGCATGATCTCGATATTCACTTTGACAACTAATTAATTTCAAGATAATGAGGTTGATACTTCAATTTTATTTATGGGTTTCGACCGCAGAGGATATCCAAGAGGAATTAGTTTAATCCTTTGAACTACGAAAGATATTAATAACCCGAGATTCATAACATAAAATATTGACCTCTGAATTTGTCCTATTTGATTCTGAATTCAAGCTAGGAATACATATAAGAAACCTATTTCTTTCAGGTTCTGGATACAAAGATACAGAAAGAATTAAAAAAACATTTAGTAAGGATATGTTTACTCTAAAATTGGGTTATGATCGATATATTTATTATTGCATTTGTTCAGGACTGATATTTCTCCTCTAATATTGGTTTAGGACGGATATTTCTCCTATGATATTGGTTTAGGACGGATATTTCTCCTCTGATATTGGTTTAGGACGGATATTTCTCCTCTGATATTGGTTTAGGACGGATATTTCTCCTATGATATTGGTTTAGGACGGATATTGCTCCTATGATATTGGTTTAGGACGGATATTTCTCATAGATATTGGTTTAGGACGGATAATTCTCCTATGATGTTGGTTTAGGACGGATATTTCTCCTCTGATATTGGTTTAGAACGGATATTTTTCCTCTGATATTGGTTTAGGACGGATATTTCTCCTCTGATGTTGGTGTAGAACGGATATTTCCCCTCTAATATTGGTTCAGGACGGATATTTTTCCTATGATATTGGTTTAGGACGGATATTTTTCCTATGATATTGGTTTAGGACGGATATCTCTCTTCTGATATTGGTTTAGAACGGATATCTCTCCACTGATATTGGTTTAGGACGGATTTGTATACTCCATAATTGAATTAAAACGGATATGTTTACTTTGATATTGGTTTAAGACGGATATAAATACTCTGATGTTGGTTTAGGACGGACATGATTACTCTGATATTGGTTTAGGACGGATATAAATACTGTAATTTTGGTTTAGGACGGATATGGTTACTCTGATATTGGTTTAGGACGGATATAAATACTCTGATGTTGGTTTAAGACGGACATGATTACTCCTATATTGGTTCAGGACGGATATGATTACTCTGATATTGGTTCTGACGGATATGATTACTCTGATATTGGTTCAGGACGGATATGATTACTCCTATATTGGTTCAGGACGGATATGATTACTCTGATATTGGTTCTGACGGATATGATTACTCTGATATTGGTTCAGGACGGATATGATTACTCTGATATTGGTTCAGGACGGATATGATTACTCTGATATTGGTTCAGGACGGATATGATTACTCTGATATTGGTTTAGGACGGATATGATTACTCTGATATTGGTTTAGGACGGATATGATTACTATGATATTGGTATAGCACAGATAAGTATATTCCTGAGAAAGAGAAGACCAGTATTCCCATGAACATCATCAAAGTTACTGTTTCCGGTATTACAGCATATTATCATTGGAGATGGTCAGAGTGGAATTTTAATCTACAAGGAGCCCCGTGTCTCGATAAATATTAGAAAAAATTACCGTTATTTTTTATATTTTTTATTTTCAGAACACAATAAAGTTTATTTCGAATCAATGATGCTCTAAGCGTTACTTTGCTTCTCACAATGAAGACATTGAAATTTTAGAATCACTTCCGTTGTATCCACAAATATTTTTTCAGACTCCCTGTATTTATTAACGAGGGGATAGAGATATTATTGAAAATGTGGGATATACAGGAGAGAGGTTCTATTAGATATAAATGCTTAGAATTAAAATGCAATTAAGTCAATTAATCAACTGAAATTGATATTTTACTCGAGCCAATTAAAACAATATTTATTTATCTGTTTACCTTATAGGCAAATATTGTAATGGAAGTTGTAATGGAATGGTTTATGAAGAAATGGAAGTTGTTGGTAAAAGCGTACAATACATATAATACTAGTTAGGAACTCGGCGCTGCCCACTTCCCAGGTTACTTATAGTTACCCCAGCTGTTTACCCGCACTTGGTCGGAAATTACGATTTTAGCTAATATTAAAGTTGACCCACTCAACTAAGAATCTCAAAGCCAAGCTGAGAACATTCCCGTTGCTTCCCAATTAAAATTTGAGGCAAATCGGTCAACGTAATCGTGAGTTATGATTGGACATTCAGTTCGTCAGTCCCCACCATTACTGACTGACGTGTTTTCTTACCAAATACATTAGCCATATATTTTAGGCCAGGACTGGTTGTATTGTTTTGATGTAGAATTTATGAAAGAAGAAAAAGTTCTTTTGGGGGAGTATAAAAAGAGCGAGGTGGAGAGGAAGAATGTCTAGGAATTATATACTAGGAAATCACTAAAACTCCTGAACCTATACATTTAAACTCACCAACTAATAGAAGAAAAATAGATTTGAATATCCCCGTCATATTAACCGGGTACAGGGTTCAGTATCCGGGTACAAGGTTCAGGATCCGGGTACAGGGGTCAGTATCCGGGTACAAGGTTCAGTATCCGGGTACAGGGGTCAGTATCCGGGTACAAGGTTCAGTATCCGGGTACAGGGGTCAGTATCCGGGTACAAGGTTCAGTATCCGGGTACAGGGTTTAGAATCTTTAGCTCACTATAATCACAAGATCATATCGAACTTGTTATTCATATAAATCACTGTGGTTCACTTATAGGTTTCGTATAATCACTGATTACACAAGGTTTGAAGATCTCAAGCTCCTAAATCTTCCTAAATTATACCAACCATAAACTTTGATATTTTATTATCCTACCACCATATATATTATATATTGTATACACATGTAAAATAATGAAATAATGATATTTTAAAACTAATCTGATTTTAAATAAGATCTAACCTTCGGATTACTTAATTATTTTCTATGTGTATAATGGAAAAATTAAACTTTCACGTTTTTATAATCTGAAAATCATTTTTATTCCGAAACGTTGAACTAATGAATTCCGACCCTAATTTCTAATTTTATTATTTCATGATTATCATCTTAAAATTCTAATTTTAATCTGAAACCAAATATATATATTTATCATCTTATTCTACCCTTATCTACAAAATAAAGCTCTTTTATCATATAAATCATTTATTCTTTAGCAGTTCGGAGAGTTTAAAAATTACTCAACTTCAAAAGTTGTCACCCCTGAGCTATTTGAAGAATAATCTTATCCTTTTCTCCTGATTCTACAGATCTAAGTTAAACCCCGGATGAGTAATTACTAAATACCATGAGAATATAGAGATAGCATATGCTACATAACCTGTACAGGCAACACAATCTAATTATAATATTCTCAGCTCTATTAAATATATATAAATATATACTAGATGATATTAGTTCCGTAGATTGTTCTTGTCTATAGCACATTGTCAATCATAATTCCTTCATATATAATATATCTTACAGACCAGGCCCCCCCCCCTCACATTAACATTTTCTTTACTTACTCTGCTTACTCCCTAATCTTACAAAACATGGGTTCCATCCCTTCTCTTACAAGAGATTGTTTCCATCCCTTCTCTTCCAAAAGATTGTTTCCATCCCTCCTCTTCTCAGAGTTTGTTTCCCTTCCTTCTTTTCTTGAAGCTGGTTTCCCTCCTTTTTTTCCAAGAGTTTGTTCCATTCTCTTCTCTTTTCAGAGTTTGTTTATTTTCCTTCTCTTCTCGGGATTTGTTTCTCTCCCTTCTCTTCTTAGATTTTGTTTCCCTCTCTTCCCTTGTTAGAATTTGTTTCCCTCTCTTTTCTTCTCAGAGTTTATATCCCTCCCCTCCCTTCTCAGAGTTTGTTTACATTCCTTCTCTTCTTAGAGTTTGTTTCCCTCCATCCTCTTCTCAAAGTTTGTTTCCCTCCCTTCTCTTCTCAGAGTTTGTTTCCCTTTCTACTCTATACTCTTCTCATAGTTTGTTTCTCTCCCTTATCTTCTCAGAGTTTATTTCCATCTCTTCCCTTCTTAGAGTTTGTTTCCCTTCCTTCTCTTTTTAGAGTTTGTTTCCCTCCCTCCTCTTCTCATAGTTTGTTTCTCTCCCTTATCTTCTCAGAGTTTATTTCTATCCCTTTCTCTTCTCAGAGTTTGTTTCCCTCCCTTCTCTAATTAAAGTTTGTCTCTCTCCCTTCTCTTCTCAGAGTTTGCTTCCCTCCCTTCTCTAATTAAAGTTTGTTTTATTCCCTTCTCTTCTCTTCTCAGAATTGTTTTACCTCCCTTCTCTAATTGAAGTTTGTTTCTCACCCTTTTCTTCTCAGAGTTTGTTTCCCTCCCTTCTCTAATTAAAGTTTGCTTCTGTCCCTTCTCTTCTCAGAGTTTGTTTCCCTCCCTTCTCTAATTAAAGTTTGTCTCTCTCCCTTCTCTTCTCAGATTTTGTTTCCCTCCCTTCTCTTCTCAAAGTTTGTTTACATTCCTTCTCCCCTCCATCTCTGCTTCTAACGCACTCGTTTTCTTTCTTTACCTTTTTGCGGATTACAAGTAACTATTTAGAAAATTGGTTATACTCCTTTAAAAAAGTATTTTATTTTCAATATTACTTTAATAATTGTATGAATATTTGATATTAAGGTTTAGCTCCCTTTTTCATATTAAAATATATGGTTTGTTCCTATAGGTTCAGGTTTCCGTCATGGTGCATTCAATACTTTCTCTCTCATTGAACCTTCATATACCCTTACTCTTTCAATACAAGCAGTAGACCATTCAATTAATGTGTATTTGTATTAAAATTAATAATGTAATTATTGCAAAAATAGTTGCATTGCGAACTTACAAAAATAACGTAAATGCCTCAATTTAAATTATTTTTGCGGACCGCAAAATTTTAAAAGTGTCAGCTTCTTAATTTAGAAATATCGGACCATGATTTACAAAAAGATTGACCGTATCGTAGTTAAAGTATCAGATCTGGAAAGGAATTGAGTTTTTGACAAAAACTCGGATTTTCTAATTCCTATATCGATTTCGTAGATCTTAGATATTCCAAACTATGAATTTTGTAAGATTTTGTGGCAAAGACTCAATCCTTTTTATTAATAGAAAAAAACTGATTTCAATCGATGATCTGAATTTATGCTCCTTAGTCAGAATAATCAAAATTAAAATTTAAGATTACATTCAAAAACATCAAACATGCTTTTTTAAACAAAGATATCTAAAATCCTGGAAAAAAGGTTGATTTTATATCACACACAACAAGCATTTGAGAGAGAATGAATTGTTGAAAGATTACGTGATTTATAAATGAGAAAGTGTTCATAAGAGTATTTTCCTGGAGACTTGAACGCAGCAGAGAACAACACGTGTTTAATTTTAACTTTATCAATTTTAACTGAGTTCTCGTACTGAAACTACCGGAGATCTTTCGTAAACTGAGAGCCGTCAAACTGCCAATGAGAGTACTCCCTCCCCCTTCCAATGCTCTCCAGTCCGCGTTAAAATCACCAGAGCAGAGAGAGGTTTTAGCATTGCTTACTGCATACATACATTCGCCTCTAAATATAATTCATGCTCAAATCTTACCCCCAGCATGTTTTTAAAAAAGCAGAGCGTCTAAGTTTAAAAGTATGTAATATTCATGTATGATGTAGATATGTAAATTAATTAAATAAAATAAACGTTCTAGCTTCATTTAGTCAATTAAACCTATTTCAGCTTTATCTCTAGTACCCGTTCTAGCTTCGTCCAGTCAATTAAACCTATTTCAGCTTTATCTCTAGTATCAGTTATAGCTCCATTCTAGTAATTAACCCTACTCCAGCTTTAGCACTAGAATCCGTTCTAGCAATTAACCGTATTCCAGCTTTAGCTGTAGTATTCGTTCTAGCTCCATTCTAGTAAATAACCCTATTCCAGCTTTAGCTGTAGTATCTGTTCTAGCTCCATTCAAGTAATTAACTCCACTATTCCAGCTTTAGCTGTAGTATATGTTCTAGCTCCATTCTAGTTATTAACCCTATTCCAGCTTTAGCTGTAGTATCCGGTCTAGCTCCATTCTAGTAATTACCCCTATGCCAGCTCTAGCTGTAGTATTCGTTCTAGCTCCATTCTAGTAATTAACCCCCGTTCTAGCTCCATTCTAGTAATTAACCCTTTGCTTTGCCAGCTTTAGCTGTAGTATTCGTTCTAGCTCCATTCTAGTAATTAACCCTATGCCAGCTCTAGCTGTAGTATCCGTTCTAGCTCCATTCTAGTAATTAACCCTTTGCTTTGCCAGCTTTAGCTGTAGTATCCGTTCTAGCTCCATTCTATGTAATTAACCTTATTCCAGCTTTAGATGTAGTATCCGTTCTAGCTCAATTCTATGTAATTAACCCTATGCCAGCTTTAGCTGTAGTATCCGTTCTAGCTCAATTCTAGTAATTAACCCCTATGCCAGCTTTAGCTGTAGTATCCGTTCTAGCTCAATTCTAGTAATTAACCCTATGCCAGCTTTAGCTGTAGTATCCGTTCTAGCTCAATTCTAGTAAATAACCCTATTCCAGCTTTAGCTCTTGTATCCGTTCTAGCTCAATTCTAGTAATTAACCCTATTCCAGCTTTAGCTGTAGTATCCGTTCGAGCTCAATTCTATTAATTAATCCAATTCCTCCAGCTTTTTAAATACTTTCACTCTCAATCTTCAGCTTTTGTTTTATTTCACACTAGCTTGGGAACCCAGCTGTGCATGGAAACTTATCTTTCCCTATTAAAGCCAACCCACTCGACTTAGAACTTTTAAACTAAACTCAAAACATTCCTCTTGTTTTACCGAGTTTCCTCATTAAAATTTGAGACAAATCAGTTAAGGGGTTCTTGAGTTATGATCAATCATCCAATTAATTGGTTTGGTTAGTTTTTTTGAACTTTAATAAAACTTCCAACATTTCAATACAGTAATCTGTCAAAGTTTGATTTTATTAAACTTAGCTTTTTTTAATCCTAAGAGAATGAACTCAAAACGATAATTTTAACCGTTTGTATTTAGCTGCATTTGTTTTCTCTCAATCATTAAAAAAACCTATTATGATAAAATTTTCTTCCAGTCGAAACAGACCAACAATATTTATTATGTATTTCATTAATTATCATTTAGTATTTAAATATTTTTTTTTTAATTATCAAAATGATTTTTTATTTTTCAGTTCACAAAGTTCAATTACATAATTATATAAAAAGTATCGATGGTGGATTTTTTTCCTGCTGTTAAAATTGTTTAATATATGTAGATTGTTGACATGTAATGTAAGAATGTGAAAAGAATAAAATCAAATACAACTGATGGCCGGGTCCATAGAATATCAAAGCTGTCTATATGGGTTAGATATAGGTTGGTTTATATAATTCTTTCCAGGGTTCACGAATCAGAGTCTAACCAGCCGCGGATAGTGTCAATATCTAAAATAAAAAAGTATCATTAAAAATACGAAAAAATTTTAGGTTTTGATCGAACATTCAAAGTTGATCGAGAATTTCGAAATTCATAAAATTTGGATTTCATAAATCTTACAAATCAGTATAAAAGATTGGATAGGATCAGTATAAAGGATTGGATAGGATCAGTATAAAGGATTGAATAGGATCAGTATAAAAGATTGGTTAGGATCAGTATAAAGGATTGGTTAGGATCAGTATAAAGGATTGGATAGGATCAGTATAAAGGATTGGATAGGATTAGTATAAAGGATTGGATAGGATCAGTATAAAGGATTGGATAGGTTTAGTATAAAGGATTGGATAGGATCAGTATAAAGAATTGGATAGGATCAGTATAAAGGATTGGATAGGATGAGTATAAAGGATTGGATAGACCAATATAAAGGTTTGGATAGGATCAGTATAAAGGATTGGATAGGATCAGTATAAAGGTTTGCATAGGAGGATCAGTATAAAGGATTGGATAGGATCAGTATAAAGGATTGGATAGGATCAGTAAAAAGGATTGGATAGAATCAGTATAAAAGATTGGATAGGATCAGTATAAAGGATTGGATAGGATCAGTATAAAGGAATGGATGGGATCAGTATAAAGGATTGGATAGGATCAGTATAAAAGATTGGATAGGATCAGTATAAAGGATTTGATAGGATCAGTATAAAGGACTGGTTAGGATCAGTATAAAGGATTGGTTAGGATCAGTATAAAGGATAGGATCAGTTCATTGATATCTTCTCCAAATCATTACTGGATCTCTAATCCAACATATTTATGGATATGTACTCCAATATATTTATGGATCTCTACTCCAATATATTAATGGATCTCTACCTCCAGTATATTTATGGATCTTTACCTCCAATATATTTATGGATCTCTACTCCAATATATTTATGGATATATACCTCCAATATATTTATAGATATTTACCTACAATATATTTTTTTATCTCTACCTCCAATATATTTATGGATCTCTACCTCCAATATATTTATGAATCTCTACTCCAATATATTTATGGATCTCTACCTCCAATATATTTATAGATATCTACCTCCAATATATTTATAGATATTTACCTCCAATATATTTTTTATCTCTACCTCCAATATATTTATGGATCTCTACCTCCAATATATTTATGAATATCTACTCTAATATATTTATGGATCTCTACCTCCAATATATTTATGGATATCTACCTCCAATATATTTATAGATATCTACCTCCAATATATTTTTAGGTCTCTACTCCAATATATTCATGGATCTCTACCTCCAATATATTTATGGATCTTTACCTCCAATATATTTATGGATCTCTACTCCAATATATTTATAGATATCTACCTCCAATATATTTTTAGATCTCTACTTCCAATATATTTTTGGATATCTACCTCCAATATTTTTATGAATCTCTTCTCCAATATATTAATGGATCTCTACTCAAATATATTTTTGATCTCTACCTCTAATATATTTTTAGATCTCTACCTCCAATATATTTGATAGATTCGAACCTTCGTTTAAGAGTTGTGCGTCCTCGTGTTGTATTGCAGACAGACAGCCATAGAAATATTGAGAAGTAAAACACTCTCCCCTCAACAAAATATTTATTTATTAATGATTATACATTAATTTATTTTACTCAAAGATTATTTTTTTTGGTTGGCATAGTGCTTAGAAACCGTGAATAAAACAAAATATCCACAGAGTAAACTTGTGAATGAAGGAGTGTCTGTGGACTGTGCTACGGTTGTGCAATGTGTGAAAGAAACCGACTGAGCTTGCTATGAACAGATTAAAAATACAAAAGTTTTTATTTAAAAAAAGATATATTTTAAAACTTAATAAAGGTTATTTTCTTTACCTTAGAATAATAAATAATAAATTAAGAATAAACACTTCTTAAAGATTTCTTTAGACAAACGGCCTTTTTGGCGAGCTAAATTTCAAAATATTAATTAGTAGATTGTCAAACTGTATTTTAAACATCCCCTAAAATTCTTTTGGCATTATAATGTGTAATGCACGGATGAGACAAAATCTGTATTTATGTAAATAATAAAGATAAATTCTAGCCATGAGTAATCATATTTATAATTAAAAGTAAATTATCAGCATATGTTTCATATTCCGCACTTCCTTCCATATTTAAAACTCAAAATATGTCCTATCTTGTGTTAATTGTTAACTATGTGATAAAGTTTAACCGCAACACTCCTCACATAGATTAGATACAGCGATTTCAAGAAATATGAAGTTTGAGAGACGACAAATTACCGCGACCTTAAAATCAGCAATTTACAGATTACAAGGATAATAGTCGTAACCTTGTTTAATGTCGGGTAACTACATTTTATTTCAACCCTAAATCTTCGAATCATTAATTAATAACCCTTACAAGTTTAACTCTTTCCTGTGTTGCAATGAAGCTCTGTGAAATAAAAATTTAACCTTTTGTCCTATCCATCGAATCTCTGCAAAAATCGGACCGCGTTTTTCAGTACTGTAATAACCAGAAAACTGTGGAATATTTGTTGTTGTTATATCGCAAATAGTTGTACTAGACACCAAGCAATTTTATACCTGCATAAACCAAGCTATTTTATACCTGCATAAACCAAGCTATTTTATACCTGCATAAACCAAGAAATTTTATACCTGCATATACCAAGCTATTTTATGCCTGCATAAACCAAGATATTCTATACCTGCATAAACCAAGCTATTTTATACCTGCATAAACCAAGAAATTTTATACCTGCATATACCAAGCTATTTTATACCTGCATAAACCAAGATATTCTATACCTGCATAAACCAAGCTATTTTATACCTGCATAAACCAAAACCAAGCTATTTTATACCTGCATAAACCAAGATATTCTATACATGCATAAACCAAGCTATTTTATACCTGATAAACCAAGCTATTTTATACCTGCATAAACCAAGCTATTTTATACCTGTATAAACCAAGATATTTTATACCTGCATAAACCAAGCTATTTTATACCTGCATAAACCAAGCTATTCTATACCTGCATAAACCAATCTATTCTATACCTGCATAAACCAAGCTATTTTATACCTGCATAAATTAAACTATTCTATACAGGGTGTCCCAATAAACATGGGAATTCTGTTACGAATTCGATATAGTCTTTGCAAATAATTCTTTTATTTAGTAAAGTGATACCTACTGAGAAAGCTGTAATCTGTAAGAGTTTCGTCTGCTATGTTTACATTTTGTTTGTTTATGTTTTGACTGCATACGGTTGTACTAATATAGAAAAACAAGAAAATTGCAGTATAAACAGAGTAAACTTGTCCGTATTCTCTGTTCATCTTGCGGAGACATTATAGACACATCTTTACAGCCATTTACCGTTTTCATTGAAAAAAAACTCTAGCAGACATAATATTATGGCTGTTGAAATTAGGTATTACAATGCTAATTCATAACAAAGACGATATCGAATTCGTCACTGAATTCCAATGTTTTTTGGGACACCCTGTACCTGCATAATCCATAAATATGAGGATCATCGTAGAGCTTGAAACAATCATTACAAACTCGGTTCAGATCATAGTATCTACTGTAGGTGAGAGTTCTAGTGCAGGAAGCAGGTTGATTGTGAGAACCTGCTCTATTCCCTGTTCTTGAACCTGCTATCCGTCCTTCAGTTCTCAGCAAGTACACGGAGAAGAGGAGGAGACATAATCTCACCATTTTCAACCTAAAACGGGGGTTAGTTTAATGTTGAATTAGCTCTTTAACATAAATATTTAAATTAAACAAAGAAAATAGTGAACAGAATTATTGTTAGAATTAAACACTTTTCAAGTTAGAAGAACGACGAATACGTCCATATTATTCACCAGCTAAAGGTTTTCGGAAAAGAAAAAAAAATTTCCATTTAACAAAAGTACATTTAAATGGAATAATCCGTAAGAAGGAAAGAAACAAGGAATTTAGATGGAATAGAATTCTAATAAGAAGGTTGGGGATAAAAAAAACTTTTTATTAAGAAAAATATTTAAGGACTAGAAAAACTCTCAGTATTGAGTTTGCTTCAAACAAAATACTGTTGAAAAAATGCAAAAACATTGACGGGGGAAAATTAACCATGGAAGGAAAAATAAATATGTTTGAGAAGGTTTCTTACATGATTCTAGTTCTCTGGTTCCTTGTCTTCTCTCTCCAATCCTGGATCCGAACCTTTATATATCCTCTCCGGAGGTGAGAGGGGGGGGGGAGGTTCAGTAATCCATTTATTTTTGGAACGTTGGGAATATTCAACGACATGGTATGGACCGCTAAGAACTCATTGTCTACTATTACATTTTCTTCATATAGTTATAAACAATTTCATTCCATCTTTTAAGCTTATCTAATAATTGAGTGGATACAAATTGCTTGAAAGGTTTCAGGCAATTTACGTTTTAAACTGAATTTATTTTTCGAACACACAGTCCACTCTATCAAAATTAACCTTACGTATTTCATTATTTATTCATAACTTTAGCCATAAAGATTCATATCTCTATTTCTGATGAGAAAGTGCCACACATTACAATGAAATTGGATACCATGGATACACACTAAGGATGAGACATCATACTAGTTAATTTCTAAATTTTATGCCATTTTGTATTAAAACTGTAAATATATTTTCTTTTTTTTTGACTCATAATTTAAGAGCATTGGAGGATAATACAGGGTTATCACGATGGGCAGATTTTTGGTAACTAACATTTTGGTAACTAACAATTTAGTAACTAACAATTTGATAACCGACAATTTGGTAACTAACACTTTGGTAACCCGACAATTTTGTACCTAGCAATTTGGTGACCAACAATTTGGTAACTTGACGATTTGGTAACCTGACAATTTGGTAACCAACAATTTGGTAACTAACAATTTGTATAATTGAACTTACGTTTCACAATCATTGTTTGTATATTTATTTTCTGTGGACTAATGTTTTGTTAAACAAAGGTCGTTTTCCGCTTTTCTGTATTTTTTAACAATTGGCGGTCTCTTTTTCCACTCATCTCTGCAGACCACTGTATTTTTAACACAGGTCTTCTTTGTTTTCCCCTTTTTTTCTGGGGACCACTGTACTTTTTAGCATAATATATATGACCGCAGCACTCGGCCCCCTAGCCTGTCCTAGCCAAAGTGCTCGCCCCAGAACCCTAACCTAACCCCACATATCGGTTATCATTACATTATTTTCTATATATAAGGCCGCAGCGCTAGGCCCCCTAGCCTATCCTAGCCGCAGCGCTCGGCCCATTAATTGTCTCAACATAGCCTAACCCCACATATCGGATATTATTACATTATTTTTGATAAATAAGGCCACAGCGCTCGGCCCCCTAGCCTGTCCTAGCCGCAGTGCTCGGCCCAGAAATTGTCTTAACCTAACCTAACCCCACATGTTGGATAACATTGTATTATTTTTGATAAATATGGCCCCAGCGCTCGGCCCCCTAGCCTGTCCTAGCCCCAGCGTTCGTCCAGAAACTGTCTTAACCTAACCTGACCCCACATATCGGATATCATTGTATTATTTTTGATAAATAAGGCCACAGCGCTCGGCTCCCTAGCCTGTTCTAAGCGCAGCGCTTGGCCCCGAAATTGTCTTAACCTAGCCTAACCCCACATATCAGATATCATTGTATTATTTTTTATAAATAAGGCTGCAGCGCTCGGGCCCCTAACAGTCCTACCAGCAGCGCTCGGCCCAGAAATTGTGTTAACAATGCCTTACCCTAAATATCGATATCATTGCATTTGTTTGGATAAATATGACCACAGTTCTCAGTCTCCTAGCCTGTCCTGGCCGCAGCACTCGACCTAGAAGTCGTCTTAACTTAACCTAACCAAATTGTTGGTTACCAAATTGTGAGGTTACCAAATTGTGAGGTTACCAAATTGTGAGGTTACCAAATTGTGAGGTTACCAAATTGTGAGGTTACCAAATTATTATTTACCAAATTGTTAAGTTACCAAACTGTTACCAAATTATTAGTTACCAAATTGTTAGTTACCAAATTATTAGTTACCAAAATATTAGTTATCAAATAATAGTTACCAAAAATCCGCCCATCGTTATCATAAGGATGAGACTTAAATGACAACCTGAAACTCTTTAAAATATAATGATTGGAAGGCTGAACACGGCTTTCTGCCTTATTAACAAATTAATTGACTTCCCACAGAAAAATATAGGCTTACAACTACAGAGAATCATGAATTTAAGATTAAATACTAAATTTATTTCGCGCGCCTACAAGATGAACAATGATAAAATCCTTAGTTAATATTCGGATATGATAGAAATAGGGCTACTATTTCTTCTTTATTTTTACTAGGATTTAAAGGACTGAAAGTTAACGTGAGCTATATTAATAAATCACTCAACGACTTTTTCTTGAGTAATATGTTTAACAAACTAAATATAGGAGACAAACGACCCTCATAATACCTGGCAACGTTTATTAACCATTTTGAGTTGGATAAGAGGACTATATTGGGTCGCTCATAATAATGAAGCACTAATGATTTGCAAATAGAAAAGGCAGAAGGGTATTCAGAACGTTGTCTGAGGAGGGGGGGAGGGGCGGGGCTCAGTCATAGTAATTTTTACCAATCTTGCTGAGCGGATTGCTGGATCCACACTTAGAAAAAAATTCTTAGAATCCCCAAATCACAAAATTATACCACCTCAAAAACCAGAACGGCCCCATCCTCTAAATTGCGATATTCCGGGAAAGTTAAGCAAAATGTCCTGATCGAAATATGCAGGGCTGATCACAAAAGACAAGACTTTTGAAGACGACAATGCAGAATTTTTTTTTATTTTTTCTTACAGCCATCATCATACCTCGGTCCCCCACAGCTCATTAATTGTTTCTACCTTTAACACATCAGTTAATATAGCAATAAAAAATAATTATTGCGGGGACCAAAATTTCACCTTCAGATTGTTATATTCAAGGTCGTCATTGAAGCCTCATCGTTTGAGGGTGGCCCGTCGGCAGAACCTACGTGTTAGACGAGTTAGACATTGATTGTTTATCAATTAAATGTTATTATTGTGTGAGGGGATCACCTGACTCAGATCTGGTATATTATATCATAAACTTGATAACCTGGCCCGGATCTAGTATATTATATCATAAACTTGATAACCTGGCCCGGATCTAGTATATTATATCATAAACTTGATAACCTGACCCAGATCTGGAATATTATATCATAAACTTGATAACCTGACCAGATCTAGTATATTATATCATAAACTTGATAACCTGACCCAGATCTGGTATATTATATCATAAACTTGATAACCTGGCCCGGATCTAGTATATTATATCATAAACTTGATAACCTGACCCAGATCTAGTATATTATATCATAAACTTGATAACCTGACCAGATCTAGTATATTATATCATAAACTTGATAACCTGATACGGATCTGGTATATTATATCATAAACTTTATAACCTGACCCAGATCTGGAATATTATATCATAAACTTTATAACCTGGCCCAGATCTGGTTTATTATATCATAAACTTGATAACAAATATAATCCGTATTCCCTTCATATATAAAATAATAAGGACCAGGGAGCTGGTAATTTTTGTGTTGAACAGTCATTATTCCCATGGTTTAATCTCGATATCCATTTGGGTACTTTAAATTTGAGGATCAATACTTCACTTCATTTTAATTAGTCCTCCAGAGTACTATTACCGTGCCGGATATCGAATAAAGATTAAATTAATCTTCAGATTAACAAAAGACCCAACTCAAGCATTGATCTTGATATTTTGCACAATACCACGAGTTCCCAGCACGGGACAATTTCCTGAAAACAATTTCCGAAAATTGTAAAATTCAGAACGGCCTTTTCAAACGCTCAGGCTTAGGAAATTGTCAGTATTAAGATCTTTAATCCTTAAACTTCTGAAAATTGTCGTTTTTTTTCTAAATAAATAAAAAATTTGGTAAACTTTTTCGTTCGTTACAAAAAAAAATACATTTTCTTTGTAAAAGTTATTTAACAGTCTACAGTGATTGGTGTGATGCACATTACAATGCAGGGTGACGGATCATATTTTCCTTAATAAGCAGTCTTCCAGTTTTCTATCTTAAAAAAATTGTCTTTAATAAATATTTATGGTTCTGGTTTGTATTATCAACTGAAATTCATATTTTTTTCTTTTCATTGATTTACAAGTATAACATGCTGCAAATATTATTGTAAGGATAAATGCAATTCAGTAGCATCGGTTAAAATCGTGCTATTATTTAAATGACAAATAACAGTTTCAAGAGCTTTGAAAAATTATCCAAATATCATAAATGCCATAAAAGGTGAAAATTCCAATCTGTGACTATCATGTGCGAAAAAAAGGTAAAAATTACCAAATACAATCATTTTTGTAGATGTTTAAAGATCTGTATATATATAGTATATATTTAGGCCGGTTAATGAATGTAGATGGTAACTGAACTAAAGGTTTTCTAAAATCAGTTACATTCTTAAAATCAATTTTCATCAGGACACTGAATAGTTCTTAAATGTTTCTAATACAATACTGTAATCATCAACTACAAGATACATCTACAGAAGGACCGTGCTGTTTAATTATCATAAGTTAAACAAACAAAAAAAATCACAGAATCTTCAGGCTCTCAAATTTGATTGTTTCTTCTAGTTTTCTTTTTTTCCTGTACAGATCCTTCTAATCATTGGTAACGATTATGTAATATATTTGTAATGGAATCTTGTTGAATATTTTGCATATATTCTTTTTTTGTACATATTAAATAATTAGGCCACGGTAAGGTATAGAAAAAGCAAGACATTAAATGCTACGGTTTACAAGAATAAAATCATTAAGGTCCAAACATTAACTATTACGAGGTTGAAAATATTTTTTGGTTGTTGTTGAAGACAAAAAAGACGAATTAGAATTTGAAAAATTGAACTTTTACTATGTCAAAAATCAAGAGTTGTTTTCTTTCTACGTTCGTGAGTTTAAAATGAATATATATTAATTCTAAGGGGCCCCCATTCACAAGTCTAGGGTATGATACAACCTCCCCCCTGTATACGACCCTACTTGTAATCAATCTAAGTTTGAATACCATGTTCTGCACAAAAAATATAACAATATCTTAATCAGTATTAATGGCACATTGCACATTGTACATCAATGAGAAGAGTTTACTGCTGAAGATATGCTAGGTAGTTTTGTTCTGAACACCCTGCATATCTGCAGAGACTATTTTCTTAATTATTAGTGTCATCAGTAGCTTCATTTGCATCTTTGCAATCATTTTGGGACACCCTGCGTCGACAATTTTGGGATGATAGTTGTGCGACGTTATTGGTGACCGATTTCAAATCTTAGATGATATTTTCTGGACATCTTGCGACATTTGTATTTAAATCTATAATAACTGAAGAATTATTTATTTCTTGACACCCTGCGTCAATTGTATCTAAATTTATGCATTCTTTGGATTTGTTTACAGAGCACCCTTCGTCACTTGCAGATACTTTTATATCTTCAGGATCCTCTTCTGGCCACCCAGCGTCAAGTAAAATTATGTTTCAAGAATCTGATGGATCTAATCCACCATTTTGTTTTTCTTCAGGTTCATTAACTTTTATTTCAGGGATCTGTAAAGCTTGGTTCGGATTTAAGGGTTCCAGGGTTTCAGATAATATTTTAGGTTGGTATTCATTAGCAGTACAGTTCAACTTGGGTCCAATATGGATTCTATCTTCTCCGTTGCTTTCAACGCTGTGCGAGTTTTCCTTTCCGTTTTTACGAATAGCATCACAGTTTTGAGTATTTTCTACCACTGGTTGAGGACAGGCTGAGATCTGTAGATTAAGCGTGAGATTGTTCTTATTACAAGGTGGAGTGTCGAGGTATGGTTCCACAGTAATAACAGGGGTTGGAACTTCTAGGTTACTTGGTACACAGATATCATTTCTCCTCATCCTCTCCTCCTCTCCTAGGTTCCTGTATAGTTTCAGCTTAGCTCGGAGAAGTTCCATTACAGTGTTGACCTCCCCCAGGCTTGCAGGAGGAGCTAGTTTTACTAATCCAAACTGACGAAATGTTTCCGTATTATGAGATAATGGCTTCTTTAAAGACATTTTTCTCTCAGATTTAACTTTCTTTGATTTTTTCCTTGAGCCCGAAAAGAATTGAAGCTCAGATTCATCCTTCTTCTTGTAGAAACCTGGAGACTGTCCAGCATCAAAACTATCCGGAGGAGTTCCATTTAAAGGTGTTCCTACCGGGGTGCAACCTGGATTACAAATTAGGAATTAAACTGAGGTTAACGGATGCTTCCAATGATTCACAACGATATATTTAAAACATTTATCTAAGTATTGATGAAGAAAATACCATTGTGTTTTTAAACCTTAAAAAAGATCATTTTCGATTGTGACATTTCTCATAAGTAATTAGTGGATTTCTGCAGCAAATAACAACACAAACATGGCTTAGAGTTGATTCTAAATACGACGGTACTGTTGTGATTTTTCATGGCGTACTTAAATAACAAATCATACGAAATTAGTTTAGTTAATAATTTTTTGATGTTAGGTTTCTATTTTTCGTTTTATTCACCGGAACATTTTAAACTTAAATTCACAGAACTGTTTACGTTCGTGTCCCTCTTCTCCCGTTTTTCTTATATCTCTACTTTTATTATGGACATTGGACACCCTTTTATCTTACCTAATGGTGTAGCATATCTACTGGAGGAGTCAGAGTACCCGGAGTAGGCGGAGAACCCGGAAGATCTTCGACGAACGGACGAGGACGGAAGAAGGAGAAGGTTTGAATCCAGAGGGGTTGGCTCCTGAGACCCGGAGCCCAGTAAGTTTTCACAATATTGAATGAGAAGGATACACTGAGTCTTCTCCTCATGGTAGGGTTCTAGCTCAGCTCTAATCTCTTCTTCTTCTTTCCTCTCATCAGCATTTTTCTTAGCGCTTTCTTCGGCAATCTTTTTCTTAAGTTCATCCCGTTTCTGTTTCTGATACAACCGGTACTCAGCATCATGTTCTTTAAAGGTGTTTATTAGAGATCGTTTCTCTTCTCTAAAGTTATCTACGTCCTCATTGAGAACTTCTATCCTTGTGCTGTTATCCTTGATACTAAACCTCAACTGCTCTTCACTCCGCCTCAGATCTCTTGATTCTTTAAACAAGGCTTCCCTCTCCTCTCTTACACTTCTCTGTTGGTTTCTTAAACTATCCAACTCATTCTTTACTAGGTTATAATCCTTCAAGATCTTCTTGGATCGTTTTAATCTATCTATCTCGGAAACTATTCTCTTCTCATCCGCCAGTTTGAAATTGTTCTTCTGAATTTGATATTCTAGTTTCCGTATCTGCTCGTTTATCTCCGACTCGGACTGATAAACTATTCCTCCGCGTAGTTTCTGAACTGTGTCTCCTTTCTTCTGAACTTCTTTATTAATAAAATCAAGTTTCTCAAATACAATATTTTTCCTCTTGTTTATCTCGTCTCTGTTGAGCTTGATTGAGTGCACCTGGTCCCGATCCTGTCTTAGTTCTTCGAGTAGTATTCTCTTCTCCTCTTCTCTAGATGATATTGCAGTGTGTAGTTGGTCAAGATGCTCTTCATGTTTCTTCTTGTTGGGTTGCTTTAAAACAACCTTCTCCCTGTAATTAATAAAATATCATGACTGTTTACATCTGCAGACTAAAGTTTACGATTTTTATAATCTAGAACTAAAGTGAAAGTTTCAACAAAATGTAGGACCGAAAGGGAAATATTTTTTTTTTGTCGTATCAGGACAGACTCTAGAAAGAGGCGAAAACAAGATTTAATATAGGGGGCGGATCCCCCTACAAATTTGTTTAATGTATGGAACTCAAGCGGAAATACATATTTTTGAAGTATAAGTTTGACCCCCTCCCCATACGCCATTGTTTTTTTTTTTTCTTCTAAGACTTTGGTTTACGTTTTTACATATGTACTAGATCTACAATGAAGGATTCTCCATATCTAAGGACCATATTATCTCTTGTGGAAAATATGTATCACTATCAACCTTATTGGAGGGATACTGATGAGCTTCTCCGACACTTCCCTCCTTTTCCTCTCTTCCATCTGATCTTCTACATTTCATCTGAAATATATAATGTTGAGAATATCACAGTTTGAACCTTTGCCTTCATCTTTGGCAGCTGTATATACAAGGCAGTAATTCTAGTATTTATAAATCATAGAACGATAAGGAATATATTGTATGCAAAGGTCATAAATAATGTTAATTACAGTCGATAATCCCGCAAATCAAAGCTAAGTAATCTAGAACATAAGGAATCATGAGGAACTATATCCTTGATGGATATTGACCGTCCTCAGGTATAAATAAAATATCTATAAAAGATCAGGATCAAAATTAACAAAATTCCCCAAGCTTTTCCCCAAGGATAAGAAAATAAAATCACAACACTTTACCTTGAGAAATAATCAAAAACCGCATAGAAAGAAGAGAGTGAGGGAGAAATAAAACATAGAGAAGGTTCAATGGAACAGAAAAATACAAGTCTTGGCATTTTTACAATATTAGAATAAAATCTGATTTGAAAGCAAATTGGACGGAGTCATGGAATATTACTTTCTAGATGTCAGTAGGGTTGAATTCTAAGTGCTCCGAACCTAGCCAGGTTTATATTATCTTCGTTCTCATTATCTCCGTGTTCTACAGCTTGAAGCTGGGATAATTGACCAGAATATGCTCTATATTCTATCTCCTGAGATATAGCACAGCGTATACCTTCATATCTCATGACAAGCTCTTCCAGTTCATCTCGAAACAATCTGTTTAACATTGCGTCGAAACATTCTAACTCTGGTAATCTGAACAGATCCCATTTTAATTTATGATCTAGGGTTGGACAAGCTTTAAAATATACTCGTAACCATATTGGTATTTCCTCGTGAATATAGGGGTTGGCTGGCACTAGAGCATTATGATTATAATTAAGGTTGACTGAATGGTTTAACGGTTGAGTATACGGCAGCTTCAAGTTCTCCTCGTTGTCGGTAAATTGTGGAGACTGGATCTGGTAATGCTGGAAGTACGGGTGTTCGTACTGTGCCTGTTTGGTAATATGGTCCACGTAGTAGTTTCCAAACTCAGCGGAATCTATCTTCTCCCAACCAACAGGCAACCCTTCTTTTTCTAGAGGATGGGACCAGTGTGTAGTTTTAGTATTGTGATCAATAAAATATTTTCTTCCTCTCATTGTAAACCCGACAGACCAACCGAGGGGTAGGGGGGAGGAACCATTCTCTTCGGCAGTTTGGTTAAAGGATAGTTCAGGAGCTGGATAGGTATATTGACCATCTTGAGAAGGATAAGCTCTAACCGGTGATACCTGAGCCCGTCCTTGCGTAATAATCCTTAATCTTGGTTGGTTTAAGATCTGCCGGACAGGGAGAAAGGATTCTTCATTAAAGACTGGTTGGATAAATTGCTCATGAGTGAAAACTGTAGAAATATTATGTATCCTAGTCTCAGATTCTACATGAGCCGGGAGAACAGGAAGGGATGAAGTGAGCGGAGAGAGCTGTTGCAACTGATCTCGGCTTGCAAAGAAATTATCATAGTTTGCGTACTGGAGATGATTCTGCTTGGTTCGACTAGACTTAGTGTTCTGCTGTAGCTGGAGCTGGGTAGAGAGATCGGAACTATTCGAGGTATATCTTCCCTCGATTCCACTCTGGGACGAGCTCCGCAATCTCTGACTTGAAAAGAGCCTGGGAGACCTGGGTAGCAGAGGGGACCCGGTAAATAAATTTTGGTTTCGGACGGACGGGGTTGCACTCACGGAGACTTGAGGAGATCCGAAGATATTTTTGGTTGTGAACAACCCCGGAGAGGCGGGGGAGTTCGGAGGTTTTTTCCTGTTCTTATCTCCGGAAGTCCAAACGTTGGTAATTGGAAACTCTAAGGGTTGTTCTTTCTTAGTATATTGACCAACTATTCCATCATTCATGGATCTCATATCCTGCCTCTTGTTCAGGTTCATTTCAAGCCATTGTCATCTGAAACATGATTTATTATTTACAGTAATTAATAACATTATTGATAACTTCGTTTCTTTATTTTCTTGAGAATATTTCCTTGCTCCAGCGCTGCTTTCCTCTTCCTATTGATGTTTAGACCGTCTCTAACGTTACCAACTACGTCGATAACATCCGCCAAACTCTTTTTCTTCTCAGATGTATTCGCGGCAGCAGCTGCTCCCTCCGCCAAACTTCCAGATGAAGTCTTAACAATAAAAAAGAGTAAATTTGAAATTCTCTACCTGGTAGTAAATAATTATACATTATACAAACATTTAAACCAGAGTTTGGAACTTTTAAAAAATCTCATTAGAAAGGAATAATTCGTATTTTTTGAAGTCACCCGGACGGACGGACTCTTCGCAAATGAGAGAATCCCCAAGTGCGAGTCAGCTGTTTTCGCAGATTTACTTGCTCGCCTATTTTTTACAAGATACCGCCGTGGATATCGAGTTCTGACGTTTAAGATTACCAATTAGTAACACAGTTACTATCTCAGGTCGCCTTCAAACCCATTTAATTATCAAACCCATTTAATTATTTACCCCATTGTTTCTAGTTGTGAGGATACTCCTACCTTGATAAGCTCCGGGATTTCTAATGTTTTCCCAGGAACTAAACCTTCATAATGATGCTTTAAACTTGACATCTCATATTCACCTAAAAAAATAATTTCTAACAAATTTAATAATACGTAATGCTAGATTTCCAGAAATATAAAAGCGTTATGCTTAAAATGACCCACGTTGATAATGAAGAAATAATCTTTAAAGAGAATGGCGACTTAATTCCAATTTCAGGTTAACATCTTTGTTTTAAAAAATTATGGAGATTTATTTTTTAGCTCAAAATTGATTATCTTTAATTGTGGCTACTCCTTTAAATAAACTTGCAGATTTATGCAGCAGTGACGAAGACAGAAATTGACCGAATCTGACTCTTATTAAAATAGAAAAACAACAATATCATCCTCCTTCTTACTCAGATAAAGGTTTGCGTGTACTATCGTAATTCTTTAAATAAAAGGTCACTTATAATTCCGTCAATCATATGTTAATTAGGAGCGAGAAAGTTAAAACTTACATGTGGTGAGGGCATTCTTGATCTCGTAGAGGAGAACCATCTCAGATCTTAGCTCATTAAACTCAGTACATATCTCATCTAGATTAAACCAGATCAGTTACAGGTATAAATCTGTCTCATTTCTTAAAATCTATATATATATTTGGCTTGTCTGTCTGTTTGTTTGTATCCAATAAACGTCAAAACGGCTGAACCGATCGGGCCCAAATTTTTTGTGGGACATATAGGGACCCCAGGGAAGGTTTATGAATGATAAAAATTTCAAATATTTGTCTCCATCAAAATTCGATCTTCATTAAATCTTTGAAAATTTTGAAAATCCACGAAATTTGTTGTGAAAATCCGCGAATTATTTTTGTTTTGTTTTACGATGTACACAAAGAGAACATGTTCACAATTAATATAGAAGATGGGCGCGAAGCGCCCTCTAAGGCTAGTTTCTTAAAATTGATTATTAAAACCAGCAAAAAAGTTATCAAAACGCCCCCCCCCCGCATCTTGAGAAGTTATACTGTGCTCATTTGACTTCCTTTTAAAAAAGTTAATTCAATATTTATGTAAATTCTCAATTATAAGCACTCCTATTATTTGTAATATTATCTATAATCCCGTTCAAATATACCTGTACAGCTGGGTTGGATAGGTACACCGAGCTCATTAAGCATACACTCAATAGCTTTAGTTTTCTTCAATCCTACACTAATAGGCAGCTTGATTCTTTGAGATCTTACACTTACTCCACTAGACTTCATGTCAGGCCAACGGATACCGTTCTACAACATTTATAATATTGCAAGCTGGAATTATTTAGATCAATATATTTGATCAAAGAAAACTTGATCAATAAATACCTGATCAATGAATACCTGATCAATGAATACCTGATCAATGAATACCTGATCAGTGAATACCTGATCAATGAATACCTGAGCAATGAATACCTGATCAATGAATACCAAATCAATAAATACCTGATCAATAAATACCTGATCAATGAATACCTGATCTATAACTACCTGATAAAAAAATAACTGACCAATAAATAAGTGATCAATGGATTCCTGATCAATGAATACCTGATAAAAGAATAACGGACCAATAAATAAGTGATCAATGGATTCCTGATCAATGAATAACTGATCAATGAATACCTGATCAATGAATAAATGATCAATGAATACATAATCAATGAATACCTGATCAATGAAAACCTGATCAATGAAAACCTGATCAATGAAAACCTGATCAATGAATACCTGATCAATGAATACATAATCAATAAATACCTGATCAATGAATACCTAATCTATAACTACCTGATCAATGAATACCAGATCTATAACTACCTGATCAATGAATACCTGATCTATAACTACCTGATCAATGAATACCTGATCTATAACTACCTGATCAATGACTGCCTGTTCTAGTCTAGGTCGTCCAACTAATCCTAGTTTCTGTTTCTTACACAGCTTCTTGCTCTTAATTAACAGATCATTAGATATTTATAATAAGCTTTTTTAAATATAATCTAGATATTCAAAACAAAAATCAAAATAATATTAAAAGGAAAAAAAATTTATAAATAATTAGAAGAACTGGAAAAAATGGTTATTTTAAGCAAACTTTCAATTAAATAGTTTTATGACCGATATACAACGGTACCCTTTAAACCTTTGTCTGAAGAACAATGAATAAGATATTACTTTTTTTCCAATGATGAGAAGTGTTAAATTCTTTCAATTTCCTCCCTAGTCTATATGACATTTGAAAATATAGATCTTCAGCTGAACAATCAAGCTTATCTATATAATTTTTACTAAGACAAATGTTTTAAGTGTATTTGTGGGATTTTTAAATACATGTCAGTTAAAATAATGTCGAATGTCGATCGCTGATCACTTTAAATAATAATAAAGGAAATATTAAAATAATGAATAAAAGAATAAACATTTGTCTGACCTCTAAACCTGAGGTACTATCCGCCTGAGCAATTAGTTTCTGAAGATCTGCAGTTTTCTTTTCTCTCTCTTTCTTCCGAGCTTCGATCTTTCTTAATTCTCCTCTCAGCATTTCTTCTTCTTCGATCTAAATAATATTTAATTTGTATCTCGAACTAGTGATGTGTATTCAGGTTAGTTTTTGGGTTGTTTTTTACCTACATTTTCTTTCAGGGACAAAGTTTAGCATAGTGCAAGAAGAGCAAATGTATTTTAAATTTTCATTCCTAAATATTTAGAATTTTGACCCTGGCAGTTATATGTATAAAACGACGCAAGAACGAACGTGTCGTAAAGATAGGTTTCGGTTTGTGCAATTTAATAATAGCAAACAATAACATAATACAGTTTTGAAATCTTAGAAGTTTTATTAAAATTTTCTAAAAACGATTAACTATACTATCTTCCTTTTTTATCTTCTAGATGCGTTTCTTTAGTACACCTGTTCAGTTTTCTATTATGATCCTACTTGTTCCTTGTTCCTATTTCATATTCCTACCTGTTCCTTGTTCCTGTTATTTCTTTAGTACACCTGTTCCGTTTTCTATTATGATCCTACTTGTTCCATGCTCCTATTTTATATCCTACCTGTTCCTTGTTCCCATTTTATATTCCTACCTGCTCCGTGTTCCTCTTATTTCTTTAGTACACCTGTTCCGTTTTCTATTGTGATCCCTACTTGTTCCATACTCCTATTTTATATTCCTATCTGTTCCTTGTTCCTATTATATATTCCTACCTGTTCCGTGATCCTGTTATATTCCTACCTGTTCCATGTTTTTATTATATTCCTACCTGTTCCATGTTCCTATTATATTCATACCTGTTCCATGTTCCTATTATAATCCTACCTGTTCCATGTTCCTATTATAATCCTACCTGTTCCATGTTCCTATTATAATCCTATCTGTTCCGTGTTCTTATTATATTCCTACTTGTTCCATGTTCCTATTATAATCCTACCTGTTCCAAGTTCCTATTATAATCCTACCTGTTCCGTGTTCCTATTATATAGTCTTCTCAGTTGTTCCTTTCTTCTCCTTTCATGATCTGCGTCGTATGCAAACTGTTTCTTGGTCTAAAAATATAAATGCATGACAATTATTACAAGGACTAATAGAAATTAAAATTTTTTTGGGTTAAAAACTTGTGTTACGAGAAATTTTAATTGAAACGAAAGTAATATTCTAAAGTAGATGGGGTTAATTTTCAAAAACAAATAAGTTTTTTTTTGTAATTTATCTTAATTAAGCCAGTATAGGTCTTTTCATACAACCTTGACCCCCCCCCCTTCCCCCGCTTAATATAACATTAATGCGACGAACCTGTTCTCCTGTAGCTCCTCCGTGCACTCTCTCCAGTTTCTCCAGGATAGAATAGTATCTCTCCTTGATATCCTCGACAGATCGGAGAGAGAAGGTGGATCTATCCCACCGATCATGCATCACAAGGAACCTCAGATCAAACCTTTGCGCCAGATCCATCAGATGATCCGTCTCTTCTCTTAAATAATAATTTCAATATTCAGACAAATCGGACCAGGATTTTTCAGTTTCCGAGAAGTTTTTGTTTTCATTTAAAGGTTGCTTTATTTAGTAAGAATAGCGCAGCCCGATTTACAACGGTACCCTTTGAACAATAGTCTGATAAGAATGTGGAGATAGCGTCGTCGTGTTGCTGCCTCGAAAAGGTTCTCCATTGTTTCTTATAAGTGAGATATGCGTAATTCACTTTTGAAGAGAAATCGCAAATAAAAATAATCAGTTTAAATAAACCAAAACTCACTTGATTGCACAAAGCCTTCAAGGGCACCGTTGTAAATCGGGCATTACATTGCCATCTTTACTTAGAGGGTCACTTGAAATTACGCTTACAGACCCTATAAGTTTAGAACATTATTTTAAAAGTAATAAAGCAAACATAATTCACCCCCCACCCCCCTCTCCGTCAGCTTCCATCCTTTACTTAAAATTGAGTTACCGAGTCCATCCAGCGGAGACAAGATGATGTTGATACTCGACCTCTGTATATGTTGGAACCTCTATACTCTTGTTGAACCTGGAGAAGGGATAATCCTTCCCCTCGTCAACCTGCCTCCTCCAGTGGTGGAGGACTAGGTTATCCTTCCTGGCAGGGTTAGTGAAGGGAAGCCATTTCCAGGGTCGGACCTTTCTCATTCCTAGTTTGGCTCTCATTTGCTTGTATCCTTGATCTAAAAATGAGATACATTGGACACCTGTAGAAAAAAGTGGTAAGAACCAAGTTGGTCAAAAGGCAAATTTTACTTTTAAATCATAAAAAATAGTACTTTGTAATTTTGTTACAAAAACTGTATCATTTTTAGTATCAAACATTGACTTTTTTAACAATCTATGCAAGACAAAAGTAAATAAGAAATAAAACAAATTATTAACTTTTATAAATTATTAATGACAAAGAATAAGTTGACCAACCTTTGCTAGTGTCTGTAGGTATGAGGGGGCAGGGTAACTCTTTATTCTCACTGTACAGTAGATTGTACAGCTCTCTGTGCATCCCTTCTGGTCTTTGGAACCCCGGTTGTACCGCCTTCTTCAACCTTAAATAACATTGATACAAAATTGGATTTTTAAAAAAAAAATTCGGGTCTTTTTCCCACTTTTTCCCCTGATTATTTATTTTAGTCTTACCTCTTTTTGTCATTCCCCAGAATATGATCTTTAGTAATGGTTGTGTCCAGCGGTGTGATCCCCATGATCTCCCGAACATCAGCGGCCGACGCCATCTTGTCTGAAATTAATCCTCTGAATGAAGCATCCTAGTAACTGCTCTGAATGTATCTGGTTCAAGACTAGTTTTCATCTCCTCTAGTGTCGCCCACTGGTAGTCCAATACGTTCTCTCCACCCTCAACCGTCGCGTCATCAAAGAACTCTGACGTGAGATAAGCCTTGAAGATAAATACCTTGGCACCAACCTTTTCCGTCTTACTTTGAAATTGTTTAGGATATTTATATTTGTAAAAGCTTAAAGGGGAGTTCCCCAAAATTCCAAATTTTAAATTGTTTCCACATTTTGAGTAAACAGCTCTCTCTGCGGTCTGCCGCATGGTTTCCCCGTCCTGTCGAACAACAAAAGGAAGATCCCAGTAAACATCGTTTCCTAGAAATATGTAAGTAGAATGGAATTCATTCGTAGTCAGAATATGTAGAACACATTGTAGCGTTCTAATGAAACATTTAAACTTGCTGTAGATAGATTTTTTTGGCAGAAAATTAAGTGAAATGATTAGTTATTTATGTGCTTAAATATTTAAGTTGGCAGTGGTTATGCTTCCGTCCGCTTTAGGTTATTCGTATCTTGCTCTTTGGTCCGAAGGATTTAGTTAAATTAATTCCTTTTGATATCTTTTAAGGTCGATTGATATCACAAAAATGTTAAAAAAATACTAGATCACTTTTAAAAAAAAAAAGTTTCCAATTTTGATATGGAAATTAAACGTGTTCAAAAGTTTTGAACTTAAATTAATTGAAGATTACAAATGATAACAACTGCATACAACTGACCTAGTTTAAGTTTAGTAAGAAGACGAAGAGGTCGATCTAGTTTCCGTTTACAAGATCTAATATCATTCTTTAAATCCGCCTCAGTTAATCTACTAGCTGCTGTGAAATCAGAAGCCTGAAAAATCACATATTAGATGCTCTGGAGGAAAACATGAAAATTCTATTTAAAAGAAATCTCGATCTGCGCAAATTTTGTGTATTAACATATTATATTCTAATCCAAAATTTTGAAATAACAAATATTTAAATTTCTTAAAACTAGATAAGAACAGGAAAAAATAATAAAATACGGTTTTAGGTACTTTTTTAAAAAGATTTTTTAAAACTAAATATTTATATTTTCCGTTTCTTTTTACATGTTATAATATCATAATATCAAGTTTAAGCTGAAAGGGAACAATTGTATTAAAAAATATATATTGTATATATCACAGGTTCAGGTTCAGACTCAGGTTCAGACCTAGGTTCAAGTTCAGATTCAGGGCTAGGTTGATCAGATTCAGGGCTAGGTTGAATCAGATTCAGGGCTAGGTTAAAAGATTGATGCTTCCCCAGGGACACCGTGAGAAAAATACAGACTTCGAAAAAAAAATTAAGAACAAAAATTGAAATTGAAACAAGGAAAAAAGGAACTATTCCAAGCTAAAAATAATTGTCCTTAGGACGTAAACCCTCTGACAACTGACCTCTGTTCTCCATTTATCCTCCATATCTAAACCAGTAATAACCGCGTCGGAGTCTCCCTCCCCCAGCTCACCACGCTTCTTCTTCTCATTCCTCTCATTATCCAACCTTGACAACATCTTCATTACTTGGACATTTCAGAACTACGAAATAACATAAATATAACATTAAAAAAAGACAATTCAAATTACACAGAAATACAAATATTAGACTTTTCATTGTTAAGACAGTAGCTAGGGACGTTTTCTTAACGATAAAAAGTGCTGTAAGGTTTTAAGAGACTCCACAAATAGCTTAATATTTTCACATTGTTGTCATTTTACATAATGTAATATTTCATTGTTTATGGAGCCAGTTCCTTTCCAAATAGTTGTGTATATTTTCTAGAAAAATATCCCCCCCCTTTTTTATGGTTTTTTTTGCTTAATTTGGGAAAATAAACGATAGTTAAGGGAAAATCAATAAACTTTTGAAAAAGTATCAAAAGAATGAAAAAATGTTGCTTTTTGATGTCAAATTTTTCAGTTGTTTCCCCAAATCATCAAAATTTATTACTATTTATAATTCTGAAAAATATAAACCCCTGTTTCCGAAATGTTAAATCAAATGAACTGAATTTACGTCCTGACACTGTTCATTCTAGAAACCAGTGCTTAGGATCCATTTAATTTTGATGCGGATCCGGATCCGGATCCTGGATCCGCACTAGAAAAAAATTGATCCGGATCCGGATCCAGGTCATTTCTATAAGATTTACTGAATCTTTTTAACAAAAAATAATTTTCAAATTATTTGTTTGATTTTTTCCCCATATTTTATAACTTGATAAACCATTCAGAAATGAGGAAAATTTAAAAATCTCTTTTTATCCAAAAGTTCAGATTTTGGTTTTAGGAGTAAAAAAAGGTTTTTTTGTTTTTTTTTGCAGTTTTTGGTTGATATTTTGCCCCTTGGATCCGGGGATCCGCATATTTTTGCGGAACCGGATCCAGGAATCCAAAATCTTGCGGATCCAACGGATCCTTTCACTGAAATGAACCAACGTCGATAGACCGTTAGATCGACTAAAACATGCACGGGAGTTAATTCTTACTTCAGTCTGACTTCGTGATCATTCAGCATTGACTGTTCCAGATCAATTTTAGTCAAAATCTCGGAGAGTTTTTCTTCTGTTGGATTCAAGTCTGCAGTTAGAACAGGCAACCTATAATGATGGACAGATATATCTTTAAATATTTTTTATGAATATGTAGGGTTTACCGTTCTAAACAGACAGCAGCAAGAAGATCCCAGGTTTCAGGTTGGGGTTTTGTAACACTTGAATACCAGGCTCGATTCAAGGAACAATGCCTGAAAATAATTTGTTAAAAAAACATTTCAGAATATTAAATTTGATGGGATTCTTCTAAAAGGACTGAAGTCCGGCAGTTAAGATTACCCATTTTGGGGGTCTGTCCTAGTATACGATTTTTGGAACCCCCTCCCCCCCTCCTATCAATTTTGTACATGACCATTTATTTTTCAGCAAATTTATTATTATTTATTTTTTTGTTATTTAGGGTTAGGTTAGGTTAAGATACTTTCTGGGCCGAGCGCTGCGGCTAGGATGGGCTAGNCTTTTAAATCTTGATAATCTACCAGCATAGAAGGATTTGTGTTTACTGCCTTCGGTCCCAGTTTAAAATGTTTCTAAGAAATGGCGGGAGTAGAACTATTGCAGTTGAGGGGGCAGGTGGGACAATTCAACCCACCTGTAGATAAACAAACTGGAGCTAGGATTGAGTAGAGGAGAAGGAGAAGGGGGGGGGTCCAAAAATCGTATACTAGGAAATTACCCATTTTGGAAACTAATTTACTAATGAACTAATGGACTACGATAAAATTTGTTGTAGATTTATGGACTAAGATACTTTTAGTGGGTGATTTATGGACTAAGACACTAATCGTGGCAGACTTTATAGATTTAGATACTATTTGTGACAGAATTTTTGTGTCCCTATGTTGTTTAATGGCAATTATGTGTGTACTGTGTTGTGTGTGTACGTGTACACTGTACATAGTTCTAGATGAACCCCTGCATAATAAATTCTATGTAGTCGTAATTTCAACCGAGTCTTAATTTCAAGAGTGACATGTCCGATTCACAAAGCTTTGACTGAACAAGAATAAATGAGAAATTGATCCAATGTGTATTTTTATCTCTTGAAATATTGATAATATAACTGTGGTAATTGGCGCATTTCTGCGTTAGAAACAATGGAGGATTTTAACAAAACCTTTTTTGAAGCTAGAAAAATTACATTATCCTCCACATTATTGAATTCATATCAATGTGAATTGTGTATATCAAACTTAAAATACAGAGAGTCACTTAAATATGATTTTAATATTATCCATATACCTGAGGAGACAAGAGAATTTCAACATTTTCCTCTGAAATATAAATATTTTATCACAGATAAGTTTTTAATTTAGACACAACTTTAATCACTTTCATCTTGGGTTGAGAATGAAAATCCTGCAGTTCCTAAACCACTGCTCTCATCCTCAAATGTTCCCATACTATCATTTGGAGATTCGAAAACGTCCTCTACGCACTTTAATTTAGTTTTCCGGCTTCTCCTTCCAGCCGAGAAGGATTTCATTTTAGAGAATGCAGAGGATATAGTTACTCCACCGGGATTCGGTTTAACTTTTTTCCTAGCTCCGCCTGGCTCATGATCCGAATCCGAACCATCATTCGACTCCGGACTCTCCGGAGGTTTCTCATATTGTAACATTCTCTCCAGAAGGAAGAACTTGTCTTCATGAAGAGTTTTTAACTGAAGTTGATGATGTTTCAGCTCATTCTTAAGAAACTCATGAGTCTCTACGGATCTTCGGAACTCAGCTTTAACCTTTCTGTATTTAATCTTGTACTCGGCATCCTCGCTGTAGCCTACATCATTCTCTTCCTCCGTTACATCCTCCTCATCCTGCCCATCCTCCTCCACCTCCTCCTCGACCAAACTATGGAGCTGGGACGGATCGGTGTCATGTCCCAGAAAGACAGGATTGACACAATCTTCTCCAATTCCGTCTATAATCTCTGAGTCTAGAATCTGCGAGTTGTCTGATGGGACGGAGGTTACGAAGAATGGTTTACAAGACTCTCCCATTTTATTTCTCTTCAGATTTCTGAAATTAAAAAAATGTTTTTTCCTTTCTAACCTGATGTTACTTCAAATTTTAAATAAGCTCTAAAGTATTATAATTCCCAGAAAAGAGAGAATTTAGCTTACCAAAACTTAGCATATTATCATTAACCGGCTTTACAATGTATCGGCTTTTTTTTAAATAGAATAGATATTTGAATGCCTGCCTTCGAGTGCTCGTATTCCACCGGATTATGCTCAGCATTAAGCCTCATTTTATTAGGAAAGAAATAACAAGGTTGTTAAAACTTACAAAAAATTTTGTAATTTAAAAATTAAAATAATCCTTGAACTTAATTTTAAAATTTGAGTGGTGGCTTAGAAGGGGCTTATGCCTGTATTTAGAATAAAGTAAACACATCATCTGCCAGAAAGAGTACAGTATGAAATACGGTGGCAAATAAGAAATATGGAACAGCTCAAACATTGAAACAAACAAACAATTTAAAAAAAAACAAATGCTAGTGTTCATAATTTCCATTTTGACTCTTCCTGTCTTTATAGGAATCTGTACTGCTGTCACTGCCAGACCGTTTCCGCCGTGGTTTATCCTTCCGCCGATCTCCACTACGATTCCTCCGCCGCTCCTTGCTGCTCCCAGGACTGGAGCTGTGTCGTCGCCGCCTTTTTTCCTTGTCTGAACTTCTGCCTCGAGATCGATCTCTTTTATCCTTTCTGTCTTTGCTTCGAGATTTACTCCGCGATGAATGTTTCCGTCCTCGGCTTCTAGATTTATCCCTCCTGTCCTTACTTCTACTGCGAGATTTATTCTTTTTATCTCGACTCCGGGATCTATTCCGGCTTCGGGATTTATGTTTTCGATCCCGGCTACGCGATCGATCCTTTTTCTTTCTATCGTAACTTCGATCCCGGCTTCTGTCTCTCTTCCTCTCTCTTGACCCTCCTCTACCCCTTGATCTTTCAATTTTCTCGTCCCGACCTTTGCTGGATCTATCTTTAGCGGCAGATTCTCTGTTTCTCCGCTCGTCCCTGGCCTTGGACATCTGAACGGTTACTCGCATACCACACAGCTCCTTACCTCGCAGTGCTTTAACAGCATCCTCGGCATCCCTTGGATCCTGAAAAAAAACAATCATACAGTTGTCGTCATATATATCAAGCTTTCATACAGCACAGATATCATAAACATGCGAACAAAGATAAGTTGTCAATTATAAGGTTGCCTTTGCTTTCTTGTAAACTTGTAAAATATCCTAGTTTACAATAAACGGAATGTTATTTACCTCCATTTCAACAAATGCAAATCCTGGAGGGTTCTTAGCAAGCCAGATATTCTTGACAGGGCCAACCTTTCCGAACGCATCTTCAATCTCAAGTCTAGTTCCCTCGTCACCCAATCCTCCGATCCACACTTTACAAGCAGGATCCCATTCATGATGAATAGCAGCATGTGGACCTGTAGCTCCCATATATCCTCCACGGTCTCCACCACCACCACCACGGCTTGGGGGACCTCCACCCCGTCCTCGATCTGAAGCACCACCTCGCCCTCCTCCACCCCGTCCCCCATCATACCCACCACCCCCTCCTCTA